TGTAGCTCTTACCTGGCCGTTGCGCTGCAGCTGCGCCGAGCACGACCAGGACGCAGCAGAGAAGGAGCTCCGGCCCGAAGGAACACCTGCAGGGGCACCAAGCGGTCACAGTCTCATCGGATCACTCAAAAGCTGCGGGAAAGTTTGCAACAAAAAAAAAAGCGGTACCTCATGGCGATCTCGTTTCGCAGATGCCGAGCGGGAGAAGGCTGCGCGGGCCGTTCGGAGGTGGCGGCGGAGGAAACGCGTGCGCAGCTTCCTCGGTGCGCGGCGCGGAGGGAACAGCTGATAGGGACTGCGCGCTTTGCTGGACAGGAGGGACGTGGTGGAGGGGAAGAGAAAAGGGACCTGCAGGAGTTCACATCAGGGACTTCCGCCAGGTCCTAAAAGGGAACATTTTACAACGCTGTAATACACTATGTAATAATTATAACAATTATTGTAGTAAAAATAATAGTAAGGTTAATTTACTAAGATAATTACAAAAAAAAAATTGTATGATCTATTTCTGTGTCTCTGGTGAAAAAACCTGTCAAGTTTAAAAGGAACAGTTCTTCCAAAAAACATTAAAACAATTTTTTTGTTTAGCTGTATTGTTACTATTTTAGTAGTTTGAGGAGGTGTTTTCCCCCTCTTTTCTACGATGGGATTACAAGGCACTGCTCAAAGCACCGGAAAACAACTCAACACATATTTGTTTCTGTCCAGAACTCCTGACCCGGTTATTCAGGATAGTCCAAACAAACTACTGTGAGCAGTTTCATGGGTGAGATAAATTGGTTCCTATACAATAAACTGCTCCCGCCGTTTGCCTCATAGTCCCATCACATTGAGGGGAAGGCCCCCCTATAGGGCCAATATCTCCAGAACGGCAACTCGCACTGAAACAATCTAGATTGATGAATAACACTACAGGTTAAAAGGAGAACAATATACGTGTATATTTATTTTTGGGGTGATCTGACCCTTTTAGGTCATGCTCCGCCACTCTCATTAGCTGAAGTGGATGTGAACAGATGACAAATGGCAGCACGAGCTGTGTAAACTTGAGTTTTCCACCGGAAAAGCTTGTGTCATTCATGCAGAGTTTACTTTGTCACTACTCTCTTGAGCTGTGGTGGGTTCACAAGACGGGACTTGACGACATAATGACCGCATGCAGGTTCAGTGAAGGCTTATTTACTTTGGTTTATTTTTGCTTAGAGGTAAGATGGAGGTGAGGAATCCACAATCAAGAGTCAGTTTTATTTTCTTCATTTTTCTTTTGCGGTGTAAAAATAAAAGCAAATGTATTCCTGAAAACAGAAAAAAAATAAAAAAGGAAAAACAACATGGATTATTCTATACAAAGAGATTAACTTCATCATCATAATGCATGACCACACTAAGCTTAAGTCTAAAATCCATACCACATCACATGCTGTACTATTACATATAAAATGCCCACGTTGCAGGACATACAATGTTACGCTCCCTGGTGGCTCGACCTGGGGCGCAACATAAGGGCAACAGGTCAAGGCAAGTGAGGCGCTAGCCACACAAAATCCACTTCACAAAACGTAACAAAAAAGTATTTATTTTTCAAAAGAGCAACACAGGGATCAACAGGGACTGTCAGTGGCACCAAAGAAAAGAACACAAACAAACGCCCCCCTCCCATTGACCGGTGCTTAGCACCCAAAAGTACAGTGGGTGGTGCTCACTCTAGCCTAGGGTACTAACAACAGGTACACCTACGTGTATGCAATATGTAAATCCCGGAGTATCTTACCTGTCCTCATTGACCCTGTGCGCACAACCAAAAGATATCACAAAAACACCAGTAGGCTGTTACTAATTCAATTCTACCACAAGACAGTGCTCTTCCTGCTGAGGGCCCAGCTCAACACAAAAGGGCCCTCCCCACTCAAAACAATCACTGACTATATAAAGGGGAATGGTTGATGGGAGATCTGGAACAGGTGTGGTGATTGGACGAGGGGAACCAGGTGTGCACATCTGTGAAGTGAGAGAATGGAGACAGAAGGGGGAGACAAAAACACACCATATCTGTAGACCTATACCCACAGAGCACTGTACGTAACATACAATATGTTATGAAAATAACAATACATGACAGGAGACATGAGTTTGTGAAAATGAGAAGAGGTGACGCTCTCAATACTACAGGCTGTATTTGATGTGAAAATGATTTCAAAGAGGAGTTAGTCCCATTTCCACCTTCTCTCTCTCTCTCTCTCTCTCTCTCTCTCTCTCTCTCTCTCTCTCTCTCTCTCTCTCCTGCACGTTGGTCTTGTTGAGCTTACACGAGTTGACCAGCAGAGGGCGAAGTCGGCGTTCTTCTCTGCAGAGGATGCAGCCATGTTACAGTTCACTCTTCATTGTGTTCTGTGGGTTCTACCTTCCTCCTCGTCTGTGTCGAACATACAGGACTGAAGAAACAACAGCGACAGTGAACTATTCAACTTTTTTTGACATATGCTTTTGGGTTTGTTTCTGAATCGTTGTGAATGTGAAGATGTTTGGCAAATACACGAAACCCAAAAGAAAAGTAAACAAAAAGATGCAGCTAAATATAAGCACTGTAAAATAAAAGCTCGATCACATTGCCGGGGACAAGAATGAAGACTTTTAACAGCACAGACGTGTACTGATGCATGTCTTGAATCTACACGTTATGATTTGAGCATCTTTAGCATTTATTAGACATAGGTACTCATAGTAGCTCCTCCACAGGTACCAGTTAGTTATGACTTTATTTGTTTCAAAGGACAAAGCTCCTCTGGCAATCTGCATCCGACGGTATTAGCGGCTCTATCCACAGCCACAGGATACTGTTCGAACACGTCCACACCTCTGTGGATGTCTGCTTTGCTCACATTCCGATGTCAGGGAAAAGAAAAGCTAAATTGTCTGTTAAATGCTGTGCCGCAGTGTAACCTTACAGAGAGCAGGGCCGACCGCAGCTCTTTGATGAAAGCAAAACCTCAATAATTATCAGCTGATGAGGGTCACAGCTGTAATCATGTCATCAAGTGTTTGGTTCTATTTCCTTTTATTTTGATGCTGGACCATAGCAACAATGGAAGACTTGCTGCGCTACATGATCACAGGTTATTTCATGCAGAATAAAAACTTAGTTACTCAATCATTTCAGAATATATTCATATATCTGATGAAAATGCTCAACTCTACATGGTGTCCAAGAATAATAATATCACAACACTGCTTATATAACGGGTTCAGTGCCCACTCTGTTCTGAGGTCACTCAAAGTCCCAAGTAAACAAGCGAGCCTCAAACTACAGAGGACAAGGGAGGTTGTTTTTATGTCACATTAAACTGTCAAGTACTTTCTGACTCAAGAGAAACATTAAACATCTGAATTTCAATTTCCGTTCTGCGAGTCCTGATAACATAACATAACCTTTGGGCTGCTCCCTAGTCGTAGGCACAAAGTGTTTCATAATGAGCTACGGGGGTCTTAGTTATATCAGATTACCCCCGACAGCTGAAATCAGGGCAGGGGGAGTGAGTGGGTTGTGGAGCCACTAAACAGCTGAAGGGACACTGCAGCGCACACTGAGACCAGGTCTCACAATCACACAGCAGGATCACGCACGGAAAAGCCGAGGCCCACGTGTAAACCCCCCCCTCTCCACCCCACAGCACAAGGCAGAGCACAAATACTTCCCATTGGCCCTTGTAAAAGTCAAACGGGATAAAGTGTTGCACTGAATAGATGAGCGTATCAAACAGGATCTATGAACCTACACAGAACATACTGTTAGCTAACTTAGTAGTAGTAGTTCAAATTAAAAAGAAGTGAAAAAAAGCGAACCTTCCAAAGTCTGAATTATCATAAAGGGAAATGTTCAATATATACAGTACATAGTTACAGTGATAATACTCCAAAAGAATACTTGAAAAAGTATTACATTGATTGAGACCAGAAACACACATTTCTACTGTTTACTGACAGAATAACTGAAGTGAGACGGGGTTTTTTCTTATAGACCTCTACACAAACTGGTTTCTTTTTGTAAGCAGAGGTGTCGCCCCCTGCTGGTCAATAGCGAGAATGCAAATGTATGGCACACCCGCATTGACCTCACTTTTCAGAACAGGTTGCAGCCTGACCCCGAACCCCATCATCAGCAAGACCAGTACTTACCTTTTGTGTATAATGTGCTACATATGACCTGCTCTCTAATGGTTTCTCTGTGGAATGCACAACATTAGGGCCTTGGGGCCCTATTGGGGGCCTTACATACAGATCAGTTAAAAATCTTTGCTGAAGAGTGAAAATACAGCATAATATTAAAACAATAAATATAAAATAAATAGCCCAAAATGCAATACATCAATATTTATGATCTTCAACAGTGTTTTACCTGACACGTGTATGGCATAAAAAAATGGGATGCTATTTGCACACCTCCATGGGTAGACTGCTTCACTGCAAAGTGTATCTATATGTATTTAAAATCCACTTAAATAGCCAGTTTGGAAGAGCACACAAGCTGCACATTACTTTCTACATATCTAATCTTTACTGTATCCATTGAGTAAGAGTATTTTTCAACATGGAGAGGCCTTTGATACTACTACAGTAAATATCCTGGTTGCCAATGCTATGAAATAGCATATCTGTGCTCATATCTGTGCTTGGGAAACATGACGTGCTGAAGACTAAAAGGTGAGATACTGTAATGAGCACAAGGACGTGTTGTGTGCAAGCCTACTGGTATCAGTTTAGATTTCACATCGTATAACTTGTAAACATCTTGGGAACTTGTATTTAGGATTGAAGAGATTTAATAAAGCAGATCTTTAAAATATTTTTTTGACCAGAAGCTTGTTTTACTCCTTTAGATTTTTATTGCAAAGCCTCGAGTAAGCTAAGCAGTCTGCAATGCACTGGCCACCTGCTATCTTTAGTCCCTGCTGGCAAGTGAATGGAAGTGCCGGACTTATCTTCCCTGCTGTCATCGAGGCAGTCCGTATTTTTAGGGGACAGCAGCAGCTGCGAAAGCATTTAACGGTATTCCATGAACAATGACACTCGGGGTGTCTGAGGCCTGAACCACGCGCAGATTGGGGGACCACTGTGACGTTGTTAAGTGGGAAGCTGTGGTGGACACTGTCCTGTTTTCTGTTCCTCCTACCGGCGAAGGTCTATGGAGATGTACTGGAGCAGAGCGTGGGATCTTTGAGGACACTATGTGTCTGAATCTGAAGTCAACTTGGGACATTACTGAGCCTTCAGGAGACGGGTGGCATTGCTTCCTACTTCGACGAGAGATCGCAAGCGCGGAATGTATGTTGACGGTCGTTCCCCGCGACTGAAGCGAGGTAGGTCATGTGAGGGGTACACAGCACGGCTTCACAGGGGGCAGAGGTCATTCCAATTGAATCAGAGTAAACACAGGGGTTAATCTCCGCTCTTTAAACCTCCGGAGGGAATATTGCGGAAAGCGTCAGCACACCATCCCGACTGGGTTAATCTTCCATGAAAAGTGAAAAATATGTCATGCAACAAAACCCAACTATATGAAATAATATAATCAGTTGTATAAAATAGAGTTCCTTTAACATTGAGTCTGATTTTAAAGGAGTATAAAGCAAGTCAAACGAGTTGTTAAACATTCTCTTTTACATGTATTCAAATTGAATACATTTTACTTTAAATGTTCATCTTAACTATAATCAGATATGGGCTTTTCTTTTCTAGTCAGCATGCATCTCCAATGAGGATTAATGAAACTTTGAAAGGGGTGAAAGAATCAACACTATGGTTCCGTTTCCTATTGTATGGCGAGTGTTGGGTTTCTGCGTTTGAGTACTTTAGGATAAATATTATCATGACTATTAATCAAATGTGTCAGTAAAAACTATCCTTCAATAGGATTCCCCAAAAACACTATAATCTTTGAGATCAGAAACACTCAACACTCTGCTACAACTGTTCCCGAGGTGAGCAGCATTTCCATCGCGAGAGAAACAACTACAAACTCTTGTACAAACCTCAGCCTCACTGATATTATTTTTCACTCAGAGCTCCCAACAAAACATACGATGGCAGCTCGCTAGGGAAGCTATTTTTGAATGTCACACTTACAATCATCTTCATTTCAACAGTGACGTATTCTCAGCATAGTTCATAGTGGGCAGACTGCGATTTTAGATTTTTGTCTGTGTGAGCATGCAGGCTTCAGTACGTTCTTTGTGATACCTGACACACACTCCCTCGCACGTCTTTATTTAGGGCGTGCTATATTAAGCAGTTTCCCATTGAAATACAGCACCAGCTGTACGGGCTATGTGTTGTGGCTGCTGTTGCAATAAGACGAGGCTGTCCCCCTTCTCACTGCAAGCCTGTGTGTTTTCTCTCATGCAGACAGATCTAATTCAATTACCCCCGATAATCATACCATCCGTTTGTGCTGACACGCATGCACACAGAGGAGGCCGAGGCCGTGCACGTCCATTCCAAAATACAAGGAGTACCCGCCTTATAACAGGAAGGGTAAAAAGTATTACTTCACAACATATGTAGTTATTACTTATGACGATGTGGCTAAAAAGTTTACAGATTTAGCAAGTTTTATCTCACAAGTGATTTGAATTAAAGTAATTTGTCTGTTATCTGTTTCCTAGATATTTGCAGTGCTTCTGCCATATTGGATGGTCTTCCCCCAGTGAATAACTGCTACTTATTAATCTCCTGGACTGCTTAAGGTGAAGTGAGGCTAACACCAAAGCAGAAATGGATGTCTTTGGTGGCGCACCACGTTTCTTTGCCTATCCAAGGCCTGTGGTGGTGCAGAGTGGAACTGACGCCGTCCTAAAATGTCAAATTGGTGGGGATCCAAGGCCAGCAGTCATTTGGGAGCGAAACAACGAAAAGATCGACCCACTGGGACGATACAGGGTCTTTGAGGATGGAAATGTTTACAATCTCATCATTTCGGCTGTGACCATAGAGGATAGCGGCCAGTACATATGCAAAGCGAAGAACAGCATTGGGGAAACATACGCAGCGGCGACCCTGAAGGTGGAAGGCGAAGCACAAGAGATGGAGGTCCGAGAGGAAAACAAGCCGCGGTTCCTCATCAAGCCCCTCTCCACTCGCGCCGGTCGTGGGGACGATGCCGTCTTCTCTTGCAAGCTCTGGGGAAACCCACGACCAGACGTATTCTGGGAAAAGGACGGGAGGAAACTCAATGAAATATTTGAAAGCACGCATTTCAGCGTGGGCTTCCAGGACGGTGGATGGTTCCAGCTCAAGATCTTTAAGACTCGTGCTCCAGATGGTGGCGTGTATACATGCAAGGCCAGGAATGAGTTTGGGGAAGCGTTGGCAGGAGCTGTGTTGCTGGTTGATGCAGGCCCAGGACATGAGGATGAGGCAAATCGTAATGGCTACACAAATGGCCACTGGAAAGCCCACCAGGGAAAGCAGAGGAATGGTAGGCAAGTCCCGAACCGGCTCAAAGACGACACAATGACCAAGTCTACGAAAGTGAAAATGTTTGCAGTGACAGAGGGCAAACATGCCAAGTTCCGCTGCTTTGTGACTGGGAAACCCAAACCAGAAATCCTTTGGAGGAAAGATGGCAGGCTGATACTGTCTGGACGGCGTTACTTGTTATATGAGGACAGAGAAGGATACTTCACACTCAAAGTACTGTATTGTAAGCAAAAGGATAATGGAGTTTATGTTTGTGCTGCGTCAAACACTGCCGGGCAAACCCTCAGCGCTATACACCTCTCCGTGAAGGGTGAGTCAAGATAATTTTTCATTTTTCGTGGAGTTTGTAAAAATGGAATAAAATGTGGCTGCAATTAAAAGTGGGAACACAGACACAGTTGGCCTTTCTGCAGCAAGCAGAGGAGTGAGTGAGGGCGTGCCCCTGGATCAGATTTGATTCAAGGATGATGTCAGTGAGGTATCTCGAAAGAGGTACTCTGAGATCATATACCAGGGTAAGGCCAGACAGGATGGCAAACAAGTTTGTGATATTTCCTGAAATATCACAAACAATGAAGAGCATTAACTCTGTATAGAAAGTAGTTCTGGAAGTGATCTCTTCTTTTTTGAACTAATATATGGCTCATACTCATACTGCACACTAATCCTTTGTTGCCGCATGTTGCTGGTCACAAACGGCAACGTTAGGAGTAAGTATATGGCTTTTTACTATCATTTGGTTAAAGTCAGCAGGCTAGGGAGCTGCAAATATAATCAGTTACCAGTGCTATTACAATAAACCCAATCCCGGTCCACCGGAGAATCAACAAAATGTGTTAGTGATCAGACATTTAACTCGAGAAATATCCAGGCAAAGTTCATCCAGCCTGAGCTGTCGTTCCATTCCTCAACTAAATGAGTCACTTTTCTCATGAGTTTGCTCATCTTGTTTGCTTCAGTAAAAGATACTGTTAATATATATTAATGAAACTGGTGTGCTTACTCCAATTTGGTGCCAGAGCCGCCTGTGCGGTTCAAGCAGCCTCTCATTGATCTAGAAGTATGGGAGCAGGATTTGGCTGTTCTCGAGTGTGAAGTTCCAGAAGACTCTGTTCCAATCACATGGTATCTGGAGGACCGACGACTGCAGCCAGGGGCCAAATATGGAATGGAGGAGTGGGGAACAAAACGGCGACTAACTATCCGTGACATCGGAGTTGACGATGATGGGATTTACCTCTGCGAGATGCCCGACGGGGGCAGAAGCATAGCAGAGGTAGCTGTGAAAGGTAACTCAAGATGATATGATCAAACACATTTTTACTACATATTTGATTTTTATGGAAACACCTGTGTATTTATGCAAATACAAAAGGGCCCTTTCATTAAATAGAGTCACTGTTCAGAAAAGACAGATATTTGTTGGGGCCGATCAAAACCAAAGTTGATTCAACTTATACTGTGACTTATGGAAAGGTCTTTTTTCGTAGTGCTACTTTTTTTAGACTAACGACAAATGGGAAAACATTTATACAATGTTTCTATTTTCTTTTTGAGAATGTCCTTCCAAAACCAAATAAAAGCGTATTTTTATTCTGAATCCCCAAAACAACAAATGTGCATGTTTAAATTAAAAAGCACTGTAGCACAAAAAACTGTCGAAAAAAAAAATGTTCTGACCAAACATTCCCTGGCTTTAACTGCTATTCAAACAACCAGTATGTTGCTGGTCTTTTCCATCCATCTATCCATCTGCAAACCGCTTATCCTGCACACAGGGTCGTGGGGGGGCTGGAGTCCATTCCAGCCAATTTAGACAGGGATAGACGGGGTACACCCTGGACTGGATATACAACCGTCTTCTAATCTTAAAAATGTAGTCATTGTAACCCCAAAAAATGTTTCCCTAAACCTTTATTAGCCAAACCACAGCAGTATTAGACTATTAGATTGTCTACAATGCTGATTCCTATTGATTTTGGAGGAAAAAGACACAAGTTCTTAGTAAAGCCAGTGTTTCATATTGGATAACCATCCTGTTAATGTACAAAGGATTCACTCAAGTCTTTCCTTGCAGGGACAATTTTGCGGAAGCTGCCAAGAAAAGTGGACGTATTGGAAGGTGAAAATGCAGCCTTTTGTGTTGAAGTGGACAAAGAAGAAATGGACATACATTGGTACAAAGACGCCATAGAGCTGCGGGAAACGCATCAGACCATCCTTAAGTCCTTTGGTCGAACTCACATCCTAGTTTTTGTCAATACGATGCCCCAAGACTCTGGCCTCGTGACTTTCCTCGTGGGCAGATCTAAAACGTCTTCTCAGCTTAGAGTGAAAGGTAGGGTGCCTCATTGTTAGCCCGTTGGATTACAAACAATATATTTGCACAAAAAATGCATATTGGAATTGATGTATTAGTTATACTACTTCAAAGGGACATTGATGAACAATGGGTTTCTCTTGTTTCAGCGGCCAGACATTGTCCTCCCAGTTGTCCGGTGGGTGTGCAGATCAACACGGAGCGGGCTAATGCTGCTCTTCTCTCATGGGCTCCTGCTCAGGACACCCGAAAGAATCCTCCATCCGGATATGTGCTTGAGCGTCAGGAAGTGGGTACAGGCTCACAGGAGTGGCTACAGTGTCTCACCACTGACTCCGCAACCTCTGTGGAGATCCTCGGAGACAGCGTACCATGTGAAGCCGATTATCGATTCCGCATCTGCAGTTTAAACAAATACGGAAAGAGCAACAACGTTGAGTTCCCTAAAGCCGTTCATTTGGGTAGGGTCTTCTTTATTATTATTATTATAACATGTATTTTTCTTTGCTACTGATTAATAAAATCTCAACATGGTTGAGGATATCGCTTGCCAAATAATATATAATCTGATTCTTTTCCAGTTCCAGTTGCCCGAATACAAGCTCCCTTACAGGATGCCCTGGTGCCCGAGGGGCAAGATGCCCTCTTCTCTATAGAGCTCTCTGCTTCAGTCATCGGTACATGGTTTTTAAACGGTACCCAGCTTCAGGAGGACGAGCATTATTCCATACGCAGGTCACGAACACACCAATCTCTTCGCATTCGAGGAGTTCGGGATACAGACAACGGAGCCGAGATCACGTTCATTGCCTATGGCATCCGTGATTCTGCCGCACTGTATATTCAAGGTGTGTATCATGATTTGCTTGTTTGAGTATGTTTCTTGTTTGGCCTAAAATTTCTCGTGTGTGTTGGTTTAACTCGAATTAGGACAAATGTAACAATATTGTTTGGCACCAACGGCGGAAGAATGACACTATTATATTGAACCTCTCAATTACGTAAATCCTCAATTTTGTTTAATGTTTTTTATTTTTTATTTACAGCTCCACTTGTCAAGTTTTCACCAATGTCAGAAATGGATCGAAACAAATTTGTAGAAGTAGGGAACCCCATTGTGCTCTACTGTGAGCTGTCAGACCCTGCAGTCCCAGTGCACTGGTACAAGAATGGGGTGGAATTACAAACACTGGAGGGTCTGCACATCCAATCAGAGGGCACCATGAGAAGAATTGTCATCCAATCTGCAGAGTTCTCACACTCTGGAGTGTATTCCTGTGATGCCATTGATGATGTCATCAGGTTTAATGTGGAAGTAGAGGGTGAGTGGAGTGAGTTTCTTACAATACTGTTGTCTTATACTAACCATCTTCATTGACACTTTCACCCCCTTTATTTCTTTTCTTACCTACGAATGTATTTAGTCTGCTCTATAACTTAATTCAAATATCTAAATATCCATAGCCCCACCCGTGAGGTTTTCAGCAATTCCAGATGCTGAGAGGAACAAAACCATCGAAACAGGCTCCCCCATTGTTTTATGCTGCGAGCTCTCAGATCCCGCTGCCCAGGTGCACTGGTACAAAGATGGTTCGAAGCTTCATCCTCAAACCGGAGTAGAAATTCTTACTGACGGCTTGGCGAGAAAACTGATTGTCTATTCAGCAGAATTTTTCCACTCCGGGTTATACTGCTGCAAGACAAAGGGTGACTCCATCACGTTCAGTGTGGACATCAAAGGTGATTGGTTTTACCTTAAGCGGTGTGAAACAATAACAAGCTCCTCCTCAGAAAAGCCACTAACTCTGAAGACACTTGTTTTATGTTGTCTGTTGCCTTTCTTCTGAGCACTCATAAGTGCAGCTAAGGTGTCACCTGTTCTTAGACTGCATTACAGCATGTTAGCTATTTAGTTGTCAGTAAATCGATTATGATTATCTTAAAGGCTGGCATGAGGTTGACATAAGATCTGAACATATCTATAGCTCCACCTGTGAAGTTCTCAGCAATTCCTGAGGAAATGAGGACCAGGTCGATCGAAGCAGGCTGCCCTATTGTACTCCAGTGTGTGGTGTCGGATCCTGAGGCCCACGTTTGCTGGTACAAGGATGAGATGCAGCTCATTTCAAACTCTGGCTTAGAAATCCAATCAGAGGGCAACACAAAGACATTAGTTGTTCAGTCTGCAGAGCTTTGCCACTCTGGTGTGTACAGATGCAGCACACAGGATGATACCATGGAGTTTCAAGTGGAGATCAAAGGTGACTTTACACTTTTCTTGTGCGTTAATATTATAACCCCACCTCCTCTTCATAGATGCCACTAATTAGCCCTGCTTGTACTGTATGTGGTTTGATGTACTGTTTCATGCACATAACCTTAAAGCCTTGTTAATGACTGAGGTAAATAATACTTGCAATCATTTGCTTCGAGATTGCAGCCTCAACCAAACATCTCCAGTCCTTTTTCATTTTCTGCTCAGAGGTTACATTTTTGCAAGGTTTCCATTTCCACAGTCTTGATTTGTAGCTTTCCTGAACCCCCAATGCTAGCTATACCGGTGACGTACTCTACTATCTTTGACGTTGAGAGAACCAAGTCACTTGAAGAAGGCCAACCTTTGGAGCTGGAGTGTGAGGTTGCAGACTGCACCGAGCCTGTCTGCTGCCATGAGGACGGTGTAAAGCTCTCACCACGCAATGATTGGGACATACAGAGTAATGGCACATTGAGGAGACGCATTATCCCGGCTGATGAGCTCTTGCACTCAGGGCTGTACAGCTGTGAAACCTCTGATGATACTATTCATTTCACCATGGATATCAAAGGTGATTTTTATTCAAATGTGAATATTGTTACAGAAGATCCTAAAGCTTTCTGGTGACAAGATCAAACTAACGCTTACAATATGCATACGTGTCAGTCAGTTTGTTTTCAAGTGGTGTTTTGTGTGAAGTTGTAAAGTTGTAACCAAACCAAATACAAACATAATCTATACTGACACTATTGTATATCTATTTAATTCTTTTAAAAATATTTTTTTCCTTTGAATTTGGTCTGAGAAAGAACCAATTAGTTCCCTCTTTCAGAAGGCTGAATCTCTAACCTTTTTTAATCTGAGTGGAAATATGCCATTTCGAGTCCGCAATTATAATATCAATCATCATCTTTAGCTCCTACGCTGCCGTTGTCACCCTCACCAGAGGTGGTGGAGTCGCAGTCGCTTGAAGCAACCTGCCCACCTGAGCCAACAAATGATGCCTCAGACGCTGCTTTGCAGGCGTCACTGCAGAGGCATAAAGAACATGATTCTTATAAAGAGCCTAATTTGGAAAGGGGAGGCATCAAGAAGACCCTTGTTATTGAACCAACTCACCCTTCAAATTCTGGAGCATACTATTGCGCAACATCTGATGATGTTGCCAAATTAATAGTAAACAATCAAGGTGATTCTGCAAGTGTTTCATTTTAGTTTTGACTAACTATATCGTTTTTGGTCTGTCTTTTTTATTGCAGAAGAATATCTGTACCAGTTTTGACAGTAAATCTTCGACGTTACGTTTAGAATAATTTACGTGTCAATTGTCCCCCCAATGATTGTCTGTAGCACCACCTCCTGCAAATCTGCTTTGTCCTGATGTTGAGAAGTCTGAATCTGCTGAAACGGAAGGCCAAATTGTTCAGCAATTTGAGATTTCAGATCCCATTGCCAAAGCCTGTTGGTACAAGGATGGAACCCAGATTTACCCCAAAATGGAAGCCGACTGTGAATCACAGGGCAGCAGCCAAACCGCGCCCCTTCAGTCACATGACTGGCCTGGTGGTGGGAGGTTTGGCTGTGATTCATCGGGTGATACACAGTTAAATGCGGCCATAAAAGGTGGTGTTCCACATTGTACTTGCACAATTAAGAATCAAATATTCAGTCACACGCGTGAAGGTATCACCCAGCTCATTGTTTTCTCTTTGGCTTCGTCCAAACAGCAGAACAGTGTCACTATGGTCACGAGAATGGTGAAATAGCTGATGCATCTGCCCAATTCACTGTGGATGTCGAAGGTGATTTGATATATTTCAACATCAGCCATCCATCTTAACCCAGCATATAAATGCCACTAACAACAGTGGTGTATATTACTGTTAGCTCCATCATCTGTGGCATCTGCATCTTTTTTTCTCCATGAGTTGCTTTTTGTCATATTGAATCTTGGTCCCATGTCATTTCCTGCAGTGTTTGGCTCTTAATCAAAATGTGGGTTTTAAGTACCTGAGTAGCTGCTCCTCATACTGACATATATGTTGTGTTTGTCAATTAATTCTTCAATTTAACCACCATCTTTGCTTGTAACAAGCACCTTACCACTCTTAAATCCATCTTAAGCCTTCTTCATCACCAGATCTACTCATCCACATTGCTGCCCCGAACCTGTCACCGTTGCAATGACAACGAACTCTTATCAAATGCACTTTTTAGGTGTTAGTGAACATTCTGGTATTAGGAGTCAGTTGAAGGGGGAAATATGGGAGCTGAATCTCAGACCAAACCTGGTCGATCTTCTTGCTTGTCTTTGCAATGAATTATCCCATAACTCCCTGCTAACCCACACTGATGTAAAATGATGTTATGAGAAGAAGTATTGAAACCATCAACCACTGAAAACCTTTCTCTGTGTACATCACAATGCTTATAGCTACATCACCAAGACTCTCTTCTGACCAAGAAAAGAAGTCCACTGAAGAGGCTTATCAGGTTGAAGTTGACTGCATGTCGCCAAAATGCCATTCTGGTACCATCTGTGGCAATAGAGGAGAGACACAGACTGGTGGACAACATTCCAGGCTTATGCCAACATCTCAATCAACGTATGAATGTATGACTGACTGGATGACAACTGAGCCACCAACGGAGCTCCCTAACAATCAACACACAACAAATACCCAATCTCCAGTTTACAGTAACTCTGTAAAGCCAACAATAATACAATCTGACACAAACCATCACACTAATAAGACCACTGAATCCCAAGGTGAGGAATTCATTTACTATCTTCAGCATGCAAAAGCCCCAACTGAAGAGCTTGATAATTCCCTGGAGACAGAGGAGCTCTGTACTCTTCAAACTGCAGCTGTTGAATCAGAGGAATCTGCTGTCAAGAATCTAAATGTCCAATCAGAAAAAATGAAATATTTAATAGAGATGCCATCTGTACAGTCAGAGCTGGGTTCCCCACTACATCTTTTAACTATCCAATCACAGCATACTTCAACAGTCGAATCAAACAAGAGCTGTAACTCCTTAAAAAATGAATCTTTGCAGTCACAGGACCTCTTTCAATCCGTGCATACTGCAGCTGGCCAATCAGAAGAGCCCCCTATGTTTTCACGTACTGCAACTGTCCAATCGGAGGGGCTCTGTAGCTCCACATTGATGCCAGCTGTTGTGTCAAAAAACATTTTTGATTGCTTACAAACTGAACACAAACATTCAGAGCAACCTTTTAAGACGTTCAGGACAGCAAATGTCCAATCCGAGGAGCCCTGTAAATTCTCACAACAGGAAACTGTCCAAGCAGGGGAGCCCTGCAAATTTTCACATAATGCAACTGTAAAATCAGAGGAGCTCGGTAGCTCCACACAGATGATAGCTGTCATGTCAAAGAAGCTTCTTGATTGCGTACAAACGGAAACTTTCCAATCAGAGGAGCCCTGTAACTCATTCAGGGTGGCAACTGCCCAATCAAAGGATCCCTCTAAATCCTCACAAAGGGTACCTGCCCAATCCTCACAAACAGCAACTGTCAAACCAGGGGAGGGCTTTAAACCGTCATGTTCTGAGACTGTCCAATCAGAAGATAATTTTAAATCTTTAAAATCTGCAATGGTCCAATCAAAGGAGCTCTTTAGTTCTACACAAATGCCAGCTGTTCTGTCAGAGGAGCGAATTGATTGTTCACAAATGGAAATTGTTAACTCAGAGGGGTCCATTACCTCCATATGGTCAGCAACTAACCAATCAGTGGAGTTGAACAGAAACCAACAGACCACAAATGCCCATTCAGAGGAGCTCACTGCTTTGCGCAACACTGTTTACCCTCAATTATTGGACTCTAAAAACGCAGGAAGAAGGCACCACAACTTGCAACAGTTGACGTATGCTGGATCGGATGACCTCCATCACACAGGACAGATAGCACCTAACAATACAGAAGGGCTGTACCAGTCCAACCATGCCCAACCAGGCCATACAGAGTGCCATCACACCATGAAGGCATCAGAAGACCAAATAGACCCCAGAGTCACCGCCTGGCAAAGATCATCTATCCAGTGTGCAGAGCCTCACTGCATCAAGCAGGCTTCTACCGCCCAATCAGAAGAGATCTATCTGTCGAGGACATGTGACAATCACTGGAGTGAGAGTGTCACTGCAAATAAGGTGGCTGTTGAAGGTGATTTAAACTGTTAGCATTGTCAAGCAAAAAATGGACGGGCACAATGTTGAAATTGTCTAAAATGAAGAGATTGCTTATTGCAATCCTTGACATTTTGACAATTTCTACATTTAATGGATTCATACTAAAGCTACTTTAATTTTCAATGTAAAAGTTTGAGCTTGGGTGGTCTGTGAAAATATTGAAGATAGGGAAAAACAGTATAGACATTGTCCACAAATCCTAACTCGAATGCCTAGTTATCTTTAGGCTAACCAAAGACACCTTAAATTGGATTACTAATAACATTAAGACCTATCTTTAATTGTTACTTGTTTTAATTCTTAAATTGTATTGGCATGACTAATCCTGATTTTGCTCTTCTGTTTTGAAAGATGAAAAATGATTGTTGTAATCAGTAAAAGTGATGCAATTTTCTCTTGATGTTACCTCAAACATCCCCAGCTCCACCGGTGAGAATTACAACACGTGAGGCTGAAAGGACCACGTCTGTTGACGTTGATGAACCAATAGTGCTGCGATGTGAGATATCAGAGCCTAAAGCTCAAGTTAATTGGTACAAGGATGGAATAAGACTACAGGAAGCAGCTGGTCAAGACATGCTGGCAGAGGGTTCCATAAGAACATTGGCTATCCAGTCAGCGATGCTGTCTCATGCAGGGACTTACAGCTGCAAGACAACAGATGATGCACTGCAGTTTCATGTGGATGTTAAAGGTGACAAAAGCTTTTTCTTGTATCCTGCAAACACATTTTATTCAGGGACAAGTGCAACCAAACACAGTGTTTTGTTCAGTTTGCTGTGTATTTTGTGCTACTCTTGCCAGACAACAATCTATTTTAAGTTTTCTGGAGCTTATTTGCCAAGGTAGCCAAGCAAGATGCAGGTTTAACTGTTTTACCACTTCATTCCTCTTTTGATGCCGTTCGACCTGAAAGGGTTTGCTAGCTTGTTAGCTGTTGGGCTACGAGAGAGTTCAAATATATGCAAGAGCCAGGGAGGAAGTCATATCTCATGTGGCGCTCTGTGTAGGCCACAGCAAGTACCTTTTTTAAGCAGACACGCCAACATCAATACTTCTCAGCTCCAGAGAAATCTTAGCCAAGTGCTGATTTTTTCTGCAGCTTGCAACAGGAACACACGAGGACAAAAAAGCTCATTATAACCTCATATACGTTTAAAAGCTGGTAGAGTATTTTACTTACCTCTAAATCAAATTCCTCTTAAAGACAGTAAGTAATGCAATAAATCTACCTAGTTATGACATTCTAACTCAAGCTAATCACTTAGCTATGGTAAAACCTTGTTGCTCAATCTGCTTCTCTTCTTTTATGTCCGATTTTAGCTCGTAAGCTAGCTGGCAATGTCATTCATTTTGTAAAGAGATAAACTCCCTCTCCCACCGTGTAAAGTGTTTACTTATACATTTTGCATTAAGCGTCTTATGGGTTCAATTTGTGTAAGGCTTTGTTGTAGAAAAAAGAATAAGAGATATGGCCTTCATGTTCTAGGAATGCATGATTGGCATAGGCCTATGTTGCTGGATCTGTTTTGCTTTAGGGACCAATTGTCTCTCAATGATCCTTAAATCCTTAAATGTCCTTAAATATCTATCAGTGTCGACAGTATAAGAAAGCGAGAATACAACTATATCCCAGAGGAAGACCTTTAAATAGGTTATTTTTGTTCGCTACACATTTTTCCACAAATGCAAAATAAAAATGGTGGGGTCGGATAAACGATTTGCATGCATTTATAATGGTTCAATGTGCTGCTGAAGCCTTTAGTTTCAGGATTGTGCTTTGCCTTTTTTGGTTCATAAGAGTTATCTGTTTTGTTGACCTATTCTATTTTACATTCAATCCTGTAGCTCCCCTTCTGAAGTTTTCAGCTTTATCTGAGGGTGACCAGAAAAAGACGGTCATGGCAGGCTTTCCCATTGTTCTACAATGTGAGCTGTCAGATCCCACGGGACAGGTCAGCTGGTACAAGGATGGAACAAAGCTACCACCCAAAAACGGAGTAGACATCCAGTCAGAAGGAAATGTGAGGAGTCTAGTCGTGCCGACAGCAGAGCCGGCTCACAGTGGCGTATATCGGTGCGAGTCAAAGGATGACGACATCCAGTTTGCTGTGGAAGTAAAAGGTGATCCTCAGAAACACTGGCGGAAACTTGACTCAACAATCTTGCACGGTCAATTACTAACAGTTGGTAATTAGGTCGATCCTTAATCTATGTCAACTGTTTTTCTAATAAAGAAAGGCCAAACGTTTCCCTTTGAAAGATTCAAATGTGTTGTTTGGTTTTGCCAGTGTATAGGAAATAACTCCCCATCCAAATGTCATCCTAATGCCCTTTGTTAACTAAGGGAAATCAAAAATAACAAGGACGTTTTCTCTCACCATGGCTTATTAAATGGTGCAGCTTCATAGTGTAGCTTTACTATGCACGTCCAATCTTAACGCTAACGTGTTGTGTCTTGCTCTTTTTGTTAAAAGACACTAGCTGAACACTTTATTATAGGCAAACACTTCTGTCACTTTCTTGTTTGTATCTTACCTGTGCTTACCTGTCTTACCTTTGTATACATTTTGGTGTGTTACTTTTTGTCCTTGTTAAGCAAGGCGTGTTACATTGTACTTTATGTTGTTTTGTCTTGATATTCTTCGTACTATGTATAGAGTAGGTTGGATATTGAATTCATATTTACGACACTCTTTTTTGCAATATCTGACACATATAGCACTACCTTTGAAGTTCTCAGAGCTTCAAGAGACTGACAAGAGCAAGTCCGTCCAAGAAGGTTCTCCAATTGTCCTCCGCTGTGAACTCTCTCACGATCCCTCTGCTTATGTCGACTGGTACAAGGACGGGTTGAAACTCCAACCAAAAAACAATATGGAAATACAGTCAGATGGTCTTACAAGGACAATACTCATCCACTCAGCTGAAAACGTAGATGGCGGCACCTATGATTGTTCAACGTTGGATGACACCATCACATTTAAAGTGGACGTAGAAGGTGATTTATTTCAATCCTTACCATCTTCTTATCAAACATACCACATCCGTCCTTGGGCTGAATGTTCATGAGAACATGGTGTGACTGGCTGGACAGTATGTTTTGTCTACTGTTGTGAATTAATCTCTTGTCCAAAACCCTTGTTATTCCCTTCTCTTAGGCCGATCGCCACAGATCATGCCAATCCCACTGTCTGAAAAATACAAGATGGTTGCAATGGGTTGTCCAATTATTCTGCAGTGTGAGGTCTCAGACACTGTGGCACAGGTTTCCTGGTTTAAAGATGAGGTGGAGCTTTTTAGCAAAACTGGCCTTGATATGAAAAGAGATGGCAGCCTGCGGAAACTAATGATCCATTCTGCTAAGGTCTCCGACTCTGGCATCTACAGTTGTAGCCTCGCTGAGGATGTTGTGACATTCCAGGTGGACGTTGAAGGTGATTTTTTATTTTTCAGTTTTATCTGGTTTCCATTGCTACCTTTAACTGAATAATTGTCAGATTTACTGTATTTATTTCCTTATACCACGGTCTGCAAGCAGAGCTGCATATTGTGTATACTTTGGTTAACTCAACAGGGTTGATGATGAACACTACTTGATAAACAATGTTCTGACAGCTTAACAATAGGTCTGCAAATCTTATAACACCCTGCAGCCTCACCTGTGAGGTTTTCAGAACTTCCAGAGATCGCAAGAAACAAATTTGTCGAAGCGGGCTGCCCAATAAAGCTGCAGTGTGAAGTCTCAGAGCCAACTGCGCAGGTCTATTGGCACAAGGATGGAGAACAGCTACCTCCAAAGAGCAAAGATGAAATCCAAATCCAAGCGAGAGACAGACTGAGAGCATTGGTTATTACATCAGCAGAAGTCAGACACTGCGGTGTGTACAGCTGTGAGGCCGCAGATGACCGTATAGAATTCAAGGTGGATGTTGCAGGTGACCCAATATTTTTGAGCTTTGTCAGAATTACTAACGTGTTTACATAAATGCTTGGCTATCAGCACAGTCTATTTCATACAAAATATTTTACGATATGGTGAACCAATGTTGCTACTTCTTTTTTAAAGCAGTGGCTGGTATATCAAGCAACAAGGAAATGCCTAAAGGCCTTTTAAGCCTGGACCTTAAAAGCCTAGTGGTAAAACTGCATCTTAAAACTACACAAACCAAGAAACATATATTGACAATGCATTAAATCACTATGTGTAATGGGAAAGGCATCTCTAAATAACAGACCACTAAGAGTTACCACCTTACTATGAAATGTCCCTTAATTACAATTAGCATTTTAGCGTTGTTAACACATTGTTTGTGTTTTACAACCAGCAGCTTTAACTGTCAAACCTGCTGCTTTCATCAACCCCATTTCCAGATGCACTACAATTGTGATGAAAAGACTGGATGGCTTACAATAAAAAATCAACTAGCTAACTTTGGTTAAGGTAGGGGAGCACCTAGCAGCTAAAAAGCCAGGTATTTTCTGCAAGTTAGACCAAAAACAATGAAGAGCCAAAAAAAAACCACCAAAGCAATGTTAAATTTAACCTGACTGTGGAAATAGTTGGCTGTTTGCTGACATGTTTTACACATCTTTGTAAGGGGATATGATGTGAAGTGAGGATGTAACTGCTCAGTCCAGCGGTAACAGTTGTGGGTTGTGCAACAGTTGTGCAACTGTTGTCACCGTCACCTTTGGTTTGTAAAACATGACCTTCACTCAGTACGCAAACGATACATCTTAAAGCCTTTCGCCGGTATCCAAGTGTTACATGGCAAAGCAGATGTGATTACTGTTCAATGAATGGAAATTCCTATAGCACCAGTTTGATTCTCAGCTCTTACAGAGGCTGAGAGGAGCAAATCTGTTGAAGCAGGCAGCCTGATCAATCTGCAGTGTGAGATTGCAGACCAGACAGGCCAGAGTTCCAGATGTGAGGATGGCATAAAGGTCTCACAATATTTGGGTACAAACATCGATTCAGAGGATGATAAGTGGACACTGGCTGTGATGTCGGCCACGTCTTCGAGCTCTGGAGTGTACAGTTGTAAAACCGATGATGATTCAGATTCCAACGATTTCTATGTGGAGGTGAAAGGTGATATACTAAGCTTTTTCTAGGCAAGATGTTTTTCATTGAGGAGTCTTACACCTTCACTCATCATGACCTCTAATATCCAAGAAGAAAGCAAACCCTCATCATCATTCTATTCATCATCGCCTATTTCCTTTGAATTTCTCCTAATTTCCTTGCTTCTCATACATTGTTCACATTTCAGCATGTAATTTGTTGAATCAACACGTTTTTCCAACATGGCTATAGTAACTGCATTGCACTGCCTAAATAGATTTTTTTCCCATAGCTTCCGAAGTGGAATAACATTGCGCATTATGTCAGCAGTGGGTTACCTAGCAAGGCTTGAAATCAGCATGTCTAAGCTGTGAAAAGCTGACCTTACAAATACCGCATGACTGATCATGAGCAAAGCTTTGCATCAGACTTGTTGTATCAGAGCGACAACTTAGTTGTTTTTTGTGTACTGTTTTCTACAGTGCCCCCGGTAACATTTGCCGATATCCCAGAGGAAGACCTTTTCAAGAGTGTCGTGGAACAAGAAGGATTTGTTCTGTCATGTGAAGTATCAAGGGCTGATGGCGTTGTCCAGTGGTACAAAGACGGAACAGAGATGCAACCATGCAACAACATCGCGATGCAAGCAGAGGGCACCAAAAGGAATCTGACAGTAAATTCAGCCCGACTGTCCAACGGAGGCACGTACACATGCCGTGCAGGAGACAATATTCTCATGTACAAGGTGACAATACGAGGTAATTAAATACTTATACAATATGCCATTTAAAAACGGTTAACAAATAACACACATCCACTCGTATAGAACAACGTCACAATGTAATGTACTCTTCTTCCAAAGAACCTCCGGTACTGATAATCTACCCCAAGGAGGATGTCCACCTTGACCGCCATGTCCCTGAGGAAATTATTCTGAGCTGTGAATTGTCTCGTCCAAATGGGGTCGTCAGTTGGTACAAAGACGGTCAAAAGCTGCAAGAGAGTGAGAACATCAAGCTTAAGATCGAAGGCCCTTATCGACGCCTGAAGATTATTTCTAGTGGAGTGGAAGATTCCGGAGAATACGTCTGTGATACAGCAGACGCTTCAATATTCTTTCAACTCAGTATTACAGGTAGAGTCCCTGAAACCACTAAGATTAGAATGGAGGTATATATAAAAATGTATATGTCACAGTAAAAAGCGAAATAAGTATGTTGCGGTAATAAGGCATCAGTAGGCTCCGGACAAACAAGTTTGTACACAGTATGTGTTAAGAATCCCCACCTTGAAGGTTGGTTAATCGGCCTGTCATCATTGAAAAGGATAACAGGCTAGGAATGGGGCAAATGGGGATAATCCACTACAACCTACCACCAGTTTCTCCTCGAGGGCATTTATGTGATAGATAAACACTGTGATAGATAAACACTGTTCAAGGGTCTGACAACAAGCGCTTTGTTTCAAACAACGCCTTAAACGTTGCACCTGTTAGGGTTTTACTCATTCGTCCGTGATCCAAGATGTCAGGAATACAAAGTCAGTCTTGTAGGCAATATATGCACCAACACGACACTGAGGAATGCTGTTATATTGTAGTATAGATAATGCGTTGTGACTAAATTGGGTGATAACGGCACTTTGCAGAACCTCCAGTGCAGATCGTGTCTCCGAGTCAGTCCCAAATGGAGCTGTGCCAGCAGACCTCTGAGAGGATGGTACTGAGCTGTGAGATCTCCAGGGCCAATGCAGTGGTGCGCTGGTATCGAGACGGACTCGAGGTGGAGGAGAATGACAACCTCATCCTAGAGGTGGATGGTGTCTACAGAAGACTTATCATACCAGAAACTACTGTCAAAGATTCCGCCGAATATGTCTGTGATACTGCAGATGACTCCATGACATTCTTTGTAAACATAGCAGGTAAAGGAAACTAAGGCATGTTAAAAGTAGCTCCTCCAAATGTGCCGTTCTGTCAGTGATTTCTAACACAACGTTTTCTCCATGCACAGAGGCTCCTGTTCGTTTTGTGCGTCCCAGGAAGATGACAAGTAGAGTGGAAAAAGTGGCTGGGGAGACTCTTGTTCTAGACTGTGAGGTTTCAAGATCAAATGCAGAGGTCACCTGGAAGAGGAACGGGGAAGAAGTAGCAGACTCCAGAAAGATCACCATCCTTGAAGATGGTTTCATGCGTCAATTAACTGTTCACTCACTAACAGTGGAGGATGCTGGGCAGTATGTTTGCGATGCAAAGGGTGATGTGATGGATTTCCATGTAAAAGTGCAAGGTAGGCAAACACACTAAAAAGAGTTAACTCCCAAAAGATGAGACTATCTCTTCAGTATATGGTCCAAGATCCAGACTTTAAACCAGATCATTGACTACACCAAAATACATTTAGAATAACGTAAATACAACATATCTTCTGTTCCAATAAAAATGTTCCCCTTCATTTTCAGACTTGCCGGTGAAGATTCTTGGAAAAACCGACGCTAAAAATGAAAAGCAGTTCTTAGTATCTGACGACATTATTCTAGTGTGTGAACTGTCCAGATCCAATGCCTCAGTCAGCTGGTACAAAGATAATCAGCTTATCGATGACACTGAGAGGTACTGTAGCGAAGACCAAGGTGTTTTCAGATCCCTGGTTGTCCTAAACGCTGCGCTAGAAGACTCAGGAGAGTACACCTGTGATGCAGTGGATGATAAGATGATCTTCTACATCACCGTCAAAGGTACTCATATTATCAGGCTGTCAATGTAATCGTCTTTCCTTCACTCAGAAGGAAAATAATTGCGTTGTTTTTTATGTTTAGAGCCTCAGGTACAGATCATTGGAAACTCTGGCCACCCGGAGCGTCACATCCTGGTAGCAGGAGATGACCTTATTTTGGAGTGTGAGGTGTCTCGGCCGAACGCCACCGTTCAGTGGCTCTGCAATGGCGAGATCTTGAAACCAGACACTCGTATAAAGATTGACAGCTATGATGTTGTGAGGAAACTGGTTCTCTCTGGACTCCGGCCCTCCGACTCTGGTAACTACATTTGTGATGCCATCGATGACAAGATGACAACAATTGTTGAAGTCCACGGTGAGATTTTTAAAAGTTCATTTTCTGTTTTAGATTAATTTATCGTTCCATATTTGAACACAGAATGAACCAGTAACTCGTTTGTAAATCTCTCTCAGAGCCCATGGTCAAGTTTGAAAATAAGAAAACCAGTAACAACCTCTCAGCCTATGAAAACGAGAGTGTTACAATGTGTGCCGTTGTGAGCCACGAAAGAGCTAACATCCGTTGGCTGAAAGAAGGCCAACTATTGAACGGGGACAACATTCACATCTCCAGTGAGGGTAACACCCACAAGCTCACCATTAATCCACTGCAGCTGTCAGATTCTGGAGAATATGTTTGTGACGCAAAGACAGATGAGATGTATTTCAGTCTTTTAGTCAAAGGTAAGAATGTGGCTCTCAAAACAAATGTCCTGGAAAGTAAACATTGACTTGTCCCGCTAACATCTCAGAAATGATATATCTTCATTCGACTTATCAGAAATGAAGGTGAAATTCATCAGACCCCTGGAGAACACCGTGTCTCAGAAGGGCGGTACTGTTATATTACGATGCGAGATCAACAAGCCCAAAGGAGATGTCCAGTGGCTAAAAGACGGTCAGGAGATCAGCCCAAGCCGCCGGCACACAATAAGGGCACAAGGTCGAGAGCGAAGCTTCACCGTCCACCAACTGTTGGAAGGAGATGCTGGAGAATATACCTGTGAATCCACAGATGACCAGACTTCAGCTACGGTCACTGTAGAAAGTAAGTACACTTAAAATCACAAACTAGGTCGGTTATGAGGAAAAAAGCGGCCTTATTAATTGAAGGAGTTTAGAATACTACATGTGCCATCTCAGTGTTTGATGTCAGCGAGTCTAATTCAACGCTTTGCCTTCAGCTCCCCGTATCGTTGAGTTCATAGCGGAGCTCCACAACACCACCGTGCGCGAAGGAGAAGACGCGGTGTTTAAGTGTGTGGTCTCACCGGCGGACACCCGGCTGGTGTGGCGCTTAAACGGCAGACAAGTAGCTCTGACTGAGCGCGCTGTCATTTCAAGTAACGGACTGTGCCACATGCTCTGCATCCGCAACTGCATGGTTTCAGATAGCGGCAGAGTGACAGCTGATGCAGAGGGTTCGGTATCAGAGGCCGAACTTCAGATTCAAGGTGAGTTTCTGTCCGATCCAGTCACACTATGATTATAGCACAACCCAGTATACACACACACACACGCACACACACATGTTGGTTTTAATTGAAACACAGAAGCCAGAATTAATGATTTACAGTTCACTAGTCTCATGTCTCTCGAGTAATTATGACAATATTATTAGCTATGGAGGGTTTGGAGTGATGTAAGCGTCATTTTAATGGCGGTAGCCATGTGGGACACAAAAAGACCCTTTGAGACTAGTTTAACGCTTGGAAGGTTAGCTGTTAGCAGCCATTTGTTTTTTATGGTAGTGGCTTTAGAGCATTGTAGAATTAAACAAGTAATTTATACATACACTGTTTTAAAATTGCGGACCTGACAGATATCTTTAAAACCGTGAAACTAATTTTCAGAACAACAAGTGTTGTTCACCAAGAAAATGACACCAGTTGTAGCCGAGGAGTACAGTGAGGCCACTCTGGAGGTGGAGGTGAGTCTGGATTCAGGAGAGGTGCAGTGGATGAGGCAAGGGGTCCTGATCCACCCGGGGGCCAAGAATGTCCTCAGTCACGACGGCCGAAAACACAGTCTCACCATCCACAAACTGGCCCTGTCCGACCGGGGCCTCTACAGCTGTGAAACCCTCCATGACCGCACGCAGGCCCAGCTCACAGTGGAACGTGAGTGTGCATGCGTTGCCACTAGGCCCTCTTCTTGTTTGTGTACTGCTGTTGCCGCCGACTCCACCTCTGGCACGCCCTCCACCACTATACTTCTTGTGCGGGCACAAGTTGAGCGCGTAAGAGTAATTTGAGTGACTGGAGTCCGGGGGGGCACTTGTGCTGGAGCATGATGGCGGCCAACAGGTGATAGCCTTGAATCTCCGGCTGTATTTCGGACCAGGGTTTGTGTATTGACATGATCGATTAAGCCCACATGATTTCCTCCCCTGTGACAAAGAGAAATCAGGTTGCAGTTTTAAGTGAAGTGCTGGATAAATAAGATGTTAAGATGCCATCTTTCCAACGACTAGAACTAGTAAAACTTTCCCATGAACCAGCCAACCAACCTTTTACATTTCTTTAAAGTAGGATTCCTTACACACCATTAAACTGGCATTGTGTAGTAAATAAGGCCTACTTTTGCTTGTTTTTCTTTGTGCGTCTTATACTTCTCAGCCCCATGAAGCACAGGCCAGTGGGTGAATGAAAGGCTGTTCTTTCAACACTTGGGTGGTAGGGGGAAAGTCTGGACTTCAGGCTGCTGTTGGCACCTCCAATAAATTTGGATCTCCTCTCATTGCATCTAATTTTACACTCTGGCCTTCAAAACTAAGGTTGCTGTCATCAGGGCTCCAAAATAAACACTGTTTTTTTTTCCACAGGGAATACTTGACTGTTAGAATAAGTGGAAAATGTTGGCAGTTTCAAAGCGGGCTTTTGTGTAAAGCCCCACACTCAAATGAGCCAACTATCGGCTTGTCAGTGTGTGGTGGCTTGTATTGTTTAACTGGAGATGGATGGACAGAATCCAAGCCAACTGCGGAACAGATTGTTCCTGTTCAGTGTTAAAGAGGAATAAAGAGGCGTTTTACTAAAGCCAATCTTGCAAACATAACTAATGTTCAGTTTTCATTGTACAGAAATAAACTAACTAAAAAGAGCCCACGATGTTGATAATAAATTGATCTACGCTGGTTAACAATACCATATTGCCTTCTACACAGCTCTGTCATTTCTCTTTTTCAGCTCGAAAAATCACAATCAAGAGAGGGCTGACTGACATTAAAACCACGGAGCGAGAAACGGCCTCTTTCGAGGTGGAGCTCTCCCATCCCGACGTCTCGGGCATCTGGACGAGGAACGCCACCAAGCTCAAGCCGACCAATCACTTCCGTATGAGCGCCAAGGGACCAGTCCACAGCCTCACCATCTCTAACCTGTCAGTGGAAGACACCGGCACCTTCACCTTCACTGTGGACAATATGAAGACATGCGCGAGGCTCGTCGTGAAGGGTAGGCTCATTTTGGAACGTTCAATTATCAATCTGTGTGTCTTATTGGAAGTAACTAGGAACTTTTAATGCCACAATCTATGGTAGCTGCACTGCAGTGCTACAAGAACAATGTGTCCATTCCAAAGACAAACCAGATGCCAGCCAGATGAGGCATGATGACAGAGCAGAGCGGCAGCTCTACTTCGGTCGGCTTTATCCGTGATCACGTTGCAGAGTTTAGCGATGGTCGTATAGCGTGAGCGGATGAAACGTGGTGACTCTGCTCACTTGTGTCTGTCGGGTGCTAGTTTAACCTCAGGCTGTAAAGTAATCCGCCACATGCCAAGTCACTAAGCACGCATCAGCCCTTTGAGGGTTGAAAACGCTGTCGATGACAATCGGATGAAAGTGTCATTGTGGTAAATTGGTCCACATAACCAAACCGTTTGGCTTATTTGATTTTGAGCCTTACTTGGTGCAATGTTTGGCACATTAAAAAAAGCTTGCTTTTTCTCCCCCAGAGCCCCCAGTGACTGTTTTCAGAAAATTGGAGGACCAGAAATTCCCAGAAGGGGCAGTAATCTCTCTCGAGTGTGAGCTGTCAAGACACAACCTTGATGTGAAATGGATGAAGGCAAGTGTTGTGTTGTTTGGCAAATGTATGATAAACAAAACAAAAAAGCTTATTTTACCCAGCGGAATGATGGTCTACTGATGGTCTACTTCCCAAAAGCACTACTGGCATTACGGAACAAGCCACAAGAGCGTTGAAGAAAACAAGGCAACATTTGATCTTTTCTGATCTGATCATTTGTCCATTTCTAACAATATACACAATACATAAGTAAATCACACAGCATTCACCTTCAGATAAGTAGAAGTAGTAGAAATAGTATATTTAATCACACAAGAATTGCTAATAAAATCTGTGTTTCTTATCCTTCTCAGAATGGGGTTGAGGTGAAACCAGGAAAGGACTTGCGCATTTATGCAATGGGAAGGAAACGGTTCCTTCAGATCATGAAATGTAATGTTGGTGATTCTGGCATGTACGCCTGTGATGCTGGAGATGTCAGCACGAGCTGCACCGTGGACGTCTATGGTAACGTCTGCCGTTCAAATGCTAGAAAGTAGGACCTTTTATGGCGCGCTTCCACCGAGCGGTATGGTACGGTACGGGTCGGGTCGGTACGGGTCGGGTCTGTTAACCATGATTTGGTGAGCGTTTCCACCGCCAACAGTACACTTACTTGATAGGCGTGGTGTATTCCAGAAAGTAGTGATAACGTCACTTGATAGGCGTGGTATATGACGAAAAGTAGATTGACTTCATTCGATTGCGTGAAAACTGAAAGCTAACCGCAAACAACAATGGAGGACATACAGCCGAAGCTGTTCTTGCTTCTCGATATGCGGCTGTGTGTCACAAGGAGGCAACAATCTTTGTTTGAGCAAAGGCTACATGCTGCTGTTATAGTTTAAAAATGGCGCCTCGTGTGCCCTTGCGGCTCGCGCAAATGACGACACTCTTTCAACCAATCAACGCTCTGCAGTGAGTCTAGCTCCACCCTTTAGTACCAAACAACTGTGCCAGGTACCCCAACGGAAGGGTACCCAAAAAGTGGTACGGTACGGTTCAGATTTTTGGTACCATTCTCAACTTTTGGCAGTGGAGACACAAATAAAAGGGTACCGACCCGTACCGACCCGTACCGTACCGCTCGGTGGAAACGCGCCATTAGTTTCACAGCGCTTGGTTGATGGTTTGTAATATTTTTCTCAACAGAACTATATAACAAATTTAACAACTCGGCACTAAACCAAATCTATGGGAATACACATTTACGGTGATATAAAACATCTCAGCAAACAAAGCAATGAAGAACAGGCGTTAATTGTATTAACCTTGTATTAATAATTCACTCCCTTTACTTGCTTTGAAAAAGTACTGTGAAAGCGTGTAGATTATGTAAAATATAATATATACATGTGTATATATATATATATATATATATATATATATATATATACATACAAGGTTGGATTATTTTAAGTCCCGCCATCTAATGCCATTTAAAACTAAAGCTTATATAGTGAAGCTACATTCAGAGGGACAGTTGGAAGTTAGTTAAATAATGTTTATAGGTCCAATATTATTAGTACAAAACACCAAAATTCATCAACATGTAAAATATACTTTTTTTAAAGATTTTTTTTTATTGGCTTTTTCTTGATTCATCTTCTTACCAAACGTAAGCTTGGTAGATGTTGTGGATGTCATTATTTTCTCAATGTTGATATTGTTAAGCGATGCCCATTTGCGTCCTAAACAACCCTTCATGTTTATTGTTTTTGCAGAGCGTGAGCTGCTGATCCTCCAGGCCCCGAAGGACCTGGGCATCCAGGAAGACCAGAACGCCGTGTTTGTTTGTGAGCTCTCGGTGGAGGATATGCCCGGGGAATGGTACAAAAATGGGGAGAGAATACAGCCCACCAGCACCATCAAGATCCGGCAGGAAGGTGGGCTTCAAAGTCACAAACGCGCATACATCCTGCACCACTCTGCTCATGGGGTTGTGCTTGTCGGCTGTAAAAGAGACGCAGCCAACACCCAAAAAAGAGATGTTTGTAAATCTGGAGTTGCATATACATGTACACAATAATTGAACCTACTAGCATCTTGTTTATCATTTAATCTGACAATCTTATTGTTGTTTCAGGGACCAAGCATTTTCTTCTCATGTGCAATGTGAAAGCAGAAGACTCTGGAGAGATCAAGTTTGTCTCCAGAAATATTGAATCTGTCGCTTACCTGAAAGTGGAAGGTATATTTATACTATGTATACATTTCTAAGTGCTCCAAAGAAAATTAATAAAAGTGTACATGAAGTTACTTCTTTGAAACATGTATCAGTTTGTTAGGGTTGATTTACAGAACACCAACTCCACAAAGCTGTGAGTTTACGCACTAGATTTAGATTCTGCATGAGCTGAAATACGACGGTCTTTGACAAAGTCACTTTGTCCGTTCCAGAGCTCCCCGTGAACATCGTGAAACCTCTGCAGGACACGACCGCCCTCGAGAAGAGCCGCGTGCTCCTCGACTGCACCGTGTCCAACCCCAGATGCAGCATCCGCTGGTACAAAGGCAGCAGCGTCATCCTGCCCTCCGACCGCTTCGAGATCTGCAGCGAAGGCTGCTATCGCAAACTGATCCTCCAGCAGGTGGCGCTGGACGACGAGGGCACGTACAGCGTGCAGGTCGGAGAGCACTCCTGCTCTGCTAAACTGACAGTGGAGGGTAAGTTAAAGCTGCGTTCCAAGCATTGCATCATCCTACACAAGGTATTTTTAGTAAGAAAAATGCAAAGATTTGATGTATCAGTGATTCATCAAAGCCCTGCAGTGATGCACCTCTGCTGCAGCAACCCTCACAAAGACTTTCAAAGTATGAATGGCAGCAGGAGTGCAGTACCTCACAGCGAACCGGGAGAGCGCCATCTACTGTCGAAGCAAAGCTAACGCATGACTTTGCGCTGAATGGGACACTAAATTATCCTTTCTCTCCCGCCTTGTTTTAATTCATAGTGTCTTTTTTAAATAAAAAAACAGGCGACATGCGTTAAACATGGATTTCGCAGTCAGTCACAGTGGGTTCAAACTGTATCACACTTCTTTTTAAACAAAAAATACCACATTAGCACATTTCCGTGCAACAAAAAAGGAAAACAGTAATGGATATTTTATGGCAGGAAAATAAAATGTGATTAATAATTTTATTTGGTGTGTTGCATTCTGGTCCCACCGCGTTGACTTACTGGCAGTAAGTTTCTTAGATTTGTTCTTAAGAAAGACATAAGAAAAGTCTACGTGTGATTCATGACGTGTTCCTGAACAGCGGAATTGTTCGCAGGCGCAGTCTTAGAATGATGAATCCCGATACGTCGTGAATTGAAAGCTCCTATTTAGCAAAGGTCAACGCCCCGTTAATTCCCATCAGTGTGTGCACACTCAGAGAAATGTCAAAAAGACCAAACAAACTTCAGTAATTCTGAAGTGCAGATATTGCTGCAAGAAGTAAGCGAAAAATGCAACATCACATTTAGTAGCGTCAGCAGTGGCTACAAAGCGGTAAATAAAACCCATGCATGGAATGCAATTACCCATGCAGTGAATGCAACTAAGTGTAGTGTGTATTTATTTGTTGCGAAATTATAAAAGAGAGAAATATTCCATTTTAAATTAGAACGGGCAAAAACGGTATAACATGTCAGCTCTGTGCGTAAATTATTTTCTTACCTAAGAAAAAATCCCAAATAAGAAAACATTGGTGAATCCCACAATCTTCGGGAAACCTGCGTAAGTGGGGACACAAATCTGTTCTTAAGAACATTTGGGTCACGTGTAACACCGGAGCTTTTAACTAATACAGCGGTTCAAAGCGACTGCTGCGAAAAAACGCATTTTTATGCAGCGCTGACACGTGAGCCCAAAAATAAAAGGCCGGTTCACGGCTCACGTGGGAAAGATCTCCCGCTCACTTTGAGTAGAGGAAAAAGGCTCACTGGAGCGGAGCGGACTCCCCCATGTGTTGTTCGTTGACTCCTCTTCCTCTCGCTCGTGCACTCTTCCTCAGGCCAGTCCCTGATGCTGGTCAGACAGCTGAAGGACGTGGAGGTCACGGCCCCTGACCGAGCCTGCTTTGAATGTGAGCTGTCGGGGGCCGTCCTCCAAGCGCCCGCGTGGAGCCTGAACGGCGAGCGCCTGCAGCCGGGCTCCCGGGTTCTCCTGGAGAGGATGGGCCCGGTGCACCGGCTGACCCTCAGACAGACCTCCACCGACATGAGTGGAGAGGTGGAGTTCTCCTCCGGCGGGGCCAAAAGCAGAGCCCAGCTCCGGGTACGCAGTAAGTGCAAAGAGACTTTACATGAGGTTCATTTCTCATTCACATTGGAAGTGGATTTAAAAGTCAAGTGAAAGTCAAAGGTGTGGATGTGTGTGTTCATGTCTATGGCACTCGTGGGGGACGTTAAAGTGAGACTCCTCCATGGATCCACCCTCCCATGTCATTATAGTATTCGCATGCATCTGTGCAACATGATTTCCAATTATACACAAATACTTCTTAATAATCTTTTTTATAAAACAGATGACAACGTATATGTTGTTCAAATGACATCAGCACTCTGTTAACAGCGTCAAAACGTTTTGCATATTAATATCCAATAATGTGTGTTTGTCTATGGACACGTCAGTGTATCAGGTGGAGGAATCAGACTCCTTCGTGCCACCGTAGTTAACGCCAAGCCACTTCACGTGGTCATCAAACTACTGTACTTAAGTACAATATTTACTTAAGTATTGACATTTTCTGCTAATATCTACTTCCTCTCAACTAATTTCTTCTTATATTCAAAATTTCTCGAATTCTTTTACCCAAATACATTTATTTGATAACAGCTGACAAGCAGATTAAGAATTTTCTATAAAGTGGTAAAACTTGTCCCAACTTCTGTACTAAAAGACAATTTTAAAGCAATTTTCACATTAATGCATCAGTAATTAATAGAAAAAATATTGTATAAAACGTCATTCTGAAATGTGCAATTCTGCATTTTGAATAATTGTTCTTTGCATGCTGTAAGTATATTATGACTCCAATTCATCTCTACTTGTACTTAAATAAACACACAACTTGTACTTATAACAAAGTATTTCTAAACTATGGTATTTCTACTTTTACAAAGTGGCAGAGCTAAGTAGTATTTACGGGTCACACTGAATTTAACTGACCAACTGATGTCATTCATAGAAACACTCACTAGATGGAGGCAACTTCAAGGTTTTCAGTTTGTGCGCATGAAGAAAGAAGAGTCATAACAGCGAAGTGGCTGCACACAAGAAGTATAAGTAAATGTATGCGGCAATGGTCTTTACTCCTTGAAATATTCAACCTAAACCATATTAACAGTGAAAGCACCACAGATAAACATAAATAACATGAACCCGAATGGCCGTGTCTGTGTGTTGCCTGACTTGCACTGAATGTTTTGTCGGCACACATGTACGTCAAGCAATATGGAGCACGTACACATCTCACGCCGTTTAAATGTGTAAGACGGCGTCATGTTTGTAGTTTTATTCAGACGCCTTTAAATCAAAGAATAATTGTAAACTTTCATGAATGCACTGAGCTTCAAACTGAAGGCGCTGTGCAGCAGAAGCAGGAATCTGAAAAGGTCACAGATCAGACGGTGGAAAGCAGCTGCTATAATTAAGTCCAGACTTCCTCACACCTCAGAGGTGCTACTCCACTACATTGATTTGATAACTTCAGTCACAAACTGATTCGGATTAATGCCCCATAATTCGATTAACAAACATGGCGAACACCGAACGCAGGACTCTTACAGGTTGAAGAGGAGTGGTGACGATGTGCTTTGTGTAACGGACGTGTTGCACGTGGCCGGTTCACGCTGAGACAGAATCAGGTCGGACTGAGTCTCATTTTGAATCCTCTGTTTTCACAGGTGATCCATGAGCATCATCTTGGACCCGTCGTCAGCTGATTTGTCATATCTATATCATACCTAAGTTATAACAATCTTATACTTTTATGTATGTATCCTGTGTGTTTACAAACAGTGTGTCTATAAAAGTGGTTTAAACAGGGTTGTGTTGGATTTTCATGCAGTTAATTCAGGGAGTGGATTTTCTTTTATCAACGTGCGTTGGAGAATTGTCTTCATGAAATTGTAAAAGTTCATGTAAAAGTTGTCATAGTCGCTGTGAGCACATTTTGAAATAGTTCCTTAATCCTAATTGCAGTTGTGTGGATGTAAATAACGTCCCGTGTGTTTCTGGTGAGACTGTAAGCATGTTATGGAAGTAAAAACATCTATTATCTGTTTATGCCATAAATATCTGATTAAATGAACAGGAAACTACAAATTTGGTAATTCTCAAAATGTGTGTAATAAATATGACATTGGAAGGCGGATCTGTAGGGAAAAATGAACCAGGTGTCTTTTCATCTCGGTAGTTGATAACTGATATTATTACACAAATATACAAAAATGAGTCCTTAATGTTAATTCCCCTTTTAGGAAATTTGCTCGTTGACAAAATGTTTTGCTCAAGACGCCATTGTGGTCTCTCATGAACACTGGTTGGCTGTTATTAGTTATTAAGCAATATAACCGGATTTGCGGATATTTTAATTTTCTCATATATCAGAACATAGTTTTCAGTTTTAACTGTTTCTATACAATATTCTGTGAATAAGTTCGATTTTACGATGGATCACAGCAATGATAAATTACATTTAACAATTCAAATCTCTTTTTATCGGTTTTCAGTTGTATAGATTTTTTTTTTTACATTTTTGATTTTAAGTTTGAATGAAGACAACTTTGTCTTGCAGAAAGGGCTTGTAATGTAAATACATTGGGCCAAATATCTGGTGATTTAGGACAGAAATGGGTAAAGAGATGACTTGATCACCTTGATTGATAATGAGGGCGTGTTAGTTTTATTGTTGGGAGTGTGTTTCAACTTATTGGAGGAGTCGTTTTCATGACATCTGTTACATATTCCATTTGACTGCCATGTTGTGCTGAGCGTAAAGATATGTGACAAAAAAAGAACTGCTGTAGTATAATATGACTCCTTAAATAAAACATGCTTTGTTGACGCAACGTAAAGATCTCAAGTTGTATTGTTTCTTTCCTCTTTATTTTTTACAATCAGCAGCAGTTTCACTTTTTAAAGCCGTTTCTTTACTGGAGTTAAAATGTTAATGCTCTTGTTGCATAAAGTAAAAAAAGAAGTGAAATTGTTATTAAAAGACAGGTTCTGAATTTTCACTTATTGTTAAAGTACCTTCTTTTTTCCCCCTCACACTGACGCACGTGGTCTCTTAAAAATCCTCATATGCACACGCACACGTCTGCACACTCGCTCCAGACTGAGTTTAAGTAAATCAGCGCTCGAGTACAAGTTACATTTACAGCCTGATACATTAGTGCATTATTTTCTTGCACGGTTTAAAAGTAATCAAAATATTCTTTAAAAATCAAATGTCTTTAGTTGGACGCAGCAGGTTACAGCCTCCTCCTCCTCCTCCTGCAGGCGCGTACAAGATCGAAATATGAAGCTCCAAGAGCTCCAAAAAACTAAAAAAGAAAACGTCAGGTGGAAAAGCATTAAAACCGAAGTGTATAATCTCGAGTCGACGTCCCTTCCAGCTGATCCAGTCGGAAGCGGTGTGTTGATATGATGTGAACAACAGGATTAGCTTTTCTTCCAAAGACGGAACGGAAGTGCACATCAGAAGGGTCTGTTCGAAAAACATGATGTGGAAATGTTCTTATGTGGTTGATTGTCTTTTACTACATATACATTCGGTCAATTTAGGCAACAACACAAAAGCAGGTTAGTGGGGTTTAAAGATCAGTTGTTAATAACTTGAGTTCCTCATATTATTAAAGTCATATCACATACAAAAACTGTTCTGAAATGAGAAAAACCCGACATCAACCTGCGTTTACACACTTTCACGACTCACTGCTGCCACGAAACGACAACAACAGTAAACTAGCGGCACTGCAATAGATATCTAGAGGAGTCATTGAATCTGATATTCAGTCCTTATCGATCTAAACGCCTTTGGATTGGATCACTTTCAGTGCCGAAGTACCAAAGGCTCCTGCAGGATGTCTTCTCACTCTGTTATGCAACATGCTGTAAGAATACCAGATTAAATGAGGCTTTATTTTGCAGGGTGGTCCTTGTAAATGGAAGCAGGCCTCCGTGGCCCCGTGACAGCAGCTGCTGGTTATTATGTTCAACCCAGCATCATCCTGCCTCCGTTAACTGGAAGTCCTCTGCTGCTGCTGCTGCTGCTGCTGCTGCTGCAGAACATCGTAGATGTCGTCCACTTTGCTTAGTCTCTCAAAGAAGGGGATGAGGTCGAGCAGCTCGGTGTCCGACATGTCGTCAAACCAGGACGCTACCGGAACCTAGAGGTTTAAAGAGGAAAGCTATTGAAATTAGAACCTTTTCCTCACCGCAAAGTAATTATTAATACTTCATTTTTGTATTAATGTTGTGGATTTCAAAATAAAAAGTATGTTGGGTTTCGCAGAGAAAGAAACATAATAACGTACCGCATTTTCGGGATGGAAGATGTAGGAAGCGGGGGAGTTATCGATGATGATGACCTTGTTGAGGTCTCTTCCTAAACGACTCAAGTCTTTCACGTAATTCCCTTTGTGGAAGACACATGACTCCCGGAAGAGACGGCTCTGGAAAGCCCCCCATTTGTCCAACAGGTCCGAAACAGGGTCCGCGTACTGTAGTAGAAAAACAGGTGGGAGTTCAGACAGTGCGAAGCCATGTTTTTACGTCATCCTATCACTGTGGTCAATAGACAATTACTTCATTAATCCCAACTGAGCAGCAAATGTATTAGCATGTCATTAGGATTGTACCAGACAACTTATGAGAAGTACATCAGCAAGCAGCTCAACTTCATTCAGTCGCTAGTTGCCGTCGTTGTTTGTTGTCTTTGTGTGAACCTGGTTTACTCAAACATTACAGCGCACACGGGCCGAGCCGACCTGCACCCCGTATAACAGGACAGAACCGTCATGTCGGCTACAGAGAAGCTCCGTCCACAACATCCAAGCATTGGTGCTTTCTAAAGATGAACTACGCGCTGCAGAGACGCCGTGTAACGGATGAGGTGAGAAGCCGTCGCTGAGCCACCAAACGATTCACACAGCTTAGTTGAGGTTAACGCAGTCTGAAGTGAGAGGTTGAAACGTGTGACTTGTATTGTAAATATATGCATGTGGAAGGTTAAATACAGTTCAAACACAGGGGTTCTACGTCACTATGTAAGGATTCAGCACACAATGAGTCGAGGGTTAAAGTGCAGGACACGGACATCTTCTCTCACCTTGGCTAAGCTGGCAGTGAACAAGACGCACTCAAACATCTCTCCCATCCTTCTGAGGAATTCATCCACGTGGGGTCTCTTCAACACGTACACCTGGGGGGACATGAACGAGGCGGGTGTGAGTATCTGCAGCCGGAGCCCCACATGCTTTACTCTTTCAGAAAGGAACACGAGAACCGCTCATGAGGAGGGAAACGTCTTCCTACTTCTGAGCCGTCCACATATTCTGAAGACGTCCTGACACGTGGTTTGTGAAAACGCTCATCGTCAAGATACTCGGTCATATTCCACAGGCACCAGGTTCCTAATGACTTCAGATCATTGCTTCTTACTTCTTTGTTAAGTGATGTTTTATACTGGTATTGAATTAAATAATGAATTCTATACCAGTGTACTGTGCAACCTGCGTGGTATTAATACATACAATAAAATAGATTTATCAAATGTTTGCCGTGGATCCTACATTTTCTTTTTCCTGCTTCGGACTAATGACATAAAAGATGATGTTTTGAGAAAACAGAAGGTAACGGGGGGCTATTGTGGTTGTGTCCTACAGTAATCTATTGTTGTTGTCGGTAGTCCTTGTTTGTTATGATACATTTAGTTACCGTGCGTAGTTAATGGGGGGAATGACCCCTTACCCACTGTGAGCACCTTGAACAGTATTTCATTTGCATGCGGATTATTCCATGTTGCTAAAATAAAACCAAACACTGCAAGCAGGAATCTGTGAGATCTCCTCCAAAAACATTTCATCTAACCGCCCCAGCAGGGCTTTAAAACGTCTTCCGCTAGGATGCTGGCGGCCTTGTTTCTGAACCAAGTCATCCCAAATAGGCTTTTCCCACTTTAACAAGCCTATCCTGGATTACTTGAAACAGACCCAGGCCTCTTTGGACACACAGAGCCCCTCGGCCTTCTGGGAGGCCCCAGCACAACAGCGACCGCCTGCAGGGAGCAGTCCCTGGCACCAATGGGAAGGACATAATATGTGCCACAGGGTGAGATTGATGGCCAGTGGTTTCTGAGAAGCCTGCCAGGTTTCGTCAGGCCTCCTAAATAGCCACCTGCTGCTTGGAGCCATCAACAGACGGCCCTGTCAAGGTTTCCAGAGCTAACCAAGTGCATTACTTTTGTATTTGAGAGCTTGCAAGATTTCCTAAATCTTCCTCCTGTTGAGCTCAGACGGCATCAAGCACTATTTGATCTGGTTGATCTGGTGTGCAACGCAGTGAAATACTGTTCAGTGCACATAAAAGGCGCTTTTCTTACAAATGTCCAACGATGGCGGCTTAATGCATTTACATTGTGTTGACTTGACTAGAGCCACACAAGACGGCAGTGTAACAAATGGCTACTTCGGCCTTTCAGGTGCTTACCTGGTGAACCGTTCCATCAATCTCCACTGGAATGATAAAATCAGCATTGTTCACTGGCTGTTGAAACGAAAAGAAGAGTTGTTAATCAGCTGTTATCCATGGAGATGTGATGGATCGCAATAAATCACATGTGTCAAATAGACACAACAAGGCCACCTCAGCATTTAAAAAAATGATGCAATCGGTAAATAATTTGACTCTTGTCGCTTTCATGATTGAAATATGGGTGCTACAGAAAGTGATGAGGGTCATAAAACACCTGGTTTATTCAGGCTTTTCTAGCATGTGAAATATGCTTCTCAAATGTTGGTATCAGGATATGCATGTTCTATATTAGGCATCACCCCGTGGCCGAAATTATACTGTGAGGTAATGCAGGTTAGACGGGACAAATATAACATCAATCATAAAGAACGCTTTTAGAATTAATGCGCAGTATTTATTCCTAAATGTTATTTTCTGTCCTTCACTCGCTTGTTTAATGTTTTGCATTTGAACAATCAGATAATAAGTAGTTAATCCATTGACTTGGTACTTTTTATTTTTGTAGCTGTCGTTGCCTCCTAAAGAAGTTGCAGTGAGGCCGATGTGATGTGACGTGGGATCCACTTCATTTTGGTTCAATCAGCTCTCGTCCCACTCATGTCAGGACCAATATGTTATTACATTTAGCATGAGAATCCTCCTGTTGCCCTTCTACTCTACACCATCCTTTATGCAGTAAAATACTGCCATCTTCACCTAAATGTTTGAGTACCATGCAGGCTTTAATGTCAAATGATATATTTCAATGTTTAAATGTAAAAAGTGTCCCACAGCACACTGCCTTTGAAATTACAACCAGGCCCCAAACTGCGGCACTAAACCCAACATTTATTATGTGTGTCAGAGTAATGATGACTTGTGTTAGACATAGAGTTCACAGTCTGACCCTGTTTACACATAACTAGGGGCAATATCTAGTGACATCCTTCAGGGACGGTCTGTGACCTGAGAAGGACTAAACACCACATGGCATTCATTACATAATTTGTCATGCCACAGGAGCCAGGACTTTTGGCCATGACTACTTTGTCCACTAAACGTTACCTTAAAAAGGCATCAAACTGATACGAAGGAGGGCCGTTAATTGTAAAACTCAAGGTGTCATTTTGTAGCGTCTTCACCCGCATACGTTAACACTGATTGTTTGCATTGTCTTGCAGAGATTCGATTTTAAAGAGCTGTTGTCAAAGTTTTTTATTATAAAACAACAGTACAGCGTTTATATGAAAATGACTCAATATTGCGTTCACCAGCCATTTGTTACGTCTTATCTACAGTATTTAAAACAAAATGATACATTACAGCTCAAGGCGTCCTTTTTCCTTTGCAATTTATTTTCAGATTGTTAATACTTTTCTTTAAATGTCATTTGTTTTCTGCATCATGAAATCAGAGCACCCATTAAATAAATGGTGAATGTCTAAATTGGCTCGGATCGTAATGATAAAAGTAAGTCATGTGCCTCCTATAAATATGCAACATGATGTAGTGCAAATCATACAGCTATTTTTACACCAGCAAGTAGATTGTTTATTTTGACAGTTAGGGTGCTATTTTTGAATACGTGATGACCTTTCAGTAATTAAAGGCCAAAAGTATCTTTAGAAGTTATGGAAGCCATTTAGTAGAGAAAGAATTAACCAAGTTGGACGGAAGGTAGTCGTCCGTTTTAAGATTTCAACAAAACAAAATATTTGCAATGAAGATTTTTAAGCGACTGCATCTTCTTTTAGTTTGTGGGGGGATTTATAATAAATCGGCTCTAAGCACAGTAGCTACAGGGCCACAGTTGTGTCATGGAACTAAAGGCTATTGAATTGATTGCAGACATGCTTGTTTACTTTAAACCCTTCAACAGCCTGGTTCTGATAAAAATGACTAATTCATTCACATACTAATTTATTCTGAACAAAAACATTATGGGGAGACGGTTAGAGTTATTTCTTGTTTGAGAAGTGTGTGCCGATTGCAACATTATCACGCAGCCACCCAGAAAGCTTCTGCTGCTGTCAAAGAAACAAGCAATGTGTCGTTTTGTCTGCCAAATTAAAAGTAGAAGCGATGCCCACGGTCATTATGGGGTCGTCGTGGCGCAGGGGTAGAGAAGGTGTGCTGGGAAGCACAAGGTTGGTGGTTCAATTCCAGGCTGCCCCATGTTCCATGTCGAAGTGTCCCTGAGCAAGACACCTAACCCCTAATTGCTTCCTGGGCAAAAATGTGAAAAAACCATGGGTTTAAAATGTAATGTAAGTCGCTTTGGATAAAAGCGTCTGCTAAATGACCTGTAATGTAATGTAATGTAATGTAATGTCATTACCAAGACCACAGCAAGTTCCACACTTCTAAATGTAGATCTGCACAGTGTGCAGAGGAGGTGTTTGTTTAAACTAAAGTCTCTTGGTGTACATTGTGAATTATTTTTGATGGCGTCACTGGGGAAGTTCTAATATTGTGTACTAGTGTATATAGAGAACTAATTATTGATACAGTTTGGAACTATTACCTGGTGTAAAAAGGAACCTGTTTTTTGCACATAAAATGTTCCTTTTTTTAACCCGAAGGAGCTAAAATGTCATGTAAAGAGTCATTTTCTATATTATTTTATCGCATTTATTAATTGCATTTTAAGCGGGGGATTTTATATCCATTCATAGTAATAAACTAGTAAAATAAATTAAATCAGACAATGCACAAACGTATTGCTATCTGACCTCTTCAACGCTGCAGTGTACATGAGGGAGAGTAGGTCACTTAGTCCAACTTACCTTAAATGAACTGTGCACTAGAGTTTCATCCAAATCAATGACCACACAGATCTTTCCTGCATCATTCAACTTGAGCTGTGGCAGCAGAGGTTTTGCCGGTACCTGCAGACAAAAAGAGCATTAAGATCTAAACCCGATTAAAAGCTTCTGGCTTTTGAGGCCACAATCTGAGCTCCACCAACAACTGATAAGTAATAACTTGAATTACAAGACATTACCATCTCACTTTGTGGAGTGGGACTTACGGCTCATAGTTGTGTTGTGGTGCTAGTGTGAGAACCTCCGGGGCTACAGCTGCTGCCACACTGATGGGAGCATGTAAACATTGCCATAGTGTGGCGCGTCCATCATCGGGGGCTCAGAGGCCGGTGTTTGTTATAGCGGTTCGGATGCTAAAAACAAGCTGGCATGGCCGAGCGGCCTGTAACACGGATGGGCGGGTTCGTCTGTGCAGGGTCAACTGCCACGTGAGCACAATGGCGTTTGACACAGGCTGCCAAGCTGAGCACTCCGCTAACTTATTCACTACCACAGTTGGCTTATTCGATTTAAAAATAGACCAACGGTACCGACGACAGATTCTGGGATGATATAAAGATGCTCCCGCGGGTCTGAAAACCCAGATGTGTTCTACTCCAATACGTCATATGTTAGAAAAAGGTGCAAAGACGCATTTTATACCTCCTCGATTGGTGGAAGGCAGTACTCGCATTGGCAAGGCTCGGTGGACTCGTCGTCACTCTGCTCCTCGTCTGAATCCACGCCTTCTTCAGAGGCCTCATTTCCCTCCGTCCTTCTGACCAACGTTGGCACGACTCTTCCTTCGTTTTTTGTAACACTGTGAATAATATCCAACGTAGGATTTATTGCTAATGACGTGTCACTGAATCCACGATCACAAGCTGATTCGGGAGCTTTTTCTTCGGTGGCTTCTTCCACAGCGGAGCCGTCGGTCGAATCATCTCTCAGTGTGATAACTCTAGTAATTCCAAATGGGAGCTCTTTGCCCTCCTCTGAAGCATCCTCGTGGATTATATGATCACACAAACTTCCTAGAAGGATAAATCCATTCAGGGCTTGTTTAACAGATGACTGGATGCTTTTCACCTGATTTGCATAGTATTCCTCGACACTGAGCTCAAATGTCTCTCCATCGTCCTCCTGATCAACGAGTGACCAATATGGCTCCACCTCGGAACAAGCGCTAAGTGCTTGGTCTTCAGGCTCAGTGACCGTTGTGTGTAAATCACCAGTGGTAGCGGTATTGACCTGAAGAGATTCATAATGCTGAGCGGCAAAAGCTTCATCTTCATAAGCGTCACCTTCAACAGAGATGTCCCCTGCACATGGCGTACTAACCCTTTCCCACAGCTCAGCTTCTTCTTTGTCTTCTTCTTCTTCTTCAGTACTGATTTCAGAAACATGGCTGTCAAACGCAGGGTTCTCATCTTCCTCTGTATGCCATTGAGATTCATCTTCCTCAACTTCATCCCCTGCTAGACTTGAGTTGTCATCAGACCCAAATGAGCCATCACCGATCTGACTTGCATCCTCCTCACACGTATCTTCATAAGCTTCTTCCAGAGCATCCAAACATACATCGGTTTCCTGCACAGGAAAGTCCTCGCTGACTCGCTCAGATTCAAAGGCCTTTCTGGCCAGCGTCTGCGCCTTGCATCGCAGGTCTTCAAGGTGCAGGCGGTCGTGGATGTCTCCCCCGTCGAAGCAGGAGATGTAACGCTGCTTCTGTGCGAACGCGTGTCTGCAGAAGTCACCGCTGTCGAACAGATCAAAAAAGTCCTCGACAACAGCATCAGCGGCGGGCGCTTTCTCCTCGTCGCTTCCGTCAATATCGCTTTGGGGTGTTTCATCATCGTCCTCAAAAGATTCCCACTGCGCGTGCTCATCGGTTGAGTCCTCCTGCGCGCCTTTCTCGGATTCCCCGGATGAATCAGAGCAGTGGTCTGAGGGAATGCTGCCGTCGGGACAGGTCTTAAAGGATTTGGTTTCAATGGAGGAGCAATCGGAAGAACCGTCTTCTTCAGTCCCAAACTCGGACTGCTCCGGAGTAGCACTGTCTTCATCGCGCTCTTGGCTGGTGTCACAATAAGCCGTTCCCCACGTTTCACAGTCCTCAGTGGACATGTTCAACGCAACGGCCTGTGCCACGTTTTCCTCAGCGAGCTGGTGGGTCGCACAGCAGTCACTCACCGAGGGAACATCTTTACGGTCCTCAAAATAAACCCGAACGGGCCGGTCGAACTGCGAGGTGTTCGCGTCCTGTGATAATGTGAGGGACTCGTCATCGACAGGCTCGATATCGCTTTGCTCGTCCTCTCCTTCGGGTGGACAGCCCTCTCCGCCGTCCTCGTCGGTGCATTCGTCGTACTCATAAAGCTCGGCCACGCAGTCCAATAAGTCCATAGAATTGGAGATATTGCGAGTGAAACTGGTCGTTTCACATTGCTCAGAGTCTTCTGTCGACGTGTCAGCCTCAGAGTCAGAGCACTCGTACTGCTGATCAGAGGCTTCGTATTGTTGCAGCAACCCGAGGTGTTCTGTGCCATCAGGTATGAAATCAGACATCTCACACTGCCCAAAACCCTCACAGTCCACGGCCACTGAAGCTGGCTCCGAGTCAAAAGACTCAAACTGTTGATTAGAGGGCTTACACTGCTGAAATAACAGGAGGCGTCCTGCACACTGTTCACAGCAACAACTACATTGGGAAGCTAAGCTATGATTAGTGGAGTGCTCAGAAGACTTGCGAGGTTTAAAGCTCACACAGTGGTGAGCACATTTCTCAAATGCTTGGCTTAACCCGGGAGTTTCACACTGATCGAGGATCTGGTTGGATTCGAAAAACCCGTCGCTTTCTGGGTATTGCTCAAAGCTCTCACAGTGTCCATTGCAATATGTGCAAGATTCTGTCTCATCTCTACTCCTGTTGCAGATATCCAGACAAACAATAGAAGGGTCCATTTCCTCGCTGACAGTCTGCTCCCTAAATTCCACGAGGACTTTCAAGCCAAGTTTGGCACTTCCCTTTAAAGGGCTGCTTAAATCCACAGCTTCGGTTAAACTGGGAAGCGGGCATTGTTCAGCCAGCATGGCCTCAGCAGACAGCCCCCCCTCCCCGGAGACCTTACTCTGCTCGGAGTTTTCCAAGTACATCAGGAAAGGATTCCAAAGTCTGGCTTCCGTTTGCTCAAGAGATTTTACTCCATGCATTGGATCCGGATCACGCAGAGTCCGAGTCCAAATGGCTGGCAGGTAACTGGAGGGCCCATTCAGAGTGGTTATTCACACAGCTGGTGGGGGCGGGGGGGGTGTCACTGAGACCAGATCCCCCAGGGAGAGTAACAGCAACAGCATGCATGTTAATATGACAGCTTGTCACAACCAAAACCGTGCACAGCACTCGACCCCCCCCCACACCCTCCTTTGCTCAAGACCGAGCAATTTATTTTGGGAACTTGGAAAGACGTGACAAATAACTTCTGGAATATCAAATCTCTATAAAGAGGCAACTAAGGCTTACATCTGAAACTGACACCTGAGAACGTCTTGACCACTTGATCTGCAGAGCATAACTGCCCAAAGTCATGCTCTTTTCTAAGAATAAGCTCAGCAAAACAGCAGGGGGGGGGGCATTGTTAATTGTCCAGAAAGATAACGTGATAGTGGCCAGCCATTCCGTCTGTGCATACGTTGTTCCAGGGAAGGCTAAAGAACAAGACCAAATACATCCTGAGGAGTAGTGTGGTGCACTCTGCTTGTGGCACATCTCCAGTAGCATCTTCTTTTTCCTTCTTCTTTTGATCTTGCATTCACACCTCTGCACCATTTGCACCCTTCCCGTAACACCCAGGGATCATGATAGATGAACACGGCAGGGCTTTTCAACACTGCCCGTACCGCATACCAGGAGACGTCGCCGTGTGAACACGAAAAGCTCGAAGCCAAGGAAGCACATGTTTGACTCATCCCCCGGCTGTCGGGTCACGCGGACCGCATGCCGGGACGAGGCAGAGGGAAAGCAACACGGGGAGGAGAACTTACTTTAGAGAGACTTCCATTTTCCTCGACCAAGAGCGGCGCGTTGTTCTTCAGGGGACGTGGCTCCGACTCCCTGCTACAAAGACAGCAGAAGAGGCTGCGGAGAAGGCCTCGTCCGCGATGCTTCCTCGAGGGGGAAACCTCAGGGGCAGCTGGAACAGAGCGAGAAAGAGAACGAGCGTAAGGCGTGCGGACCTCACTGGAGCAGCATGACTGAGATGCACGGACCCCCCTCAAGTGGAACTGACGAGCGTTATTCTTTAGCAGATTCCACCGGCTAAACACGGGGGAACTCGTCAAACTGCTCATGAGCACGCCGCCAGATTTTCAGTTGTTTTGTTGTTACTTGTGTTATCCCCTTTTCATCCCGGCCGGAGAACACGGTGTGGAGTTTCAGACACATCTCGTCGGTATCGGCAGCGCTGCTGATCGGATAAAACCGATCTGTGCAGCTCTGGCCGGTCTGTCAGCGTTTCGCCGCGCTGTGCTCTCCATCATGTTGTGTTCCGCTTGAATATGGTTATTTTAGATGGGCAGCAAAAGGTTACTACATTGCATAACATAAGTGTAGGTGTAGGGTTAGCCCCAAAAATAGTCAGGCGAAAACATCCTGGACACATTTAATTTCCAGTGCATGTTTTTGTTGTTCAAATACCAAGAATTAGCTGGAACAGCTTTCCCAATGACTATCAGCAACCAGAGTATTTACGGCATCATTTGTCCATTACTTCTATGTGTTGTCACTGGAATGGTGAAGCTAAAAGAATTGTGATGTTTTAACTGTCATCATACTGACCCTCTGGATTTTACTGCATATCACAGGACACAGAATGGCTTACAGTGACACATGTGAGCTATGCTGTTACATGCACTATAACAGGGGAGATACTATTTACACTTAGAAAAGTACAAAATTCAAATAATGAAGAGGAGTTGCATTATGAGCCATTATCAAAGATCCGCTGCCAAAATTTGACAATTATCACAATATATTTTTTTTATACGAGGAGGATCACAAACACACTGAAAATTCCAATACGCCTCGGAAAGTTAAATGAACATGTGTGGACGTGAGCTACTCTCTCCTCGGTCTCGCGTCTTAATCTGGGGAATGTTATCAGGCAGTAATTGCTCCAAAGAATGTTTTCCTTTCCGTTTTAAGCGCTCGGTTCTGAAGCTGAGAACTCACCTCCACACTCAACATCCCCTCGGTGCTTGCTGTGTCATTCATAACATCATTATCAACAGAGCGCTTTCAACCATTTATATTTGCTAACATTCATTTTTAGTTTTAGCACTTTAGTTTTTACTTGAGTAAAGTAAGGGGTTTAGGGCTGTCAAAATTGCTCAAAAATGACGTTCGAATATTCACTTAAAAAAAAAAACACAGATACAGACACAGAAAATATTCGAATATCTGGTTGCGCATTAGACACGTCAAAAACAGGACAAATTAATACAACGAGACATAACTACTTGTATAGGTCATTTATTTAAGTTTAAACCGATTTAACAACATATTAATTGCACAAAAATAAGTAAATGAACTAACGCAAACGACCGCAGATCTCTGCAGAGTGCTGATCAAGAGTTTTGTGCAAGCAATTTAAGGTCGCGATTCTTGTCCCAAATATGGCAGGTTTCATTCAGTGATTGAAACTGAACGTTTTACAGCACCGACATTGAACGCTCCGAGCGATCTGTGCTGTAAACACTGAACTTTTCCTTGGCATGAAAACAGCAAACAATCAAGCCTACTGTATATAGTCTATATTATTCATGCAATATAGTCAATACAGGCGCGTGCCACCGGCAAAGCAGACAGTCGCGCCGCTGTTTTTTTTTTTTACTTTCAAATATTAATTTTCACATTTGAATAGTTGTTATATATATTCAAATATAGAATATTCGTTGACAGCCCTATTGCTCTTCATGTTATTTTAATATCTGTGGACGACGATACTTTGGATAACACATATGAATTCTATTTTTTTTATCTACCCTAACGTCCCATCAACGGTGAGTGATGAGTTTTCAAAAAAAGAGAGACTGATAAATGAGCTGAGCCTTGATGAGCTGTCAGCTGAGGCCTTAACGCGCCGCTTGGATCAGATTAAATCAGTTGCCTCAGCATGGTGAGGATCTGTCAACTTAATGTTTGGAAAGTTTAGCACCAATGAGCAATGAAATTGTTTGAGCATACGAGGTGTTGCTATGGTGACTGCCGGGATGACCAAAACACATCCCCTGATGATGAAAATGATTAACAGGAAGGAAAAAAAAGATTTGGTGTATTACAAGGTTTCTTTTGTCCCTTTTTTTTTTATAACAGCAGCTATTCAAAGTCACTACATTCACCATCTTTTATTAACCATTCATTTTGGCCCTGGTTTAATCCCTGAACAAGTGTGACCTACTTAGAGGCGTCACAATGACTGTGTTGACCACTTCATCCAGCTGAGGCTGACAGCGGCCGGCAGCCCTGGAGAGCTGTCACAATGACCCCGGCATGCTGATGGGGAGATTCCTCTCTCTGGTCCCAAGACGACAGGCCTGCGTGCCGACACGTGTGAAGGCAGCGGGCAGGTGAGGTTTGTAGCGTTAGAAAACATCACGCTGCTCGCTGCATTGCCTCTTCTCATGTTACACTTTGGGGGGGCCTAAAATAGCCGACCACAGCAGCTGGTGACAGCGGTTAGTGATGATATTATGTGTACGAATACAGTATTTGGGAGCGCAAACTCCAGCACCAGCGGGCCGTAAATGGTCACAAATACAACTTTGTGGGGTCACCTACGAATCTACAGCGGGAGAACGTTTTAGCTGCGTCACACTGTAGCAAACATCTGATTTAATGGGGGTTTTTATCCCAAAAAAATTTAATTAATTTAAAACTTGGAAAGTGGGAAGGAATATAATCCCCTCCCCCGGGACAGCTGCTCCAGTACATTTAATGATGTTGTAAAGAAAAACTACAGTAAGACCACAGATGTATCGTACTCAAAGGGCTCATGTGATGCACATGGTCAGTAGTTTGCTCTGCTTTAAAACGGCGTCACACGCTGCACACAGTTTTTCTCTGAACGGCACCGGGGGATGCTGGGTAATTGGAAACATTAAAAAGATTTGATGTACTGTAGTTTGATTCATTAGTTTGCACTCATTGGCTTGCTGCGTGTAGAATTAGGAAGCGGACGCGGGCGAGGAGAGGCATTCCTCACACCTCTGCGGCTGAGACGCTGATAACGAGGTTGGGGCATATCCGAAGGGGCAGCAACGACCTCGCGCCACATCAGCATGTTTCAGGCCACTTAGTTGAAAGCGGGCTTATCTGGGAGCCGCTTTCGGAACGGGTATGCTGCCTCGGCACATGGCTGCGCCTTCTATTCCCATCCAGACACAGAAAGAATGAGGCCTCCGGCGGCCGACTATCCGCCACTTTGACACCGGATATTCCGGTACAATCTGTCAGCTCGCTTCACACCCCTGCAGAGCGGCCCGGTACACCGGGTTCAGGAGAGGCTCAGGGTTTGAACCATTTTTTTGTGTCTGAAAAGGGACACGTCCACTAAAACGAACTGTTGAAGCTGCTGTGCTGAATAGAAGATGTGGCTTGATGGTTCAGAAGGTGATTCCTGAAAATATCCCAAACTGCACTGGAATGACCGTGAAATCCTGGCCAGCAAACTGCACATTACAATCGCAGAGGTGACGCCAAAGAACCACGACGCCAAACACAGAATTCAAATCAAATGTCCCGAAGTGAACGCCACTGACGCCTATCTGGCTACGGCAAACGTGTGAAACTACAGGAGGGCTGAAGGCGGCGCCCCACCCTGTTTCCACACGGCGCCTGGCTTCTGGATAGCATGCCATGTTTTGGACTCATGACCACCTTGGCCAGGAAGAAGTAATCGGAGAACGCGCTGGAGATGGCTGGGTCTCGTAGGCTTGCAGAATGCTGCCACCTTCTGACTGGACTCTGGGCTGTCAACTTTAGACAAGACCGCTTGGATTACAACGCTGTGTTTTAGAGCAGGAATAAGAAAAAGCACATTCATTCCCGTGTCTAAGGACACCTTGCAGACCTTTGCAGACTTCATGAAAATATGAAATATGTATGGATATCAAATATATGGGGCAATGACTTGCACGGTGAGCATTTACTTGATATATGTGCTTAGAAAAACAGCAGAGCTTCCATGACGGAATACTTCATGTTATAAAGAAAAATACGCCACTCATAAGAGAGTAAGTAGCAGTTGATGTTTCTTTAGTGTTTTATTCAAAAGGCGTCTTCATTGGAACTGCCTTTTCTAGACAAAACCAACTATGTGCTCATTTTCATCCCGTCACACAGGGGATTTGTGTGACATTTTCAAGGGCCTGTTGTTGTGAAATGTTAAGGTTTCAGACTAAAAATGTGTTCTTTTCTCATTCAAAAGCTTGATTTAAGTTACCAGCATTCAAGTACGTAATCCAAATACATGAACATAAACTACATCCTGTTTTTTTTAAGCAAACGTGGGGTATAGAGGACGTGTCATGGAGACGAGATGAATGATTCTCTTGATACCTCGTAGGCTGCAGCAAGAACAAATCCATCTTGTGTGGGAACACTTGCAATTTCACATTCATTCATTGTTAATTTAGCATGACTAGTGTAAAAGTGGACTCGCACCAACTGGTTTTGGGCCCCTCGCGGGAGAGCTGATCCATTTCAAGAATTAGGTTAGTGCGTTTTGCACATTGTGTCACCCACCCGGGAAGCCCCCTGTTGACCCAGAACTAGTGACCACAACTACTGACCTTACATCACAAGGAGAGAGCACCGCGGCTCTGTCCATTTAGCATCATTGTGTGTGTTTATATAGTTTAATAAAAGATACATTCTTGGGATAATCTCGAATCAAATAAAGTGAAGCAGATCAACGTCAGAGCGCAAAACCGTAACAGTGAGCCGTCAGAGTGACCCCGCCCCCTTTGACACGACACGTTGTTTCGGATATTTTAGTGCAGCTCTGGATTCATGTCGCGCCGCAGAGCTCCGTGACCTTTGCTTCACACGCGGCGACTCGTCTACAGTCAAAAACGTGCGTGTTTTCTGTGCGTTTTGCAGCTGGTTGGCGGCTGCGAGGAGCTCCGGCCCGCCGAGAGAGACACCCGGCTTCCCCCCCCCCCCGCTCAGTCCCGCGCCTCAAAACGCACAAAACACCCCTCACCCAGGGGACTTTAATGTCCTCCCGGGAAGACATTGTTAAGAGCTCGTTGTTGCGTTTGTGACAACGTGGCGTCCTGAAGAAGAAAAAAAAGAGAGAAAAAGGAGCGAAACAGCGCCGTGCTGCCTGACGGCCACACGCAGCCGAAAAGTTCAGCAAACTTGCCCAAACTCACCGTCCTCGCGCCGGGCCGCATTATCCTCCTCGTCTCGGGTTACTTGTGTGATTACCGACGGCGAACGGTCCATTAGATCCGCCACTCACGCACAACTTATTGCTGTATTTTCAGGTGTTATGGCCAAAAGAGAGAGGGAGGAAAAAAAGAAAAAAAAGAAGAGTATTTATATTTTGCCACTCCCTGTCTGCGGACGCGCATGCTGAGCGTGAAACCCAAGAACAGCGGCGGAAAAGCGTGCGGAGCGTCACGGGCCGCGCTGCGTCGCAACGCGACCAGTTGAGAGGCCTCGGAGACTGTTGTTCCTAAAAGTAGTTAGTTGCGTTCATCAATGTGGCCATGCGGACATGGAACCTGACGGTTTCAAGGAAGCCCGATTCTCGCGGGGCGCGAGGCTCCGCGCCAACCGCCGCTGCGCGAGCGTCACGCCGCCGCTGTTTCAATTGTGGGAAATATCGTAGGAAGTTTCAGTGCGTTTCCCACGTTTCATTGTTGCATTATTTTGTGTGTTTACTTGCCGAACGGAAAAAAATGGCATTTTTCTAAATGGTCACGTCGAAGGTGAAACGTATTTAGTTTTCTGTCGTTTCTGTTTAAAAAAAAGACTGATTTCATGCACCGCGGGGGCAGCCTTGAAACCGAGGAAGTTACGGACAGTCTTTAAAGTGCCCGCACCTTAGATCAAAGTTACTCTGCGTGCCTTCTGAAAAAGCCTCCTCCACCGCGTAAACGAGGGATATTTCAAACTTATTTTTAAAAAAGACCTCTGCAACTATATTACACTCAATCTGAAAATGGAACTATTCGGTGAAACTTTGTATCCGTTTTATTGCATTGCCACAAGTAACAGTTACACACGCGCTGAGTGTACCTGTGATTCCTCTGATCACCGCCAGGTGCTGCTGGCGGCATGAAAACAAATATCTCACTCCACATTGTCTGTCAAAATCCCGATTCATTTGTTTACCCACGAGAAGATGAGGTCTCATTTATTGCATTTCCAGTGGATATTGCATTTTGATGATCTTTTCCATTATATAGACGCTTCGTTTTGAAAATCAGTAAGTGACCATTTGACAGCAAATTGTAAAAGCCTGCTCGCACTTTTCACAACTAACGCTGGACAAACAAATTGCAAAAGCTGTTTTCATACATCCTTTATTGTTCATAGCCTTAACAGCTGTCATGCCATTTTCCATGCCAGGTTCAGAAAGTTCACAAAATAAAAAGCAGCAGCTATAACAAACACAATCACTCAATAAATAAACAATTTGCGAAACACACACAAAAGCAGTCACATTCATATAACCAAAATATAAACTTTTTTTCTCTGTGGGTCGAATATCCATCACGTGGCACTGCAACACATTCCACAAAGTACGGCAGAGGATTTCAATTCAAAACGCGGAACTGTCAGCATCTTTTTTTTCCACATCCCTGTTGGCTGCTTCCAAACGGTTGTAATATAACTATATTATTAAGGAACAGAATATAGTGCACAGACATAAATGCAAAATTGCAATCTCATGCTGATCTTGTGTGTTTTTATTTGCATTGAAAACAACTCCCTTTGTGATTAACTTCCACTCTGCATATGAAAGGGTCAAAGGGCAGCATTTATCTAGCAATAGCATTACAATATATAGAAGTACTAAAATAGTTCCATAGAAGTACCGATCCTCTATCTCAGTCATAAGGGAGATAAGTCATCAGTATTTCTCTTAAAAGGATCCAATCCGTCATAGCAAACACACTTTGTGTGTGAAGCGTGTACTCGACACACGTGACAGAAAAGTGATTTTAAAAAGCTGTGCAATCGTTTCACATGCTGGTCTCAAAACTGAATTTGCCCCTTGACAAGCAAAGGGGTATGAAAGGAACAACACAACTTTTGGTTCATACTCGTCTTCCTCGCCCCGTTTCTAAAGCTGTCACATAAAAGCAAAAATACCCCCAAAATGATTTAATGGTTTGCAAATCAACCAGGCCTGAATCGTCACATTCACAATCTCTGTATGAAGAACCAAGGCCTGTTTTTTGTTAAGACATACCTCCTTATTTCCCATAGACATAGAGAGCACAGAGTCAGAGGAAATGCTTATATTATTCATATATAAAATATAAATACAGTCTTAGATTCATAACATTTTGGATTTCATGTTTTACGTGCTTTGCAGACACTACAATATTGCATGTTGATTGAATTTGTGTTTCAATCACTGTGTTGTCGCTCGGCTGGAAACCAGAATGGTGCACGATGCTTCATGAAGAGATTAAATTCATAAATATTCATAATTTAATTTGAACTAATTATACTTAACTTACTTTATAAAAAGTCCGGCCATTTCAAGATTGTAATATATTTATTTAAAAAATAAATAAATATGTTTCAAAGCAACAGCTATTAGCAATTGACGTTTACAGCAGAAAGATCAAATAAACTCAACAATGTCTTAATAAACATGGTTCGCCGCCTAATGCCAACCGGTTAAAGGCAAAAGAGGGCAACCCAGTATCACCAGTTGGTTTCTAATGTGGTTCAAACGTTTTGTCTATGACTCCCCAGAATAATGTTTGATAATGTCTTTGCAGCTCTGGCCATGTGTTGTATTCACATTCTCAGAACCCTCAGACTCACTCCACCAAAAGCAAACGTCCTTCTAGTGAACCCCGAGAGGAGAGGGAGCGGATCCTTGGGCCGAGCGAAGGCGCCAACGTGCCGGCTGATAGCCTACTAGAGGTGAAGGAAGAAGCCTCTGCTAACCACCAACACAGTGGATCCGCTTGTGCTGTGCATATCGCTATGTGGAGCAGAAGGGATGATCCAACAATGAATTATAAAACAAAAGTATGGTTTTCTATTATCATTACCAGACATCGGTATATTAAGTAACATTAGGGAGGACATGCGTCCTTTTCTATTAGCCCTTGTAGAAAATCTTCCGATTTATCCTCTGAAACTCTGAACAAAAGAAGTTACCGGATGTGCTACAATCTTGACGATCATTGAAATGCTACAAAACTCAGCACAAATAGATTGGATTGAGTGTATGTTAGAATGGACCTCAGGAAACATTTACATATTAAACTATAGATCAAAATCAGAGGTGTTGCTGCGGAAAAGACGCCAATTGTTTCTGCGCCCCTTGTTCTGAAATTGCGTAGTATTCATTATTTTGCAATCTTGTGGGTAACTATAGATTTTCAACATCAAACCTCTATTAGAGCAGTCTTAGGCCTCCCATGGTGGGTTACTGCAGCGTGATATTAATAATGCATTTCCTCTAATATGGGGAGAGTTGACAGTAAACCCGTAGTAGTTTATCCAAAATGTATGCAAAGTTACAAACCTTGAGGTACTAACTTTAAAGGGGACATCCTGTCTAGTATGAACAAGGTCCACCATATAAAAAAAACCCCACTCAGGCTCTTTATTAGAAGAGGTTCCCTTAAGCGAGAAAAGAACCACAAAAGAAGAGGAAGTGACGTCTTCTTAGACCACATCCACTGCTGGTTTCTTGACCGTTTATCTCTTTTCCTTTTATTTTGTCCGTCTGCCCAAGTTCAACCACTCCGACCTGACAGGGCCGCCCCGCCTCTCGGCCCAAAGTCTCGTCTCGCTCTTGAAGGTTCCTCTGCGCCGTCCGGACAACCGGTGTTTGGAAGCCTTTTTGTTGTGTTTTTTTCACTGGGTGACGGGTGAGGTGGGGTAAGTTGGCACATTCGGCGAGGCGGGGCTGGTGGGGGTTTGCGGCGAGCTCTGGTAGGACCGCAGGAGGACTTTGTGCTTGGTGGACACCTCCTCTCGCCTGCGCTGCTGGTCGGCCAAGAATTCCTTGAGACGGGTAGTTGTGAAGGTGAGGGTCTGCCTGCGAAGGCGCATCAGGTAGGCATCTTGAAGCCAGGAGTTACTGAAGCAGTCCTTAATGGAGGGACGGGCCCTGTGCGAGAGCAGAGAGTGAGGATCCAAACAGGCAACGAGAGAGAGATTGGAATTGTGTATGACAAAGGAAGTAGGAAAAGCTTACCACGGGTAGCTACAGAGGATCTTTTTGAGGAACAGGGAGGCACTTTGGGACACATTCTGATAGAGCTTAGAGAGGTCAAACTTTGCCGCCTGGATCCTAGCTTCCGTCTCCGTAGGATCGTTTTCAATGAAAGGCGACTTGCCGCTCAACCTGGATAATCAAGTTGACAATGAAATCGGCGCGGATCCCTCAAGGCGCGTCCCAGTGAACCATAATATCAAACATTACATTACATGAGTGCTGTAAGAGTGACAAGGTGTTTTACAACATGTAACAGAAAAGGTGTTACATAAAAAGATCTGAAACCAAATGTTTCACCTATAAGCGTAATTTTTCAGAGTACTTTGTTCTATTTCAATTTCTATTTAAAGAGGCCTGACTGGGTGGAAGCTGTGAAAGCGGTACTCACATGATGAAAGTCAACACGCCCACGCTCCAGATGTCAGCCGGAGGACCCACAACATCCCCTTTCAACATCTCTGGAGCTGCAAGAATAAAGGCAAATGTTTCACCACATTACACTGAACTTCAATTACATCTGCAAATTCATGCGTACTATAGGTAATTACTAAATTATGTTTTTGAATATGTCTGTTTTAAATGTGAATGGATAGTTTAAGATAGTGCCCGCCAACGTCCGAAACAGTTACATGAAGGATAGTAATCTGTATTAAATATTTGTACTCAACAATCTAGAAAAAATGAACAAAGATAATACAAACCTTAGGGTGTCCCTAGTAATCTAGCTAATTACGGCGTGAGTTGCATAGTTTTGGAGAGCATAGTTGAGGTACACAAAAAAGCAAAAAAACACCTGACAGACTCAAATCTCTACCATAGTTCCTAAATTGAAGTAAAGGCAGAAATCTCTATGACCGGTGCCTCCAAAACTGGCCGACTCACACCAAAGCAATCTAGATGTATGAACAGCACAGTGACTTATTGACTAGAGGCGCTTCACTTTCCCATTTGTGCAGCTAAAACAGGCACTTACACATGTACTCCAGTGTTCCTATAGGAGGGCTGAACTGCTTGAGGAAGAGGGGGTTGTAAGTCTGAGCGCTGCCAAAGTCAATGATCTTGATGACGTTCATGTAGGTGATGATGACGTTCTCCGGCTTGATGTCCAGGTGGAGGATGCGTCGGGTGTGGAGGTATTCCAGGCCCTGTAGGATCTGCACAATGTACGTCACCACATCATCCTCCGAGTAACGGAACCTGGACCGCAATCCAGAAAACAGCTCGTCATAAAGTCTTCTCATTCAGCAGAAATAGGAAACCGCCGCCAGAGAAGCGACCACTTCAACAAGTACATCCCTGTGGGCTCACCTGTCTATGAGGCTGAAGAGCAGCTCCTTTCCACTGCAGTACTCAGAGATGAGCACCAGGTAGCGCGGGGTGACGTAGGCTTCATGCAGGCCCATGACCCTGTCATGGTGGAGCGATTTGAGGATGTCGTACTCCTGCAGCACTGTCTGCTTGCTGTCCGCCTCGTAGGGAACGATCTTGGCCATGAAGAGGTTGCCCGTGGCGTTTTCCCGGCACTCACGGATCACACCAAACCGACCCCTGTGTGACAAAGAGTGTGTCAAAGCTTTACATTTCCCAGTGTGTCCGCAAGCGCAGACAGATTAATGCACAGCTCAGATACTAATCTCAAACCTGGCGCAGATGATATTTGGCTTGTTGTAAAGCCAATTTCAAAATGCATAATAAAATATGACATTCTATAATTACAAGTACAAATATTTAAGTGTGAATATGAATAGAAATCAACATGTATTCAGCAGAGCATTGTATCAAACAGTTCACTGCTTAAAAATGCTTACACTGTTTTTTTTATGTTTGTATGTTTATGTTTTCATATTAGGAAATATTTACTCAGATCTTCTCCTTAAGCAATAATAACATTATTGGAAAACCCTCGACTCCGATCAAAGGTATGTGCAGTCCAAACTTTACTTAAATATTCAGTGTTTATGATTTGGCGACATCTAGTGGTGGGATTATAGATTGCAACTGACTGAAACCTCTCCAATGTTACTCGCATGGAGAAGGCCGATGCAGAAAGGGAAAAATGTTTGGTTTGTTCGTTTGTCTGTTCTGGGCCACTGGAGGAACGTGGCGAGGCGACACGGTGGACTCTGTGAAGCGTACCCGATCCCCATAAACGGCTTATTTTAAGATTATTCATTTCTTTTGATTATACCACCTTAGAAATGATAAAAATGATATCATGATTCACGATTATAATTTGATGTTGTACAGTAAAATGTTGTGCGTATTGATGTTTAAAGTGTAGGTGGCATTTTTACTACCATATTTTGCTCACTTTATTGTTGGGATGTCATGTCTACAGCGCTGCATCATATTCCACGTCATTATAACAATTCAACTTTAACGCATAACAATTCAACTTTGACGCATTTTACAAGTAATCCCAGAGGCTTGTAAAATAACTATTTTAGCTCCAGAAGTGGGAGAATCTTCTCTGCAGTTACCTCGCTTTCTCATCCATGAAGGTGTAAGGCTTCTGTGGGACTCCCTGGCGCAGAGATCCGTCTCCGGGCTTTCCCAGCGGCGTCCTGCGTCCCGAAGGTGTAGCCCGCCCTGTGGGGGTGACCCGCCCTGACGGAGTGACCCTTCCGGAGGGGGTGCCCCGACTGTCCCCTAGCTGCAGCAGCGGCGTCAGGCTCTGCACCACTACCACGGGCGGCGGGGCGGCCGTGGACACCGGGGTACTCACAGGAGGGACTGAAAGGGTGGTGGTTGGTGGGGTGGAACTCATTTGGGAAGGTGGAGTAACCCCCGGGGTGGGGGCCTGCACATACATTGGAACGGACGAAATAGGTTTACCAATGGCAGGTGCCGGTGCCGGTGTGGGAGAAAGGGATTTGTTGGCTATTTGAAGGACTGAATTTACAGGACTTTTAGGCTTGGGTGGGACAATGGGGGGAAGCGCCAATTTTATTTGGGGTCTGCCAACGCTGATGCTCAGGGTGGACTTGGCTTTGGCGACCGGGGCTTGGACCGCAGCTGCCGATGTCTGGGCGAGAGACGGTTCCGAGGCAGCCGTGCTAACGGCCGGAGCAACGGCAGGACGGTTCGCCTCCGCCTGCATGGTCGGTCTAAGGGTCACCAAGGGAGCAGGGTGAGCCACGGACGTAGCCGGACCCGAAGACGGAGGCGGGACAGGTGTCGCGGTAGTGGATTTACTTGGAGCTGGTTTAATGGGAGGCACTTTCATCGACGACATCATCACCACAGGCAGGGGAGCGGCAGGGGCCGGTACAGTCTTCACCACCACGGGAGCGCTGGATTTAGCTGGTTCTAATGAAAGATGAGGAGAGGACGGACACACCTCAAAGACTTCATCTGACATTTGACAAGGACAACACCTGCAGTGTGAAGATCTGCAACAAAGCCGGCCCACTCTGCGCTTTGTCAATTGCAATTTGTATAGTGCCGTTTCATTGATACGAAAGTATCATCACAACACACATGTATCAAAAAGATATTATTAGTAGAACAAAAACAAAAACCACACAAAACCTTACGGGAATCTTTACATTCAGAAGAATACCGATACGTTGAAAGCAGCTATTTGTATATTTGACATCTGAAATAAGCTCATAGGTCTCACAGGTCTGGGGTGATACATACCTGAAGCACTCAGTCTCACTACCTCTGACAGGTTGCTGTAGGGGCCCTGTCCAGCTTTGTTGACGCATGCCACCCTGAACCTGAAGGAGCCCCCAGCCGGCAGGTCGGCAACATTGTAATAACAGTCTGCCACCCCCGTGGCCATGATCAACCAGTTGGTCTCACCTGGGGAGAAAAAGTATAATTGATCCATGTGTTTAATTTAATTCATGTTGCATTTATGTTTAAATTGGTTTAATCTCATTTGCTGTAAACAAGTGTGAGGGGTCAGGAATTCGACACAGGTGCAGAGCAATACGGTAACAAAAACGTCTTTCCAGGTTTGGAATCTTTTACTAGGAAGATAAAATAATGCAAGACAAAAGGGTGCACAGGCAAAGGCGGAATCCACACGCTCTTGTAGAAACAAAAAGGAAGAGGGCCTGGCAACGAAGTAAAAACAAGATAACCACAAAACAGCACTGGGACTTTCTAACTACAAACATGCACCTCTGGGAAAGACAAAAGATAACCTGACACAGACAAGTGGGGAACTGAGGCTTAAATACAGGTGGAGGTGATTGCAAACTAAACTCAGCTGTGGGGAGAAACGAAGGGTGAGAAACTAGATACAGGAAGTGCAGTGGTTACAAAAATAAAAACAGGAAGTTAATCTTCACTGTCTTTTCGAGTCGTCACAACAAGTAGTTCACGAAGCACCTGTAACACTCGGTGCCATAGCTCACATGTTGCCATAGAAACCTCAAGATTGTTGGTATTATTGGAATGGTTCGCATCACTAACTTTGTTTCTTTCAGAGTATTTGTGCTTTCTCACCTCACAGGTTTCCATGGACAACAATTCATATTTGTACTGGATGTTTACAATGTAGTAATCTTTCTAGATACAACGAGCCACAATCTATTGAGTATTTTTGTTTTGCAAAACTCTACCGTCTGGAATTAGATGGAAAAAGTGTGTGTGGACATTTGATACTGATCACCTGTCTTAAAAAGTCATTAGAACATTTAACCATTGTTAGTAAGTACTGACCCTCTGCTCTCCTCTCCAAAGAATATGTGCAGGGAGCCATAGTGTCTGAGGGCCTCCACAGTACCAGGGCTGTGTTGTTGTGCTTCTGGGGTATTTCCGGGGTCCCAGGACGGTTAGGCAGACCTGTACAAGTGTTACATACCTATCACTTTTTACTCCAGTTTCATAACTGGCTCTCGGTTGTCTATCCAGCAGACTAACAGTACTGATTACAGGTGTCATTTACCATATAAGCAATGCAATAAACAGAAACTGTATGCTGTTTTTAGGAAGATTAACGCGGTTTACAGACAGACATAAAAGTGACGTATGTCCAAGTTCTTACGAGCAAGAGATATTGTGCAACAGCTGGACACTGTGGCCAGGGGGCTTGTAGCAACACATTCATAGACCCCTGCATCCTTTTTGGTGGTCTGCATGATCATCAGTAGCTGCCGGCCATCGGGACAGGCGATCATGTTCATTCTGGCATCAATCTCCAGGGGCTTCTTATCTGAGGAATCACAGCACAAAACAGGGGTTCTAGAGTAAAAAAGAACATCTGTTTACCTTACCTGCTGTACTATTTAGTTAAAATGTATGCAACAGTGTAACTTGTGTGCTTAATGTTGCCATCATTATCCCTCTGCCCTCATGCTCCAAGGAATCATTATCTAAATTATTGTAACTAGCAAGATAAGCTGGCATGCATCTGGGAGCCCATGACCTGGGTGATATATTTAAATAACAGATATTTACTTTTCATCCAGGTGATGTGTGGGTGGGGGCTGCCTGCTGGCAGACAGCTGAGGGTGACTGGATCCCCCTCCAGCAGGACGTGATCTCTCAGCTTGATGTGGAATACTGGAGGGAAATCTAGGAGAAAAGGATATTTTAGCACTTAAATAATATCTGTATTGTATCAACGGTTATGATTTACAATACGGAGTGATGGTTAATAACAACATTATTGAAAACATGTAACAACGTCTGGCCCAGAATCAGCTAGGAACCTTTTTGTTTTGTCTCTAATCCCTCTTTTGTTGTTATTATGAAGACGTATATGTATAAGACCACTGAAGGCATCACATGTACATTGATAAACCAATTGCTCTGTGTTCACTGATGATGACCTAAAATTGACGGTTTAGAGTTGGTAGGTCATAGGATATGCAATATATATTATATAAGAAAAGTAACTTAAAGTTTGACATTCTGCTAAATCACTATTATATGCAGTATATGTGAAATATTAAGCTACAGCCAAAAGCCAGGGGAGAGAAAAAAACTGGACACATTACGTAGGAATCACTTCCTGGTGTATTCTCTGGTTCCCTGGCAACATCACGATGATGACACAAATAAAATGTTTTCAGTCTCTCTGCTAAGCTAATACATCTGTTGAATCTAGCCTTATATTTAATGACAGATAAACCAGGGATCTTCTTCTCCCAAAAGGTCCATGGTTCATATGCCCTCCGATGCAACTTACCTGAAGCCAATCTGGAGTACTGGCGTGAACGTAGGGAACTATTTTCCCTGGAGATTGCGGTTGGTATGTCAGGCTGTGACACCGTCTTGTCTCGCCTCCCTCTGGTTAGGCCCCATCGATCCCAGCGAGATCTGCGCTCACTCTCCACAACTTGACAAGAATACAACAATTGACCCCATGAATAAACCATTATGCATCTGAGAAAGTGTAATTGACAGTGCTCTACAACCATGTATATTTAAATAAAGGTATATGTCATACAAACCCTTTGATGTGTCTGACTTTAGGCTGGACATGGAGTCTAGAGACTCTGATGAGGCCCCATTACTGGCCTGAGATGCCAGCTGGTTCTGTGAAACTGCAGCCTTCGTAGCACGACTCTCTGATGTCGCACGACGAAGCATTGAAAAAATGGGTGTCTTCTTGGTTTCCCGGTCCTCCGATGCTTTCCTCTCCTCTGAGTAGCTGCGAATTCTTGTGGAGATCCCAGCCACTGTAGATTCGATCTTTCTGCGCATCGCTAAGACTGGTGATTCATTAGGTTTCTTAAGCTCCTTTTCATCTTGTCCCACCAATGTGTTACCTCCACCATCCACTTCCACTTCCTTCTTGTCCTGTGACCCTTTACGGCCAAGAGTCCAGGACAGTCTACGTCTAGAACTAACGCTGTCTTCCTCTTTGGTCGTTTCGTCCTTGCGTTCAGTGGACGGAGCTCTCTTCAGGCGCATTGAGAGCCTTCGCATAAAGCCTTGGTCCTTTTGAGCTTCACGAAGATCCTGGACTGACTTTGACTTCTCCTCAAGTCTTCTTGGTGCCAATTGCAATGGCGCACCAATTGGCCCAGGTCTGTATATGTCTTCACCGGACTCTGTTGGATCTAATGAGGCCGCTTGTGGTTTGTCTTCATTCTTTGATCGTGACAGAAATTTAAGACTTCTTGTGAGTGAAGACTCACGTTTTTTGAAGCGGGCCTCAAAGACCTCCTCAGAGGAAATGTCCTCAAAGTCAACTCCTGCTGGGGGCTCTTGTTGGGATGAGGAATGTGTGGCAGGCTGTGGTGGACTCGGTTCCTTTGTCATCATTTCCGGCGACGCTACCCTAGAGTATACAGCAGGGTGCTCATTGGTCGACAAGATGGACGGCTTTGGTGGACCACGTAAAGCGGAGGACATGCTGGCGTGTGCAAATGTTTCGGTTGATACTGAGGGGGATGAGTCGGCTGGAGCAACAACGGGTGTAGAGGGCCCTAAAGGTTGGTCACTCAGAGGCTGAACTGCAGGGACCATTATGGTCTGCATAATACTTGCGTATGCTGAAGTCCTTCCATCTGGAAGAACAACTTTAGCAGGCGGCGAAGGTGTTACATAAGTTGACACCACATTTGTTGATGGGCGGGAATATTCTTGTGTTGGTCTCATCATAACTGAGCTTTTGGTTATGACCATATCGGAAGATTTAGCAGTTATTTCTTTTTCTGCACTTTTTTCAGAGACATTGACGTGTCCTTCAGCATTTGATTCATCATCATTGACAATTATTTCCTCTTCTTCTTTCATAATCTGTTCTTTTTCTTCTTTCTCATGTCCTTCATCTTCCAGCATCTTCTCTTCTACTTCAGAGCTTTGCACCACAAGAGGTGGTGTAGGAATTCTCTGGCCTGTATACTCCGATTCATTCATTGCTTCCTCTGATATGCTCATATCCTTCTCTGAGAAACCACTTGTGCTCGATCTCTCATCAAAATTACTATCTGTATTCTGCCCTTCCATCTTTTCATTCATTGTCTCATCCGGCTGTATCTCTTTCTCCATTAATGATTCCTCGCTTTCTGCTTTGGTTTGACCTCGCTGCACAGACTCTTGTGTCGCTGGTTTTGGCGAAGGTTCCCTGGGACTCACTGGACGGGAGTCCAGCTTGATTTGCTCAGTAAGAGCCGACATAGATATGGCCTCCTTGAGCCTTCTCTCTTCTACCTGTGCCAGGGGAATCTCCAAGGGAGCTCCTGAACGGCGGTGCAAAGCTATAGGTTCTGAATCACCTTGACTGAAAGAAGCAGTTTTGCGCAAAACTTTGGGTTTTGGGTCTTCCTCCACTGCAGAATCGCTGGATGCAGCTCTAATAAGTGGGGGTGGGCCCAAACGAGTAGTACGAGAGAAGCGTTTTTCATCTCCCATTCCTAATGTTTCCAACAAAGGTCCCCTCAGCCCACTCATCTTGTTGTCCACAGAGCCACCACGAAGCAGTCGCTGTCGCATCAGCTCCAGTTTAAGAGCGTAGTCTTCTTGACTCATCTTGGCAGTACCTGGGCTGGTGCTCCTTCTTGGCAGTTCCATGGAGACGGCTTTCTTCAGAACTCTCTTCCCATCCTCCTGATTTCCTTCTGCTCCTTCCTCGGGCGTGATCCGCAGTAGCAGTGCGCTGTCCGCAGAGCCTCCGCGTCTAAGCTCTCCTCTCCGCCGTCCACCCTCTGGTTTGTCTGACTCAATGCTTGAACCCCTTCGCAGGGGTTTTCTCAGCTGGGACTTTTGTGGCAATTCGGCTGCTGATTCTTCATCCAGGGATCCCCTGTCGTGGTCCTGCGACAACCTTTTCCGCATGCGGCCTTTAGGCGTCAATTCAACCCCTTCTTTATCAATTTCTTTAGAGTCACACTCCATCGCCTCCGGGGCCTGAACAGGAGGCACAGACCATTTGCTTGTTCCATCCTGCTTTCCTGTTTCCTGCTCACTTGTCTGGATGTCATTGAGTGACACCCGGGATCCAGAAAATTCCATGTTAAGCGGCATTGGAATGAACGGCAGTTCATTAATGTCTTCATCCGAATCAGAAGAGGATGATGGCAAAGGTGAACCCTCTTTAAGGTGCCTGGGAACGGCAATGGAGATATGACTGGAGGAATCGTTGAGCAACTCTGGTATGGACCTCATGACCATTTTTGATTTGTAGCTGATTAGGGAACGCTGTAAAAGTGGAAATATGACTTAATAAATTACAAATAATTACGAAAATGTGACCATAGCCGATATAATAAAAAATAGAAGCAGAAAAGGAAATAGAAACTCCTCACCTGCCATTTTCTGCGAGACACAAACTTCTTCAGGCACTCTGTGCTTAGGGCCTTCCCCTTGCTAAGTGTCTGTACAATGAAAATACATTAAATGTTATAAAAGGAATGAGAAATGAGACCTTGTTCAGTATCATTAAGAGGTTGTGGATGGTTCAAACTGTGCTACAGTCCTGGTTTTACCTTGAACCAGGGGTGACGAAGACATCCTTGAGTATCAGGTCTCCTGCAGAAAGAAATAAGAAGCACCACAGGAAGAACATGTGAGGGTTGCAGACAAGGCCCAGAAGCTAATAGATGAGCCAACCAAATGTTCAAGTGTCTAAAGGTCTACTAAATCAAGCAATATTTCATATAACGTGAGAGCAATGAATGTTGCAGATATTGAATAGACAAACTGCAGAGTTCATTCCCATGTTGTTGACATGAAGTTAGTTGGTATTTGTGGGTTCAAATGATGTTAAGGCCTCCCTGCGTCTAGCTTTATTGTTAACCATTCCACTAAATTTGATTTTACAGTCGATGTTAAGATTCCAGATGATGTCCGGCATCAAGACTTACCAGAAATGTGTCCTATAATATCATATTTCCTGAATGGCTTATTGCTACTCGAAGTAAATGTATGGATTTGTATCTGAACAATCCTTTTACTTAATGTAGTTCTTGAAAGACGTGGATTAGTTCTACTTACAGCCTGTCGGCTACCAGCAGCTTTATGATGAACCCTTTAGCCTCTCGGCAAAGGTCAGCGAACATGCTCTCCTCAAAGGCCACATTATAGTTCCGGATGTTCATCACGGAGCTGCGGTCATTTTCTCCAGCAAACGGAGAAACTCCTGTCAGACTAATGAAAGAAACAACCCTGTACATTTAATGACCAGCCTTTGGGAAGTCCTGAACGGGTCAACACATACGATGTACCCACCACAGATATGCGATGACTCCAATTGACCTGGAAGAATAAAGAAGAGAATTAGGAAAAGGTGTGTATGAATTAAGAAAACATTTACAATGAATTCAAATGACACAGTACCAGATGTCCGTAGCTTTTGACACAGGAGTCTGATTGACAATTTCTGGTGGAACAAATTCTGGTGTGCCATATTTGCAGTATTGAGCCTCGTCGGGTGTGATCTGCACCGCGTTGCCGAAGTCACAGATTCGTATCTGATCACTGTGGGAGTCTGCCATGAGGATGTTATCAGGCTGAAAAAACAATGGAAATACAGTTTTTTTTCCAATCTGCCATCAGAATACATCTTGTATTATCATTTGCTGAATTTAAAAGCAAGAACTGTTCCAGTGCAGTTCTGAATTCTAATATGCATTGTTTATACTTCCAAAAGAAGAAAATGGAAGAGTAAGAGTTTGAAGATTCATCAGTATATACCTTAATGTCAAGGTGTATAATGTTTTGATGATGAAGATAGTCCACGCCCTCAAGCAGTTGTCTTATACATGAGCGTACCTGGTGGTTCCATAGCACAAACATGCCAGTATTAAAGTACATACATTTGATCAATACAATGAAATTCAATGAAATGTGTGTTTATTGTTAGATTTGCAGTGCAGTCGTGAGACCCGGGACTTACCTCAGACTCCATAACTGTAGATTTCCTTGTAAATCTGTCAAGAAGCTCCTCGTGGCATCTTTAAAGATGAATTAAGGCTATTATTTTTAGGACCTCAGACGCATAATACCATTCGGGCTAATTGTTTATTATACACAGTATCAGTGTATGTATACCAACTTATTTCACTTTTAACAAGTAAAGTAACAGCTGGTGGTGTACCCTGCGTTTTAATTGCCAAATAAGGATACAATTCAGTGATGAGGATGACGGTATTCTTTTTCTCAAAGGCGTCCTGAAAGAAAAGGATCCTCTCGTGGTCCAGCTTGGAGAGCAGGTTGATCTCTCTGCGGGCAGTCAGCTTCTGCTTGGCCCGTGCGGAGATGAACTTTGCAGCATAATCCATTTTGCCAACCTTCTGGGTCACACGTTTGACGTAGGAAAAAGCCCCCCTGGAGGAGAAAGGTCAGGGGGAAAGGAGTCTATCACTACTTAATGGAATACAAAACTGGTTCCAATGCAGACAATGGTTCGTTATGCCGCATAAAGGGGTGGGTTTAAAAAAGGGCCTTACCTTCCAATTTCCTTGTGAATGTCATAGTTGTCAGTCAGCCTGCGCATCTTCCTTCGAATAGTCTCCTCGTCATCCATTGGATCTACCTTACGTTTGGCTGCAGTAATGAGACAAAGGGAATTCTGACTTCAATTAGTTAAAAGAACGGTAAGTTGCTGAAAGGAACCCATTGGCCATGCAGTCGTGGCTCTGATGAATTGACCTCTCACCTGCATGAATAGTGAGTTCAGCTTTACAGGACACAGATCCTGCCAAGTTCCTGGCAGTGCAGGTGTAAACCCCGGAGTCTTCTGGGCGAGCGTTTAGGACCACCAGGGAGCATTCATTATCATCATACACAAATGTGAAGTGACTGCTCTCTGACAGCAGGGTGTCGTTCTGAAAGCAAACACTCAAGGTATTGGCGTCGGTTCTTCTGAGATTTAATAAATGTTCAACATTTCTATTAAGAATTAAGAATGTACCCTACTGTTTAGTTAGCTTTTTCTTGGTGTTCACCTACTTACATTATTTTTGATTGGTAAAATGGATTAAAAACCTTGAACCATAGGATGTCGGGAATAGGCTTGCCCTCCACGACCACAGCAAAGCACGGGGTCTCTCCTGCACAAACGTCCAAGTCCTCCATGATAGTTTCAAACGTTGGCGGAGCTGTGGACAGAAATGAAAAGGTAAAATAGTCCCATCGGCTTTGGACGGAAAAATGGATAGATGGTTCAGTCCGCTGCGTACCAGCCATCTCCACGTTGAAGGTGCCGCTGTCGCTGCCAAACTTGTTGGATGCCATAAACTCCATCTCTCCGATGTCAGCACTCTTTACCTTGAGCAACTTCAGCGTGTGCTGATCATCGTCTGGCATCGTCATCTCGTACAAGCCGGGCTTGCTGGAGAGGACCACTCCTCTCCTGTGGAGAAGGGTTTGGGTAAAATGTTGCTCATATTATAGGTGGGAGGACAGTGGGATGCCATCGGGTATGCGTGGTGGTTCTCGCTCTAGTGTCAGTGAGGACACGATAACAGACTTTTGTGCTGTGGCTTCTCTTTTATAATCACTTGTAATCACACAGCTACCTGTGCGCATGTACAAGCTGGATAACATACCACAGGAAAATACATCCATGCATGAACAGAAAATGCTCACAGATACCTCTTCCAGAGGACGGCAGCGTTGACATGATTGAGGGTGACAGTGATGGTGACTGACTGGTTATCCATCACATGTACAGTATCTGGCTTATCAATAATCACTGGAGCCTCCTGGAGATATGGACCTAAAAGCAAATGTGCACACGGATCATATTTATTAAATGGTTCAACCATCCACTCTGATGGATGGACGCTGTGAAAAACCTGCACCTCGATCCAGGAGCTGCACTGGGTCGGTGGTCGGTGAGGGCTTGCTGAAGGCTTTGGAGGTGATGGTCAGGACCCTGAAAGCGTAGCGCACGCTTTTGGAGAGGGTGGTGATGGTGTAGCTGGTTTCCTTCAGGCCAGAAGCTATGATGGTCCACTGGATGGAGCCCAGGGCTTGTTGCTGGACGGCATACATCAGGGAGCTGGGATCTGAAACAAGGTTTTATGCATAAAGCTACACCAATATGCTGGAACCACTTCTTTTCTCTCCACAAAAACACAACAATTGTTTTAGCTGCACTTCCAGGAAGATACAATGAAACCTTTTTAGTGTTCCCATTGGATAAGTTATACAAAACCAATTGGATCATAATTCTTTCGTACCAATGGAAGGGTCAAGCCTCCTTGGTTTCTTCCAGCTTAAAGTGATGGTTTTACCAGTGACAGATTCTATCACTGGACATCCATCAGGAGGATCCGGGAGGATATCTGAAAATGTCAACAAATATTTCAGATCTGATCTTCGCTGAGCAAATCTGTTCACACGAGAAGTTCTAATTTGAATCGCCCCCTCCAAAAAAAAAAAAGAATCACCTGTAACATAGAGATGAGCGTAACAGGTGGCCTTGCCGACTTTGTTAGAGATGACACTCTTGTAGACGCCACCATGCGCATGGCACACGGAGCGGATGACCAGACTGTGGATGTCACGAACTACAGGAGGAAGCGGAGATCAAAGGGGAAGAAGGGTACTGGCCTGTTAGCGCCTCTACGCGATTTACCTATGATAATGTCAAATTAAACAAAAGGAGACTGTTGAACTGACTATTTTAAATGTCTGAAAAGCAACTTTTTGACCTCATTCAAGTGTTGACTGTACATTCGCAGAAGCATGGTGGAAGCAGCAGGACATTATGACAGTGAGGCTTGTCTAACTTTGACTGCACTTTACACCTTGTCACCTGTCAACAGTTGACAGTTTTACTACGACCATCTTTAGCATGAAGATGGCAGATTGGAAAATGCTCATATGAATTGGTTAAGTGTCATATGGGTCCTTTTGGGGGACACTTGATATTTAGCTGTACATTGTTCAGTTTAACAACGTATATATTTTATTAGGGACTTAACTAATTAAATGCTCAGAACAATAGTGTCAGTCTAATCAGACACTGCCATAATTGGGTTTCATTTAGTTTAAAGACGGATTCAATTCATTTTCTGATTCATCTAACTTATTAAGCTATTTTTCGTTTTCATATTGATTTTCTAACTTTGAATTAAACTGCCAAGTCACAGGAAACTGAATTAAATTGCTCAGTGTTGCTTTGTCTAGGCCTGAACACTTGCTGGATGTTTTTCTCTTGCTAAGCTCTTACACTGTGTCATCTTTCTGTCCTCGGTGCTCTCTATCCGTTTGCCGTTGTGGAACCAGACGATGGTGGGGTACGGCAGGCCCGCCACTTTACACTTCAGCACCGCCTCCTTGCCCTCGATCACATCCAGGTCGTAAAGGGGTTTGATGAAGTCGGGCATCGTGAAACGCTCCACCTCGTTCTCCGGAACCTCTGGCTCCTCCGGGATCGATGGCATTTTCTCTAGTTTAGCCCTGAAGGAAAGGAAAGAAGAGAAGAAAAAAAGAATTACATTTTATAATCCATATTCGAGAACGGGCATTGAAACACACAAGAGCTGCGTCGTCTCACATCTGCGAGGAGATGGCCGGCCGTGGTTCTTGAATGTAAAGTTCGGCGGAGCTCTCTGCGTCGCCGTGACTGTTGTGGGCCGTGACGGTGTAAAATCCTTCATCCTCATTGGTCACATGAGAAATGAAAAGAGAGTGTCGGCCGCCCTCCTGGAGAACACGGATGTCCTCACTTTCTACAAGTGGATGGTCTAAAGGAAAACAAAGAGTTTTAAATAACAATGGGAGAGACATAAAAGAAAACTAACAGTAGATCCATTCCTTTTCATATATACTGTACCTGTTAATTCCCTCTCTATCACCAGGAAATTATTGAAATATCAATATTTCTGTAGTTTAGGCACTGTTGAATGTCCTTCTGCTGCAGCTTCACGTCAAACTATTTGACTGGTAAAACGTTTTGTCCTTTTTAAAAATATTTCAGGAGGTAATGGAACAGTGAGGAGGAGGAGCCACACCGGGGCCGTCGGATGAAGAGGTGCAGGCGACAGTCTGCACACCGCCAACCTCACAGAGAGGTAATCAACTGTTTTTACCTTTCGCTGTTTGCAGACTCGTGCCACACAGCTCCGAATAATGGGAATACGGACAATAATTGCCTGACAAACAAAAGTCTGTTTCTCTGTATTGTGGGAACTGAAGTATTTGCACCACATTTACTGTTACCGCCAGTGAAACTGTACAGGACTCAAGGATTGCCGCTTTAGTGACACACTTGAGCGCAAAATCAGTTAAGTAGAATCCTACCAAAGTGGCTCCAGACGACCTTGGGAGATGGCGTCCCACTGACTTTGCAGTCAAAACGAGCGTTACGCCCCTCAATCACCTCCAGGACGTCCAGCTTGCGAGTGAAGAGAGGCTCAATTGATGGGATGACTTTGAGTTTGCCGCAGGAAGTCACTTCCTCTGAAGAGTAAAACATTGTGTTCAGAACAACAGACACATTGTAGTTCATTTGACATCACACGTGTTGCGGCGTCTGTTGCTGGGACGCACCTTTAGCTGTGCTCAGCTTGCACACGTATGTCCCGCTGTCGTCCTCGTGCACGGAGTTGAGAAGCAGCCGGCACTTCCTTCCATCGAAGTGCATTTTACAGTTGAGCAACGCCGGCTGGATCAGTTTCCCGTCAGCGAGCCAGTCCACATCGGTGTCCTTGGGTCCGACGACGTGACACTCGAACAGGACCGTCTCGCCTGCGTTGGCTGTGAGGTCCCTGACCGGGCGGATGACGGCCAGGCCCGGCTCAACTGGTGGAGCTGGGTATAATTAAAAGGACATCGTTGTACTCGAGCGTTGGATTAGTTAAATAGTCCAAAATAAAGTGTTTGTCTCTACATTTTGGACACAGTATTGATGTATCGACTATATTGTCAGAGATTTAGCGAGCTATAAACAATGAAATCAAAAACGAAGAGTGAAATGTGGACCAACAGACCGGTGCATTTCAATTGGAGCGTACCTTTTACCTCCAACTTTCCTTCACACTGCTTTGTCCCATACTCATTAATGATCTTACAGGTGTAAATCCCAGAGTCCGACCGCAATGCTGACTTGATGGTCATTTCACAAGTGGCGTCTTCTGTTTCTCGTACAACGTGGCGTGGGCCGGATTTCACCGTTACTCTGTCCCTCAGCCTGCCGAAAAGGAGAGTTAAGGGAACAATTGTTGCCCAGTGTTCAAACAAGAGAATGACTCATGCACACGCTTTTATAAAACTTGATTTATGCAATGAGGGATGACCAAGCACACGCTTTTTCCAACAACAAGCTCTCCTCTGGCCGGCATGAAGGAGGTGGATGGGGTCATACAGTATCCAGGACTGCCGATATAATGTTTAGCACGTTGTTTTCTGCTATTGTCTCTTGAATGACTAACTCCAATGACAGCGCCTGACTATGTGATTCAGCCTATTCTTATCGCCCGTGTTAAAGGGTTAGTTGACCTCTGTTGCAGGAGGGTTGCATGACGAACACATTTCACCACCACACCAAAAAGGATAGCACAGCTGAAATTCCATTTTCTCTCCCTCACAAACTTTGAGTGGGATTCAGAGTTTTATAATGATGTAGCTGTATCTTAAGACGTCTTTTTCTGAGCAGTCTTTTGTCGATTTGTTCCCGATGAGTCAAGAGAGCGTCCCCAGAGAAGAAGGGCTGCAGTGCTTTTTGTGTGTGGCTACTCTAAGCTCTGCAAATTCAAAATCTCATGACATCTGTCACTGTAGACAGACAAGCACCATCGGAACCACTACTGATAAAACAAAAGATCATTGTTGCCCTGTTGCCAAGTTGCCTAATGAGCAAAAGTTCTTGTCGTTCTTTTCTGCAGAATGGAGAAGAATAGCGAACCGTGCCGACTGGAATGCACCCGACCAACCGAGAAGTGTGAAATTATTTTTAATTCAACACCAAAGATGATGCTCTTGTGGGTATTTACAGCAGCAGGCTGGTGAATGTAGGATTAACTAAAAAAGCAGTGCCCATGGTCTTGTAAATGAAGGACACTTAACAGAGAACATTTCCGACTTTGGTCTTTTTATTGAAAAGTGCTGGCAGTAAACGAAAATATGAAATATTCCCAGCTGGTGTCATGGCTTAACAACAGAACTACGGGCTCATAGAACATGCAGTACAAGGAAGTACTTCTCAGACCCTTTAGGGAAGTTGAATTGGATGGGTCTCTCTTTTGGACGCTGGTATTGCATGTGGATTCTAGATCGGTGTCTAAAAGAGCTCGTTACTTCAGCCACATTTGTGTTCACTGAGCAGCTCAATGTTAAATAGGGGAATGTAACACATGTAACACTCCATTTTCCACTTACCTTTAACAGATGCAAAAAAGCAGCATGCTCCTGACACACCATGCAGTCAAACAAGCAGGGCCCATGGTTTGTGTAGTTTCCATTTCCCATGCAAGCGATGAGCGGTTTGATGGGGTGGGGGGGACCTACCAATAGAGCAAGGGTTTGGGTTGTCCACTTATTCTGACGGACATGGTGACTTCCTGTCCTTCAATGACCACTTGATCACTCATTGTTACCTGTTTGAAATGTAAAGAAAATGAGAGATTCATTTTTGGTACCTTCATGTTTTATTTGACAGATGAATGATAGGACACATTGTAGCAGGATAATTCATATTGATAAATATAATTAATTTTAGACAAACCGATCACAAATACAGTTGAGTACGGGGCCAGTCAAAAGTTCGGAGGTACTTTCTCATTAAATTAAATGTGTCCAAACTTTTAACTGGTACTGTATGTTACAAATTAGATATTTGCTTAGACGGAGCTCTGCACAGTCTCACTAGAAATGCTGGGGGTTTCCTGAATCGTGTGTCGACAGATTGCTCAGGCCCTCCAAAATCCATGCACTCCTCCACAGGACTGAGATACTCCTCATCAGAGGTAATTGGGCTGCTGATATCCCTGGGGACACTCAGGTTCCCTTTTGGCTCCTGCACACAATCTGTAAAAGAAAGTCACATTGTATGTTGGGGTTTCCTGCAACCAATTCAGCTTCAAAGCACAGAGTCGAGGGATAAATTAAAATGTAATTAGAGTGTGAGATGTCAAATGTGAAATCCAAACAATAGTGGATTTGCAGTGAGTGGAGGCAGTGAGCCTCAGTGGGCAATTTATAGGTTCAGTTTCGACTCTGAGTTACTATGGTAACTATAAGTGAGGTTGTTCAGCTGGAATATATGGCACAGGCATTTTCCTCGGTGAGAAAATGAAAAGGGAGCAGGAGAGCAGTCAGCTGAAACACAATGCCCTGTTTGTAAAAAGGAGATAACCAAGAAACAAGGTGAAGAAAATGGCATTTTCACATTCTAAATTGTCATAAGATACATTGGCCATGTTCCAACAGTATATGTATAAATGTTGCATCATATCATGATGTGGATGAAGCAGGACTTTGTATGAACAAACAACGTCCAATTTTTGTATCTCAAACCCAATGTGTTCAGCCTTTATTTTTGAACGTGTTGCTTGAGTAGATATACTTTTTAAACCTCGCATTTGGTTTCTATGAAGATATTTCTTATATAGGGACAGCTACCGCCACTGCTCTTCATATTTCCCTGGTGCAGTGGATGAGAAACCTTTCTCAACCCAAATGCTGATCCATTGTTTAACAGGTTAGCCCAGGGCCACGGGAACCTCATCCATCAACCTAGATACAAACCTAATTTTCAATTGTTACCATCAAGGATTCAAATCAACTACATTTTGAATAATCTTTTCAGCATAACATTTCTCAGTTCATGATAAAAGAATTGCATACAGCGTCATGTTAAATGTTTATTGTACATTTGAAGCGTACCTGCTTTGACTATAAGAGTGGCACAGCTGGACGCCCTCCCCACCTGGTTAACAGCGGTTACGCAGTATTTTCCACCATCATTTACTCTTGCTGATTTGACGAGCAGAGTATGGCGTTCGCCCTCCACTTTGACAGTGTAATTTGGATTGTCAGTTATTTCTGTGTTTTCTCTCATCCAGGTAACTACAACAGAGAACACAGATAAGATGGGTAACGTTGTTTTCGAGTAATGCATGCTTAAATATACAACTCAAAATGTTTGATATATATGTGGAATACCTTCAGGAATTGGGGTGCCGCCAATGATGCATTTCAGCGGCACGTCTGCGCCAGCCAATGCTACAGTGTCCTGCAGGGGAAACTCAAATACAGGGGCCTCCAGTGGATCTTCTTCGGCAGAAACATAAGAATCATCGGACGAGTCTGCACAGTTTAACAAAAGAAAAGTCTAAAGTCATTTTTCCACCTGTGATCAAGTTAAGAGGAAAAGTCCCAATATGAGCAATAGTTTGATTAAACATGAAAAGCAAGCAGACTGGAACCTCATACTGCTACATGAAAGAAGCACAACACATCTAACCTAACTCTGGAGACATGGGTCGAGGCCGACGGTTCTTTCCCTTGGTCTTCAGCTGCCGTCCCTCTTTGGCACTACCAGTTACCTGCCGAGGCTCACTTGTTTTCACGTGAACGTCCTCGTCCATCTTTTCATCTTCAACGATAATCTCAGGGATTCTTATTTTAGAGGCCGGTCTAAACAGATCCACTTCTATTTTCTCCTCTGTTGGGGCGATGGGTGACATCCTCTGGGGTTTGGAGGGCGGTTGAGGAGCAGCATCTTGCACAATGACTACCTTTTTTTGTACCAGTGGACTTTCGGGTCTGTTTTCTATTTTTCTTAACGCTAATTCTATTGGCGTCTTTCTTCCCGAGGTCTCATCCTTTTGTAATGCTTGCAAAAGAGATTCCTGGACGTGAGGGGATTCTTGCATTCGGGACACCCTTTGCACAAGTGGACTTGGTGGCCTTCGTTCAACCTTGCGTAATGTCATCTCAGCAACATTTCTGCTGGGCGAATCTTCCCTTTGCTGGTGGTATAATGCAGGTGATGATGATCTCTGAACAACCTCCGTCACTGGACTGACCCTGCTTAATTCTCTCACTGATCGTTGTCCCGGCAAGTCGGATAACTGCATGGACTCTGGGGTACCTTCAACTTCTCCAAATCTACTGGCCGTTACAGCCGTTGAACCAGTGCTTGCTGTCATTTTGGGTTGCAACTTGTACTGGTCTTCCTGTGTTTGCTGCTGTTGCTGCATTGGTTGCTGATTATAACCCTTTTCTTTCTGTTCTTTTGCCCAATGGGCACGTTCCCTTTCTTGGAGCTTTTGAAGGACTTGTGGAGGGATAGGTTCTATTTTCGTTAAAGGCAGGCGCTGCTTTTTCTTAACAGTGAGCTGTTCAGTTGAAAATGACTTCTTCATGTGAGGCCTACCAACGAGCTTCTTGATGCGCTGGAGCTCCTCTGTGAACTTGTTCTCAATGTCTTGAACTTTTTGGGAGTAGCGAGGTTTCTCCTCCAGTGAAGCAGCTCTCTGTCTAAACATAGATCTTCGTTCAGCGGCATCCTCTTTTAAAGCTTCCCTTAGGTCTTCCCTTGAACTTTCGCGAGAGATGCCCAGCCGGCTTCCTCCATCATCGGAATCTACCGATCCAGCACGATTGAACCCTGCCCAGGATCCTCCCGAGATGGAACCTTCTGGAATATCAAGGCTTCGTCTCCGCTCCTCTAATCCACGAACCTTCTCAAAAACTTTTGAGCTCGCCCTGGTAAGTTTCGGGGACGGTCTGGGGGTAAATTCTTTCCGGGAGTATTCGCTAAGTGGAGTCTGTGGTCGTGAGTCCTGGGTGTTACCTTGGCTGCCGGGTTTTGGCTGCTTCACCTTTTCTTCAAACTCCCCAGGCACTGTGTCTTGGTAGTCAGATGGCACAACGTTTTTTTTCCGAAAACTGAGAGGTGTAGTTGAGCCAGAGCGACCAGGCATCGGGGAGGTGGAGGGACGTTTGACGAGTCTCGGGGATGGGGGTGGGAGGGCTTGTGGTGGAGATTCTCTTGAAAAGTTCTCCGACGGGCTCCTGAAATAAAGGATTTGAAGCAAAATCTGTTGGAACCACTGAGGTTGTTGCTAATTAACAATCTGTCTTATATTTTCATCTGGAAGTAAAGTCCTATAATACAATCGTTACAATAAGGTGTTTTTTTTCAATAAACTATTAGGGTTATTTGTGTGTTTCTGTCTTGCCTGGTTGTGTTTGAGTGATCCTCATGTCCACGTGTTCTATTGTCATCTGCAGCCCATGTGTCCATCACTGCATCTCATGTAAAGAGGAGATATGAAATATTGTTCAGGTAAGCCATTGGGTTCCTGCATTCATTATGAAACAGGGCAAATGTATGGCTGGTCATTGTTTTGGTTATCAGGCATGTAAATGCGACTTTCCCCAGTCTTGTTTTCAGCCAAAGCAGGCACCTGTTTTCACTTAAAAAGCTTTGTTTTAACGACTGTTCATTACCTACCCAGCACCAAACAGGGACAAACAAACTTGCCGGCGACATGAAGCAATTAGCAGGTAAAGAGGCAGGGACATATATTTTCATTAAGAAGACAGAAATACTACACCAAATAAATGCCAGTCGAACTGCTAATTTAAGACCTATGAAGGAAAAACTATGATTCTCTGGGGGAAAAATGTTATGCTGGCAACATGGTGGGTACCTCTATGCACATTCTGGTCTTCAAACTCTCCACCATCTTCTTTAGTCTCATATTGTCCACCTTCATCATCTGTTGTTTCGGAATCTGAAAAGACATATGAAACCATTAAAATAATTTCTTTGTGAATGTACTGTTTTACTGCAACGTCTTCAGAACACTATTGGTGGAGAAGATAGCGTAAGTGAAATAGAACTTGAGAAAAATGCAAAAATAATCATTCATAGTATGTATTATTTACAAAATTAAATATTTTAGCCTTATGTGGAAAACTATGTTTCAATTTTGCCATTGGACAAAAAAGAGAGAGAGAGTACACTGTTACAATAGGAGCCAATGGACTACATTATATTATTCAGTCTTTAACGGTAAAAGTCCATCAAATTATCCAATTGCAATTTCCTGTTGAGAATTATATTTAAATCCCATATTCCCATATATAATCCCATATATGTTTAGACCATAATTCCTGCTGAGAATTAATTAATGAGGAGAAAAAAAATGTTAAACATCTAAAATATATCACAATATAAATTTAAAAAATGGTAAATAAAACCAACATTAGACCTCATCCCCATTTGATTATTACCATCATTTATCAATGTTGCCACCCTCAGGTCTCATGAGCTAAGCTAAATATACTAAATTGGCAGTTTAACAGCTGCCGAGTTTTTAACACACTGGGTATTTAATCATTCATCATTTTCTCCTTGGTATGCGTTAGTTAATTATTTAGGAACGGCACATAATACATTGGTGCGAAATAAATATATTTTAATTGAAAACTTTTTATTTTAAAACATAAAAATGTGTTCCAGCTGCACCATCAGGAAGATCTGGAGATGATCCTGAGAGAAAACCCAGTCATTGGTAGAACTCAAAATAAACAGCGCTATTGAGTCATTGGCATCCTATCGGCCCTCGTGGGGTGTTTGCTTCAGAGTAGGTGGAATTAAAATAACATAAAAAACAAAATCTGTTGTTCTCTTGCAGTCGGAGAACACAAGAAGATTTTGTTAGTCACTTTGAACACAATGGACGATGAATTCAATATAAAAACATGTCGCAGATGTTTTATATATGAGCATCTCCTAAATATCAACACAGTCTGTTGTACACACTGTATACAAGGCTTTTTCTGGTATTTACAAAATGAATTAACGACCTCCACAATAAACTCACAAGCATCAGCAGATACAAACAATCACGCAGAAGATCCTCAGCAATTTGTCGACCTCAGCTGCTTGTCTTTGAGAGGAAGCCAGGGAACCAGAGAACCCCCGCAGCCACGGGAACCGCATGCAAACAGAGGGACCCCACCCAAACCCGGGATGGGGGGGAACCCTGCTCGACACACCGTGGAAGCCTATCTTTCAACTTTGAGGGAAAGAATTGTCTTCAAAGACCAGGACTTACCTTGGACTTACCTGTGGTACCTAAATCCCACATATTTAGGTACCACAGGTAAAAGAAAGAGACTTTGACTCAGATGATTTGATTGATAACAAACCCCAGCTTCTATCTCGTAGATTCTGGTGTGTACCTTGCCTGAGGAACAGTGCGCAAAAGGTGATCAAGATGAAACCAAAATGTGAGTACCATTGCATTTGTATTTAGTGAGATATCATTAAATCACAAAGGAAGGTTTTGATTTTTCAGCTCTGCCTTCAACGCGAGTCTTTCTTGAGTAGAAAGCATGTTCCAGAAGAGGAGTTTATTACAGATCACACAGCTCAAAAGTGAGGGATTGCATTGGGTTATTACTGTATATCTGTATACCACACAATAATCCCAGAATAGTCTGGCTCATGAAACTCACTTCCACCCTAGAGGAAAACACACCCCCTCTTATGAGATGTACACTTTAATCATCTCAATGTCTCTTTTTTGCCCTGTCTGTTGTTGCAACAAAATACATTTTGGCCTTCAATGATCTTTTAATAAACTTCTTGAATGTTTGTGGCAGTGAAACATTTGTTTAAAAAAAAACACTGTTTTCTATTGGCCAACGTAATTCTATTCCAGAGACATAACATTCCCTTAAGGATGTACAAAGCAGCTGCACCTCCTTTAAATATTCTCACTGTGAATTGTAAAAACACCGCTGCCGGTTGATGAGCTGTGATGTTGACAAAATGCTTCTGTCAACATTAGACATTGAATACTTTTTAAATTCTATGTAGACAAAACAGATGATTCGGTATATAGACATGAGATAGACAAAGCAAATAAATAGCACTTGCCTGATGTTTTTCTTTGGTAGAATTGGATTTGTTTCTATGGCCACAGTTGGTTTGTCCTTGCCAGATATTTTTATTTTTTTTGTCTTGGCTTATGTTCAGCAGCAGGGTATTCCCCGAAATACGCTGGGGGTTCCGAGCCAATACTACACGCCTAAATCAGGACATTTTCTGGCAAAGACATCATCCATTAATAGCCGACTTTGGCGTAAAAGATCCCACTTGTAATACACTGCTTCTCTGCTGACGCGTAGGTCACAGCATCTCAATCAAAGGCGAAGACCGGCGGCAAGGAGGCACTTCGCTCCGTTACGTAACAAGTTGCAGCCTCGGAGAGGCAGCGGCGCTTCTTCTGAGGGGCTCCCGTCCTGAAAGAAGCACAGAGCCCGGATCTCCATCGGCAGGTGGGCTACGTCCGTTGAATGCATTTGGTCCCTTCGAGAGGAATCCTCCCACACCCTCCCCGCTCCAAACAATAGGCAGCAACAGTGTAGTGAGCGTCCTCCACCCCTCCATCCACCCCCACCCGCTGTGTTCCAGCCCCGCAGGCAGCGCGCTCCGATAGGCAGAGGAAGCCAGTGGGAGTGATGCAGCCTTCTCCACATCAGCGTTCTACAGCATTGGTTGACATTTTTTTTCATCCCCCCCCCACCCCCCCACCTCCTCCTCCTCCTCCTCCTGCTCCTCCTCCCCATGTGGCTGCGTCTCGTTCTCGGGCCGGTGGAACGATGCTGGGGGGCGGAGGGGGGAGCGGCCGCGCGCGGACCTCCTCGCTCCTCTGCTGGAAGCGCTCGCCGGCGGGTTACGCGCGAGGCCCGTCTCGTCTCCCAAGGGAGGCACACTGAACGGCACACTGAACGAATGACGTAGCGACTGCCAGCTGCTGCTACTAGTTGATACCTTTGTGTTTGGAAGCCACTCGGTAGCCAGGGGGAAAGGGAGGAGGAGAGGCTTTGCTGCTGACACCACCTCAGTACACAGAAATGGCTTCACTCCGAATCGACATAGCAGGTAGATGTGCGCGGGAAAGAAAATAGCACAGTGGACGTCCTGAGACTTGTTGCTCACACCACACCTGTCGAGGGTCACGTTTCTAAAGCAGCTCAGGCCTCAGGGGGCGCCGGCTTTTACAGCGTCCACGTGGAGCTACATTAACGATAACCCGTTGAATAAATCATTGGTGGCAGTCGCACCGTCACGGCCTTTTTTTAAGCCTTGAGTTTGGCATGTTGGCGGTCGCCATCGCGACGTCTGCCATCGCGACGTCTGCCATCGCCATGTTGTTTTTTGGAAACGAGGAGCGAGCGAGACGGGAAGAAGACTTCCGAGCCCTACACGGGACATTTTTAGGCAAACAAAGCGTTTTCAAAAGCGTTCATGAGCGGAAAACAGAGTTTGAGGGTCAAAGTTGTTTAGACACAAACACGGAGAACTCCCAGACCGAACAACAAACAATAGCAGTTACCATTGGGTTCACCAGTTTTTTATGCATGGTTGCGTTTTTTAAAATTTTCCTTTACATCCAGAAATGGGTTGTAAACTAATAAACATCAGAAGGGGGAAAAATATCATACCCTGGAAATAAAATACCACATTTAAATCATAGAAAAGGATTCGGCCAACTGAACGTTCCGCAGTTTGGAAAGATGTTTTTCTGCTGTTCCCCATCTAATATGAGGTAAAATATATGTGATTTCATTCACTGTGTAGCTTTACCAGCTCTGTGACTGCAGACATTTTACTCAATTAGACACGACCAAGTGTTAACACCCAACTCCACAAAATGAGTGTAAATATTTATCAGTCCAAGATGTGTATGAGATCATACTTTTTGACCCACACTGAATGGCTACTAAACTTCGCGAGACTTAACCATTACAACCACCGATTTCAGTATTTCAACCACGTTTACTCAACTGTTACTCCTCTGCTATCATACTCTCAACTTCAGATCTCCAACAAACTCCACAACTACCCCTTTAGGGCGGCTTGTCCATCAAAACAACGTGTGCTTATTAAAGCAACACGGTGACGTGGGGGATAAGATCATCTTTTCCTTCTGGTTTTTCTGCCTGCAGCTTGCTGTTTTGTTCAGGCTCATTGGGAACACAACAATAGAATGTTTACGTTGCTCTGCATCACCTGGGTGTGTAAATAGGCATGCACATCGGCCGCCATGGCAACTGAAAAGCTGCTGGTATCTCTGTGTCTTTTTTGTTTTTTGCTTACAGCTTGTTTGTGCTGCAGCTAAGTGGCCGAGAACGTGTGATTGCACGATCTGAGCTGTACTGATCAATGCTCAAGGTACCTTCAGGTAGTTAGCAGCCAATGCTGTAGCTCCCCTGATTTCCTTGCAGCGTGTCGGCACCTTACTGGTCACTGTTTTTGCACTCATCATATATATTTTTTTTAAATTAACCTTCTGCCCGCCTCACTGATTAGCAGACCAAGTCAGCAACTAGGTGAGGATAGTGGAGCATTTACCTGCTAAAGTCTAAATGCTAATATTTCATTTCCATGTTGTGTTTTCAACTTGTTTCACTGTCCGCAAATTGCTAAATTAAATTAGAATATAACTAAAGCTTTTGGTTCAATCGTCATCTCCATCCATCTATTGCTTTTATGTTTGTTTGTTTTTGTATTTGAGTGACTCATTTGTTTTAAATCATATTTGACCGACCAACTTCACAATATCATAATGAACTAAAAAAAAGGATAGGAGACATTATGGAGAGATGCATAACAGTACAACATATGGCCGACTTCTTTATGCTTAGTAGAAGACGTCCCCAATCAGTAGAGAGAAGAAAAAAAGAAAGAAAAAGAAAGTCATGCAGGGCCGGCCTAAAATTAGCAGTGATGTCTTCCTGTGTAATAGGAGAGACGCTGGCTAGCTAACATCACAAAAATCTAAGGCCTGGCACATTCCACTGTATAAATAACTATGGAGAGTTGGTGCGTGAGGGGTGAGGGTTGAGGGGAGGAGGGGGGGGGGGGGCGTACAGCGAGATATTTTCAAAGGGGGGAGAGAGAGAGAGAGCGAGCGAGAGAAAAGGGTTCATTGAGTGATGGAACAGCTGCAGACTATACGCACGATCAGACTGAAGGTTAAAATGGAGAGTCAAAGGAAAAGTTGACATCATCTGAGGGTCTGAGGAAAGCCGACAGGATGGTGAACACGCCGTGGTGCCACTGCAGTGGAGCCGCCTCGTGCGTCGTCAAATGAAGAATCACACAAATCTATCCAGTGTAAGATCCCAGCGAGTGGACCCCAGCAGAAAGCAGCCGCCGGGTGACCAGCTGATGGGAAGCAGAGCTTCAGGAAGCGAGGTTTGGGCTGATGACGTGAAACCAGGGTCTGACAGGAAAACGGCCCTTTCATCGTACTTCTCTGTTTTAGTGTGTTTCCAAATCGAGGGCCTCTCTGTGAACCGTGGAATGTGAAAGCAGCACACAGATTTCGACAGGACTATATCCACCAACATAAACCAATCACCTTGTATAGATTCATACAGGCTGCTTGTGTTCGATCTCTAACCCGTTGTTTTGCACCATGATTCTGTTCAACTGACTCGTACCCAGTTGAAAGCAACAACATTTCAGAAGAAAGGTTCACATAACTTTTCAAAAAATTGTTTCAAAAAACTTGTTATCAGCATCTTTCTTTTCCGTAAACTCTCGGCATCCTGCCGATCATTTCCAAGTACCCACATTGGATGGTGCAAGTTCTACGTGGCCTCTGTCCAAGAGCCCAATATTTATAAAGTAAAGGAAATCTAACACTAAACACTAAAAAGGAATCCTTGTCATCACGTCGCCCAGTATGCAGACCCCGCCACTCTTTTAGTACCCGTTTTTTGTGGCGAGCTCGCACAAAGCATCGTGTTGCCTGAACCCAGCAGGGGTCGTTGTGTAAGCGCCCCGTCTTTCATTTCTGCTTCCCTCCACCCCACCGCCATTCGCCGAAGGCTTTACTCATGCTGTACTTGATTGAACCGTATTCAGGAGCGAACCACAGCGGCCCTGTGGGCCTCGTCGGCTACACGGAGGAAGGTGATTAAGATGCACTCTCACAGCATGTGATGTTGAAAGGTCTCAAATCAACACTGTTTGCTAATCACAGTGAGTTTCTTATTAAAGCAAATTTAAATGAAATCCTCATGAGCATTACGCCTAAGACATGAATTCAGGAAGACATCTGAACACAGACACATCTTTCTATCCTCACTGCGCAACAGAAGGGCAAATTGATGACTCTTTTTGGATAATACTCTGAAACAATGTACTGTATTTAACATTGGAAATTATAAAATATTATAATTTCATAATTTATCGTTTATCAAGATATTGAAAAGAGTTCTTTTTGACACTGCTTCCCCTTTTCTAGATGCTTTGGTAGAACCTAGCATCCTTAATTATCTTGAGAGTTCATTGCATGTTACATGTTCTGCTAACTCCCATTTGTTCAAATTGTATGTTTTGATATATGTAAATAAATATTTAAATATAATTAGAGTGGAAACAAAATCTTCATTTTTAGCTTCACATCTAAAAACAATGAACTCATGAAGATGTGTATAAATATTCAATTGTGTTATTGATATATATATACGGTATATATACCTGTATATTTTAGCATCTTTGTTCCCTCACTTCCCTTTCTTTTTGGAGCAGTTTAAAAGAATGGGATTACTTTATCATTTGTAACATGCATTGTTTTCAAAGATGACAGGTTAAGCTAATAACCTGCATAGCCGGTCAAAGTACCACATAATGGCAGAAACCATTTAGCCCCATAAAAATGATGATAAAACATGACAATGACTGAAGCAGGTCGAGGTAGCTTGTGTCCTGGCCAAGAGTTCACTCTCCATTATCACTGGATGCTTCTGCAAATGGAACAGGTAGCCTGACTCTGTCTTTTCTGGTTAATGGACGTTATTCTTTGAGCAATACATTGTTATGTATTTAAAACCCCATTGTCCGCTTTACTATGACATGTAAACGTCCTTTAAGAAACCAAATGACGTTGTCATAATACCATTAAAGTAAAACAATAATATAATATTTCAATATATTTTTGTCCATGATTTAATTTAGTAATCACATGGAGCGGTGACAAAGAAACAACTAAATCCTCCCTATTACAGATGTGGAAAAGCGATCCCCTGAATGCACCGCGTGGCATTACCTTCCCCCAGATCCAAGACGGCCAGCACGGCGCTGCTCCGAGCTTCACCCATGTGATTGTTGGCGATGCAGGTGTAGAGCCCGGCGTCGCTGGGTTTGCAATCCCTAATCCACAGCCCTCCGTACTCCTGGTTGTCCATGTTGAGGAGCTCATCGTTGTGGTACCAGTACAGGGAGGGCTGGGGGTCTCCAGCCACAGTCACCTTCAGACGGATGTCGCAGCCCGTCCCCACGGCGGCGTTCCTCATTTTGCGTGCGAAAACGGGCGCAGTCGGGGTGGCGTGACCGGGTCCTGGAAGCTCCGGGACCACTTTCTCCAGGCTCACTTTGGACCGCTTCGGCGGGATGGTGGGGCTACGGGCCGGCGCTGCTTCGCCTGCCCCCTTTTTCAGGGTCATTTGCACCTCAGCTTTTCTCATGGTTTATCTGATTTAGGTGGATCCTGCAATGGGATCTGTGAGTGTGGATGTGGGTATTGGGCCTACAGCAAACAAAATGGGACCACACTCAGTTATATTCACCCAAATTTCCAGGGGAGGGATTAAGTGCTTTTGACCAGGCTTTAAGTTATTAACCAAGGGTAAATTCCCTTTTTAGAAATTAAAGATAGTAAGGTTTTGTCTTTGCAATTGAAAAGTTGAATCTCAAAAAGGATAGAAACAAGGATCTGCCCATGGACGAAATTCTCCCTCGAAATTGCTGCTCTGACCCTCAGTTGTTGCCCGGAGTGGAAAAATAAATGGTTGATTACCAGGTAATTAGGCAGATAGAGATAGCTACCACTCTTCCTGCCCAGAGGTATTTTTAGGGCAAGACCAGCTGGATCATGTTGCATTAGCAGCTCTCTTGCCTCGTCTCCTGGAAGTGACGGCCCTGCTTTCCCTCTTCTTATTCCCGACGTTCTCTTGACTTTTCAGCCTCTTGTAATCATTTCCCTCCGTGGACCTTCTGTGCCGAAAACCAGGTGAATCTTCAGCGTGTCCTCCTTTGTTTCCCTGGTGGCCTTTTGATCAGTTTCTCAATGGGCTTCTGTTTGAATGCCAGCATCAAGTCCCGTCCAACAAGTTGCACAGAGTCGCCCCCCCCTACTCCTCGTCCCATGAGCTAAACCTCCCGGCTCATGATCTCCCCCTACGCCTGCTAGCGTCTCTGTGAGGGGGGGAAATGACAGGCAGAGCCCAGAAAGCCTCACAATGACAGCTGCACGGCGATTCGTCTGCGCACTCGCCGCGAGGCTCCCCCCCCCATGTCCTTTTTAGCTGACCTGAGGTCAGTAGAACATGTGCGATGGTGCAACGCTTGGCACGGAGGAGGGGGTGGATTGGCGTGGGGCAGATATTTAATTTGTAGGTCAAATGTTAAGGCAGACGTTGGCCTCCCAATTGTGTAAAGGTGGCCAGATATCATGAAAACCACCAAATGTAATCACTGCAACGACACACCTGATAGCTGATACATTCATGTCTTAAACCTGGGAATATGTCATTCAAAATTGAAGACAAATAATTGTGATGAATCTGCAGCTCACAAGAATTCAAGATCAATTCTACTGCCTGTTGTAATATGAAAATGCGCTCTGCTGCTAGCATGCTACATTAGCAGAGACAGCGCACTATCAATAAGTCAAAACAACCACGGTATCTCACATTACAATGCAACCGCAAACACCACCCTAACAGGAATTACAGCTAATTCGCTCTTACACACTTGAGTTAGCTGTGAGTGCTAACTAGCACATTGCTAAAGGTGCAAGTAGCTAACGTTAAATGGGGTGTCCGCTCAGCAAGGATTGGGGATGAAAAATTTCAATATTGTGAATTAAAAACAAAAAAATGCAAATAATTTAAAATCATTTTCAAAAGAGATAATCAAGCCAATAAGAGTTCACAGTTACGCTAGCCAACACAGCAAGCCACAAGTAGTTTGATTCACGGTGAAATGTGTGTCAGGCGAAGCCTAATATCAACGAATATGAATAAAAGTCAAAACTCGTGAACGTAGAGAAGGGCATCCCCTCAACTGCAAATGAAAGTCCACATTCAGTGTCAAACGTTTCGTAAAAAAATAACTTGAGACATTGGACCTTAATAAAGTTAATAAAGCTCGATTAGATTAGATTCAACTTTATTGTCATTGCACATAGTACAGGTACTGAGACAACCGAATGCAGTTTAGCATAACCAGAAGTGTAAGAGAGCAGAGTATATATAAATAAATGTACAGTGTGGAATATACACGGAGCAGTATTTACATTAAGCAGCAGCATGGTAGATATGAATGACAAGGTAATGCCAGTTGTGCAAATATGGCATAGTTGTGCAAATATTGTGCAAGAAAACGTTGTCCAAAATTGTCCAAAACATTGTGCATAATCGAAGTTTCAAGCACACAAGCAGAAAATCTGTTTCCTTGGTGACAGTTTTGTGCACGAGCAGCAAGTAACATCACCGGGAACGGCTCATCATTTTAACTTAAGAAATAATTTCACCACCTATGTACTGCAATCTGAAGCACAAAAAGAAAAGGAGTCACCTTTTAACTCAAAGTATTGCAACCAGGGGAGAGTCCAGGGTTCTGCTGCAGGCAAACTCAATCCTATTGGCTCCGATCAAACCAGGCCCCGCCCACTTCCGGGTCCTCCTCAGACAGCACAGGAAAAAAAACATGTCAGTTTGTAGAAAGTACAAATTAACTGTTGACTTCAAAAATCTTTGTTGAGTTGCGTCGACTATGTTGTGATGTAACCTACAGCCAGCGCATACGATTTGTTGAATTAACCTGTCGGCTCTGATTTGGTTTTGCGGGATGTATTAAACTAATTAACCCTAAGTACGGGCTAAAATGCCCAGTATTGTTGGTGTTTTTCATAAGCAGCGTCAGCAGCACCTGTGACCTGAACAAACTGGACTCACCTCTCTCCTCTGCCCCCAACCGGACGGAGGCACCGTGGTGTAGACCGGAGTCCCTGACCAACAGCGGGAGGATGCTTTTGGTTTAAAGTCGGCCTGACCCCCAACCTTTTTATTAAAGGACACTTTTAGTTGTATGATCACTGTCTCTTGAGGCCCCTCTTTTACCCCTGATTTTGAACTAAACTTCCCCTGAGTTTCCACATTATAAAACATGATGCTAGTGTGTCTTTTAGCAGTCACGTGTAAAGCATTTACTGATTTTGGAAATATAAATCACATTAGCGACGTTAATTTGCTACAAAACTCATGAACATGTCCCGGCGTATCGCCGGGTGTCTTTCTATCTTTCTCAGTTCAGTTTCAGTTGCATCCCGAAGTCGTCATCAGGGGATGTTTTGTCTTTGTGTTGTAACAATGTTTTGAAATGTGTCACATTTGAAACAAACAAGTTTTCCACGGTTTGCTCAGAATACTACATGAGGAAGGAGAGGATTCAAGAAGGTAACCACAACCTTTCTTTGTAAGGTGTACAGCTCAAACCACATTGACCGGCGTGTTGATAACAAAATTCACGTTATTTATTGCCAGATGCACAAACAAATATCAAAGAGAAGCAAGAGTTCAAGTTAAAAATATGAGATTTATAATTGAAATATGTACAAAACTAGTCCATATCGGACTCTGGACATTCAATAGTACAAAGCTATGTCGACTTAAATCATCACATGGGCCCAATTGTGACCAAAATGTTTACAAAATATAAAATCTTCTAGGCATCTGTAGGCAAATGGGCTTTTCTTCGAGCTGCCTACGAGTATGTCAAGCAGCACCCTGAGGTTCACCAGCACCCTGAGGTCCACCAGCACCCTGAGGTCCATCAGACTGGTTCGTCTCCTCACATGACGGTGGACGTGATTTCCGACGACATGGAGGACCTGCTGCCCCGCGCCACGGACGTCCTCCCCAGGAGGCCCGTCTTCCTCACGATCTGCCCCAGCCGGAGCCTGAACTTCTCCCCCACGAAGGCGTACAGCACCGGGTTCACGCAGCTGTGCAGCAGCCCCAGACTCTGGGTGCCCAGCATGGCCAGATCCACCGCCATCCGCGCCGGGCACTTGTACGGCACTATCTTCGCCCTGAAGAACGTGTCCGCCATCACCGCCACGTGATACGGCGTCCAGCAGAGCAGGAAGGCCACGACCACGGTCACGATCACCCGCATGGCCCGCTGCCGCTGGAAGCCGCCGCGGACGCGCAGGAGCCGCCGCACGGTCACCCCGTAGCAGGGCAGCATGACGGCCAGCGGGACGAGGAAGCCCAGCGTGTGGCGCAGCATCCGGGTCGCCAGCCGCCACCTGTCCGCGTTGCCCTGCTCGTACTTCTCCCCGCACGTCGTCAGGTTCGACGTCTTGGACGGCTGCGCGGAATGCAAAAGGCCCGGCGTGGCGAGGAGCGCGCCCACGGCCCACACGGCCGCGCACAGCGCCCAGCTGACGCGCCGCCTGTTGGCCCGGCGCGCCTCCATCGCGCGCACGATCACCATGTAGCGGTCCATGCTGATGCAGGTGAGGAAGAGGATGCTCGAGTAGAAGCTGAGCTCCTGCAGGACGGTGACGAGTTTGCACGCGGCGTCTCCGAACACCCAGCCCCGGGTGAGGGAGGTGGCCCAGAAGGGCAGCGTGACGGCCAGCAGGAGGTCGGCCACCGCCAGGTGGAGGAGGTACAGGTCGGAGGGGGGCAGCGGGTGCCTGCTCAGGCCGATCACCAGCCCCACCAGCAGGTTCCCCGGGATGGCCAGAAGGAAGATGAGCACGTAGAAGACGCCGATGACCACCGCCCCCGCGTCGGGGATGGAGAAGTCGCAGGCCACGGTGTCCGGGTTCGGGTCGAACTCCGTGTCGTTGTTGTAGGTGTAGTTGAGCTCATCGTAAAAGGAGCCGAGGTCCTCAAACAGATGAGAAGTGTTGATTTCTGAGGAAAGATGCGGGAATACACGCAATAACATTATAAAGAAAAACTCCGTGTAACTGGCTACATACTGCAGTTTATACATTTAAAATAAATCACATAATAATAATAATAAATTATGTAATAAATATAAATAAATTATAAATAAAATAATTATTTTAAATAAAATAAATTATATAATAATAATAATAATAATCATCACACAACTAATCTGCTGATCAGGGGAACGACAATGAAGCATGTCTGTAAATCTTATACACGTTTTCCATCTGGAAATTACAAATGTCCCTTTGCCAAACTGACTCTTACTTCTGTAAGCTGAGGGCTACACACCGTCAACCTGTTGGATGTATGAATATACGTTTTAAATAAATATCAGAATAAAATAATGAAGCTCGGAACACTCACCGTACATTGTGGTGTCTTCTCTTTGGGAGGCACGGAGACTGTGACAAGCAGACAGGACACACACACACTGTGTCCCCTCCCATCACACTTCCAGCCTCTACACTCGGATTGGATGAGGAGTCAGAATACACACACTACACGGATGGGACTTTATTTCTTCAAAATGTATAGTTTACTACTAACTTCTCAAGCTGTGATCGGGGTTCAGATTGTAATATTTTAACTCCCCAAATTGACTTTCTTCTTCTGATCTCTTTATTTTTTTCAAGTCATCAGTGGGACTGTTTTTCTTCTCCACAGCCACTGTTTGGTTATTACTAAACCACAACGCTTCCCTCGAGGACCAATAATATGAATCATTTGTCACAAGACGTGACGTCGTGTCCCCCTGAGCTCCAAATCGAAAGAGAAATCGCTTTATGAGTTACAGAGTCAACACTGGGTGGAATTGATGTTTAGGGAATGCAGCATATCAGAAAGAGTCTGGTCGGGTTCCGACACTCACATCGTGTTGCCTTGATGTGCTCATGTGTTTGGGACATTCATGTCAAGTGGAAACACTTCCCTCCAAAAGTACTACGGCTGAAGGGCCTCTGTGCACGTGTGGATTTCTTTTCATGTTCCCCGTAGCACATGATGAGACTTCCCTGAGAGGAAGTCCTCGGCTCATGACATGCGGCAGTGTCAACACACGAGCGCCGAGCATCACATTTCCTGCCGCATGACTCGTGTGTTCCAGCCTCCCGTGTCACAATGATTGGGTTTTTTGTTGTTTTAAGTAGAATTACATGAACACGTTCTAAACATTGGGCAAGAAATAGCATCATGGTACTTCACACTGGGAACAGGTTTTAAAACATTACATCAGCGAATTAGAGATTTACACTTTCCGTTGTTACATAAATAAATATGATGGATGCTTTTGGTTATATTCCGTTCGCCTTGCACACATTAATTCTATAATTTGTTATTTAGACTAACAGACTGTTAATTGGAACAGGTCACATGCTAAAGCCTTTAATATGAAGGGTTAGCTTTACACCAGGAGGAAGGGTGGCCAATCTAAACGCAGTGACACTGGCCCCAGAGGCCATGTGTAGGTGCTTGGTGCAACAAAGTAAAGAAAACGCATCGCTTCAAAGAGGATGCTTCAATGTAAAGGCTTTCTGTTCAAAGTATAACTGGGAAAATAAATAAAGTTGAACTTCCCTCGTGTTTGTGTGATATCAAGCCAAACCCGTTGCTTAAAGGAAGAAAACACTCTGATCAGACATGGCTGGTATTTTTGGAGGATCCTCCTCGATGAACACATGTAGTTCCTCAGAGTGGACACCAGATGGCGCTGTGCAGTCCACACAGCTGATAGGGAGCAGGGTGGTTGTAAGGGCCTCTGTAAGGGGCCAGTTGGGGGGCTCCAAGGACCACAAACACTACTGGCGACCTACACTAAATAATCTCGGGCCAAAGATCAAGTTAAAAAACAAACAATCGTTTACATCCTTGCATGTCAAGTGGCAATGTGTTTGCTAAAGCAATATTGCTAATTTTGTTTATTACAAATCTGTTTTATACCATTGTAGAAGCAGTGTAACCAAGTTGACATACTGTACATTTTATATTCTTTAACAGTAACTTGGCTTTCTGTCAGAACTACCGGAGAACTCCTTCGGTGAAACATTGCCATTATTCGAGTGTGGGTCATTACTTGATGTAGGTACAATTGATGTAAGAAACAAAACTAAAAAGAAGCGTAATATCAATTTACCTAGCCATTATTAAAATTATAATTCTAAACACATTTCCTTTCACAAATTCATTTTGGATTCTGCCTGGTAACAAGGAAGACCTGCTTGTGCATTAATCCAACAACTCATTTCACCATCTTAAGGCTTCTCCCGCTGAGAAAAAAAGAAATTGAAAACCCATCTCCCGATTTAGATGAAAGCAAAAGTTGACCCCCTCCGACTTAAATTAAGTGAAGAAAGTGCATCAAGTGTTCATGTAGGGTGTGTAGTTTAAAAGAACAGATGGGGTAGAGGGGTTAAGGACCAGGGAACTGGGGGGGGGGAGGGGGGGAGACACTGGCACAGAGCTGGCAAAGAGACAGTGAGACTTAGCAGAAAGGACTCAGGGGGCCGAGGGGGCAGATCGCCACTTGGCCCCCTGAGTCCAGCTGGAGCATCAGGTGAAGGATGGCCATCGCACTGAAACCACTACTGATGACAAACGCCACACCTGAGCAGGTTAGCGTGTAGGAGAATGAGGCTAACAGTCCCTTATGTAATTCTGAATATTGAAGGCCAATTCAGGCCATGATGGGAAGGGGGAAAGTGTTTTAGCAAGAGGGGGCAGGGGGAAATAGGGATATCCATAAGTTTTCTCCCCCAAGCCCCCCTTCCCTCAACACACACCCAATTTCATCTTTTGGCACGCCGTGGGTCCCTGCCGTTGCTAATGGTAACTGAAGACTTTGGGGCTGTCGCGGGTCCTGCAGCTGAAGCAGCAGTAGCTGGAGGCGCTCCGTTGCCAGGCGACCGGCCGTTGGGTCGCCCGATGCCGCCGAAGCCGGTGTCACGGGACGCACCAGTCAATGGGTTGTTGTTGTTGTTGGCAAATGGCAGGATGGCACCGTTACCTGTGGTTGGAGAAATACAAGTACCAACAGAAAAGGAAAACAAAGTGGACGTTAGACATTGTGACGTGACAGTGGGATAATCACAGGTGTGAATAATATGAATGAAGGCAGACGCTTTGGATTATGGTCCTGGCATTGTGCACGCCGACTTATTGTTAAGGCTTACGGTGACATGTCAAATTGTCTGCTGGGAAAAAGCCCAGCGGACATCTTTAAAACACAAAACGGGCAAGAAAAAAAGAAAAGAAAAAAAAAAAGACTAATTTCATTCAGATCCAAGTACGGACTTGAACAAAAAAGCACCATATCGCTTTTTTCACCTTTTCCCTTAATTTAAGCCAAATTTTGCAAGTCGAAAACAAACAAATGTCTCTTTTAATCCACCAACATTCTTCAATCATTTTTATGCATTAGCGATGTGTACTTGGGATTCTATTTTGGAATCATAACAAATTGAAGAATTTGCCTGGGGAGATGACGTGTAGCGCGAGAAGAACTGTTTAATAACATGACGCAGATCCTAATATCAATGCGCAAAACAATATCCAGAGAGTCCGTGGAGTGTTCATTCAAGTACCAGGGCCGTTTCACCGTGGAAGTGAGAACAGTGGAATTGGACTGGTACCGACTGCTTATTTCTGGTATTTTGACCTCCCTAATGTGCACCACCACTCGGGACAAGAGCAGTGGATCTCTGCAACCTTAAATATACTGACCTGGTGGAGCAGGTGTACCTGAATTCTGATTGGGTGGAGAGTTTCCCCTCTGATTCTGGTCTGGTTTACCCTGTTAATGGAAGAGAATGTCAGTCAGCTTTAACATCTTACCACCACCTGTGTTAAGATCGGACTCCTGAGTTCGTTGTACGCAAAGGGGGTCGACACATTTGCTAATGAAAGTGAGAAGTGGACGCGTGGCTACTCACAGACTTGTTTTGCTGGGATAGCAGATCTGGGTTTGGTTCACTGAAGTTGGGCACCTCTGAATACACCATGCAGAACCTGCAGAGACAAAGCCACATTTTAAGATAATATGCAGAGTCGGTGTTTGGTCGGAATGAAGTGATCGGTTTCCAAAAGTCAGTGTTCGTCGACATGAAGCACAAGCTTTAAGATTCAGAGGTTTGCTCACTCAAAAATCAGTAAAAATCAGAGTGAGACTAATGTAAGATGCACTTTCTTGGGATTAAAAAGGCGTGTTTAGAGGAATAATACACAGCTGTTTAGGCAGCGGTCCAAAGGTTTTCATAACAAAATGTTTCTCAACCCCGTTTGAAAGCCCCCAGATGTTAACGACCATTTTCACAAAGCGCTGTTGTCTAAGATGCTTGGGCTGCAGTGTGAACAGATACTCACTCTCCAATCTTCTGCAGATCCCCTCCTCTTCCAGTGTATAAGGTCAGGCAGCCTTTCCATATGGATGCATAGCTAACACAGAAAGGTCACAGTTAAACTACAGACAAGAAAAGTTCCCCTATAAGAGCAACAGCTCCCCGTCTAATGGAAACATGTGCAATGATCGTTGACCGGTGGGTCACGTTGGGCGGTCGAGCCTACCCTCGGGTCAGCTTGATGATGTCCCCCGGTTGAATGAGGCTTCCCAGCTCGTCCCACACGGAGATGGCGATGCTCCCGCTCTTGTCGGCCACCTTGCAGGAGCGCACCTCGTGCCCGTCTTTCGTTTTGGTCACTCGTCCTGAACAACAATGAGACGGCGACACGAGTTCAGACGAACGGCTGGAAAAACGACCCCAGGTGGAGGCGAGTCGTGGGACATGTTAGGACTGACAAAAGTTCCGATTGACAGTGACCGCTCGTGCCACGGCTGGCTCCTTTAACAAAAAGACACGAGCTGACGGTACAAGGAAGAGACGCTGCGGTGTCACGGTCCGACTTACCGATTTCCAACACGATGAATACGATATTCAGGTTTTTCGACCCGGGCTTCACATCCTTTAATAAAAACAAGGCCTCGCCTGTGGCGGTTGCCATTGTCGGCCTCGACGATATGTGTACAATATATATATAAAACTCGTCTTTCCCTTACTGCCACTTGAATGCAAAGGCAGTTGCGAGCGGGCTGTCGTTACCGGGTAGCGCTAGCTCAGCTAATTAGCCAGTTAGCCAAATGCTAACGTAACGCAGCTCAACCCCCCTAGCGCTATCTTAACCGTTTACAGGGACAAGGTCCGGCTTCTGTGGTAGTCGGCTAACGTTACATTCGAGTCGAATACAAGAAACACCGCCACTGAATACAGGGGGTGAAACATAACAATTACGTCCACGTTAACCGCCCGCTTAAAAAGACCAAGCGCACGACCAGGGTGCTCAAAGTGTGCTATCAGGAGTGGCTTTGCTAAGGAACACAATGCTAAATGTGAGCTAGCTCGTTTGCGATGCTAGTTTGCTAGCTGCCTCCGTTTCATTACAGGACACAAGTATCTTTGCGTGTATCTATACGATATTATGGTCATAATAGCAGGTCTTCAAATATACTGACGCCACGCTGACGTCAAACACGACGACTATTAATAAAGTAAACTAGCGCTTTAGCAATGCAGTCGACCCAAAACTTGGAATTCGGAGCTAAAACTGATGTGCTGGGAGATGCTCCTGCTTCGACAGACCTCTCAGTCACTGACGTTACGTTGCACAGCTTGGTGGTCTGTGCTTTTAGGTTAGGAGGTGACGACCGTTAAACCCCCCCTCGGTAACTTGGACAACTTAAGTTTACGTGAATGCTTTCAAATCGAACGCATTTTCTTTGTGTGCCTCCTTTGAGGAAAAAGCAACTGTTGTCGTTAGCGTTGCTAAGGCGTGTAGTCTGGCCAAGTTATTTCTTCAGAAGACTATTGTCTCTATCGAATGGTGGCCCCTATAACGTCGGAGTTGTTCGCAAGCCGCAAGTGTCCTGGTTATATATGCCTACACACCCTGAAGACACCGTCTAAAACCTGCTTCCGCGGCTCACTTTCAATGAGACTCCCCTGTAGAACAACACCCCAAGTCTACGTCAACTGGGGGGTCGACGGGGGGGTTTTATACAACTCGGCCAGTACGACTATCCTGCGCAGGGAAGGGGTACACACATACAAATAGCCTTTTGTGTGTCTTTACACAACTGAGTGGACAGATGCTGGCAATTACCTGGCTTATTTTATCCAAGAGAATGCGACCGCAGACAATGTGCTGACAGTGTGTTTGTGTTTACAGAACAGAGGGGAAGTAATTGGTTTATACCAAATGAGTCCCGTTCAGAAACAACGCGAGAAGTGATGAGAGAGCTCGTGGGTCCGTGTACCTTTTTATAGTCCCTTATATTGTAAAAACCAGAAAACGAAAACACTCGTTTCTCATTTTTCGTTTTAAATCAAAAACGGTAAAACGGAAGTGGACAGCCGTTTTCTCGTTTTTACTCACCCACGAGGTGACATTATTCGATACGTCTTCTCGTCAATTAAGTCAATTGATGAGTTGCGAACTATTCATATTAAAACTCCCATACACGTAGACACAGTGGTTGCAAAAGGCCTCCAAATAGTAAGGAGGTATCCACGTATAACTGGTATTATTGCACATTGTAAATCATTTGGTTTGCTTTGTACAGAACGCATGTTTGCAATCCGTGCAAAAAGAGGAACGTCACGAACAGGATTCGAACCTGTGCGGGGAAACCCCATTGGATTTCGAGTCCAACGCCTTAACCTCTCGGCCACCGTGACAATTGACGGTAACACGTGGACCATACTACCTATTTATCAGAATATCGTGTTAGAACAACGTAAATTCTTAAATGTACATATTCATATCAATTACCTTGCTAGTAGTAGTGGTGCGCTCGATAATTTGAAAAACTAATATGACTCCGCGGAAGAAGCAAGAGTGTTGGTCTATTATCAGACAGAAGAGGGAGACAAACACCATCACAACACCTCGACTCCCTCATGGGCAAAAAACGAAGCAGGTCGGGCTACTATTAACCCTTTGGATGAGTTTGAGAAAGGCATAGGTCACCTAAACATACGACTCCTTTTGACTAGTATTCTATTGTACAACAACATGTGCAACATTCACATTTTAGTAGATGTGCAAGAGTTCAAGTATGAAAGTCAGTTTACCTAAAACAAAAATGAATATATTCTTATCACAAGTGATGGTAACTATAAATAACCCAGGAAGTTTCATTTACGGTGCACAGAGCATTGGGGAAATAATAAATAATTCATAGAACTGTAGAAAGTAATTCCTATCAAAACAACTTACTGTGTTTTGTAGGTTATATCCTGAGTATCAGGAAACAGGAAACAGGAAAGCTTCTAGTTAGAATTAGATAATGTGATGGAAAGGTTCATTTATAGTTTGGCTGAAGCAATGCCTTGTTGTGGCTCTGACTCTAACACCTGTCTCATATTGATTTTCCATAAACTGGGCTATGCAAACAGAGGTTGAGCAATCAAACCGCCCCCTCCACTGTGTTTCATCCTCTACTACCTTCACAAAACTACAACTGTTAAACTGTCTAAAACTTGTAGTGGCCTGAGCGATAGCAGGCTTTATTATGTTTCCATGGGAACGACAGGAAAACATTCAAGCCACGGCACCAATAATCCACAGACAGTTAACTATTACACAATTAAAGTGAAATGTGTGACTAGTGTTATTCATCAAAGAGGATGGCACTGAATGTTAGAAAATCTTTATTGATGTATACAACACTAAATTCAGAAGTTGATTGCAGTAGTTTCTTGAAACACTCACGTGGCAGAGAATCTTCTGCTGGAAAGGAGACCGTCTTTGGTTTAAGTGGAAAACTAAATTATCAAGCTATACAAGTCAGAACTGTATGAACAAAGATGGTGTTGAACACAGCCTGATAAAGGCTGTGATATTGTGTGATCTAGATGAAAGACCCTGATTTTAAGATCACACACAAATCTAAGTATTGCATATTTACTGTTGGCAGACAAGAGGTATCTCAGAAGGAACACATGTGCAGGAATCAGCAGGAAATACCTCAGACAGTCACATTCTAAACAAAGGGCCGGCATAAAGTATAGAGTTCAATCCCATTTGAGTAAAAATATTTATATAGTGGAATTAGAGAAACAAAAGTGACAAAATAAAAGCAAACAGGTGAAAAGTTCTTTGAAATCGTTCTTGTCTATTTATTTATTTTCTCCTTACAGATCCCATTTGAGCAAACTGGCAGGTTCATTTCTATAATGAATGAAGCACATACAGTGAAAAGCTTTAAGTAAAGCAACAGTGTAAAGTATGTTCATGTTCACCACTCCTCACCTCTTCATTTTTCAGACCCCAGTAAACTGTTTTTTCATTTTTTTTAAATTCATTTTGCATACTTAGTTCCAAAGATCTTGTGATCTAACATACGTTTCCATTGCACGCCTAGCACAACGGTGACTTTCTCATCCTTTCCAACAAAGTTCTTTTCCACACCCAAGCTTGACCTCTTTCCGCCACACGCTCGTGCACAGGAGCATTCATCGAGGGGCGGGTGGGGGGGGGGGGTTAACACCTGTGGCTCCAGAGCGTCTCCCTCTTGGCATAGTCTCAAAGGGGAGCATGAGAGTGTAGAAAGTGGGCCAAACAGGAGTCATACGTCAAAGCTAGGAATGCTGTCTTCTACCTTCGTCCACCTCTCTGACCTCTCTCGGTGTCTGGATGCTTGGCACTTGCTAAAGCATTTTGAGGCAGTCCTTGCATTGGACGCGTGGAGGAAAGGCAACTTTGAAAAAGGTAACTTTTCTGCATGAGGTTCAAACATGAGGTTTGAACCCTGATGAGTGAATTTGCACATCATTTTAACTTAAGCGTTCTAAGCTTTCAGTATTTTGTATCAACCCATGATTATGCCCCATAAAGTGTTAGCTATAAAGAAAAAAACACATTCATTAATCATTCTTATCTACAAAGTCAATCCACACCTTCAAGACCGAAGCTACTCATACCAGCTTATGCAAGGTAAAAGGCACGCTAGGTGTGTGTGTGTGTGTGTGTGTGTGTGTGTGTGTCTGTCTGTGTGTGTATTTATCTAGGGGAAAGGGACTTAGTGGTTTAAGGCTTAAACATATATAATGTAGTAAACATTTCACCATGTAAGTTATGGATGCCTGAAAGAAAAAAACAGACGACTTATAAACACCCAAGTTTCATATAGTAACTCAAAAGAAATTCACAGATACAACATTCACTGTATAAAGACGGTTATCGCAAAGTTACTATTTTAATGGGTTTAAAGTGTTAATACTTGGAGAGTTGGGTGCCTCGCGTTGAGAAAAACAAAAAATAATTGCTGTACATAAAACACATAAATTTGGTCCATAGAGTGGACAAAGGGCTGCCCAAGGGATATTTAATATGTCAGTATTAAAACCGGCAGGGTTCTTGTTCCCTAGTTTTTCTAGGCATTATCTAAGCACAAACCCATTTACAAGCATTTTCTTTTATCTCGCTTTTAATTAGTGGGATTCGCAAGACCATTTAGACTCTTTTGAATGCCATCTATTCTAATTGTCTGCACCTGGGATTTTCTGACCAGACAACCACAAATGAACTGCAACATTTTGATTTATCACCCATGTGGTATTTTAGAAATGTCACTATGGCAGCGATGAACAAAATGTTGATCGCAGGTTAAGAATAGGAGTCAAGACATCGTCACTGGGATGACGGAAATATAGACACCTATTAGTTAAGATCTGGGCTTATTTCCCCGTAGGTCCAAAGAATTCATTAAACAGCCTCTGGTTCATGACAAAACACCACAGGGCCTTTTCATTGAAAACCCAGAACCTCCCCATTCCAACTAGAGCCCAACCTGGCAACACGCTGCCTCAACAGCCACTGGGTAGGGGCACTGTTGCCAAAGATTTACTATTTTCTTTCACACAAAAAAACAAAAGACATAAAGAACAAATGGGTTATTTGTCACTGTGGCAGAAAGCTCCAGAGGCAGAAAAACAGCGCTGGGGAGATACTTGGCCCGGAGATCGAGGACATCGAGGACACAGGCACCAGTTGATGGAAGTTGTGGTACATTGGGGCTACGGTGCTTTCTTTGGACAGCCCTGCTTCAGGGTTTAGGAAGCACCTGCACTGGATTTGGATACACTGCAAGATCCAGTCGTGAAACAAGTTGTCTTACACTGTGTGTGTTAATGTCCAAGGACTGAGCTGGTAATAATAAAAGGTAGAGTTGGCAGAAATTGTCCGAAGATAGACTACTTTCGGAAGCTTAGAGCATGTTATTTTGTATATTGGGGTTCAAAGGCTGTTTACATCGGAGGGATAATTTATAATAAAACTGGCGCAAGAATAGAATGAATGGGGAACTACAATTGCTGCTCACTAAAATTAAAATCATATTAAGACACTTGCTCTACAGTAATAGTTGCAGTAGCAATCTTGGGGTCTGCTGCGGTCTCAACAGGGCTCTTGTGATTCTCCTTTTCTTCCACTTCGTCTTCCTCCTCATCGCCAACATCTTCATCAAGCTCTGGGACTGCCAGGCCGGCAGAGCGGTCGCCATTTATCTCGCACTCAATGCTGGGTGCTTCTCCATTGATCGCCAGCTCGGCCTTCATGCTGTCTGGGGTGGAGGGACTCACCATCTCCTGGACCTTCTCCACAACTCCAACCTGGGTATGAGCCTCTGCCAGGGGAATCTCTTCATCTAAGTTTTCAAGAGCAGGAATCTCCACGTGGGCTTCTTCCCAATGTAAGCCCTGGTCTTGTGTGGGGGCCTCGCCGTCTCTGACCTTCTTGACGTTAAAGGTCATCGGAGACACCTTGAAAGAGGAGGACTTGGCAGTCGGGCTCTTGGGCAGGTTCGGGGTGAGACTCTTCCTGATTTTGTCCCGCTTTTCCGGCGGCACGATCTTGGTGGTGATCTGGGTCACCTTCTTCTCAATGCTCTGGCGCGAGAAGGCCTTCTTGAGGCTATCGACCTTCTTCAGGCTGTTGCGCTTGAACTTGTCAGCCCTCCTCTCAAACGAGTGGGATGTGGCTGGACCCATTGCGTCGTTGCTCTCGCACATCTCATACTCCTCATGGTGTACTGTGAGGACATCTTCGTCATCGGAGGACAAGCTAATGGTCTGAAGACCCTCATCGTTGGCGCGGCTGCCAGCAATAGAGCCTGTCACAGACTGAGAAGGGAGGAGGGAATCTGCGTCGTACTGACTCGGCTGCGGGGTCTTGGCGGAGTCCTTGACAAACACACTGGAGGGGATCTCATTGTCTTCCTATCGAGAGACAGAGGGACAGAAGACGGTTATTTGGATCAGTCATAAATGAGCAGCATGGATGATGGTTGAATAGAGTATGGTAACAATTAGACATACGGCAAATCCTAATGCTTCAATGGAATTCTTGACCGTGATAATCAAAGTAGAGATAATAAAGGTGTACTTCCAAATACATATCACCATAAACATGTTTATCGAGGTCTCAGGCCATGGTTTGGAGATTGTAAGTGACTGGCTCTCTGCTTTTAATATCACCCCTCGGAGGGTAGCCCGGTTGCCCACAGAGAGGCGAGAGGCTTGTTTTTGATATTGTTTTGTTTTGCGCAACCCCCATTCGTCGCCCATAACGTTCGCTCCACCCCTTTAACGGTCTGGCAAAGTAGGCGGTATCTGGCCCAAACCTGGAATGAGCCTGACACTGGGCCTGCCTCCCCAGGACTGAGGAAATCAGCCTCTGCATGCCTCCTATCTCTTCTCCTTACAACTGAGGACTTCCACGTGTTTCTCTGCAGGCACAAATCTTTTTTTTCTTCACGTCTCTCTCGCTGCCCTCTCTCCCCCTCCTCCCACATCCATGAACACTATGTGGTCATGAAGACCATAACCAGTGAGCAGTAAGCCCAATTTCCACTATTTCAATTGGTTCTCCCCAGTGTTCTTCCTCCCTCCCACTTCCTTTCTGCCCATTCATCTGTGCACAGTCACCCAATCACACACATGTGGGCACATTCACCCGCGTACACAATGTTCCACTCCACTGGGGATTTATAAGCTAGACTTCCCCCCAGTGGAGTGAGTGGAGAGTGAAGGTGCAGCGTCAATGGTCGACATACTCCACTACACATTTGAAATGCTCAGAGAGAACACCCGCCCAATAACATCACCTGGAAGTACCACCAGTGGATACTTGGTTTTGACTTGACAAAATGAAACAGTGTACAGCACGTTTTCAAGGTCAGGTAGACAACAGGTACTCCGCTAAAGTCATTTTCGGAAAGCAGTCATGCTGCGATCACAAAAGCGTTGCAAAACAGCCCCCACATTGTGAGCACAACCTGGAATTCAAACTATATGCACCGTTGTTACCCCCAGGACCTGTTGGAATGCCTTACTTCTAAACAATTGTGGTTTCTGTACGGCAAGCTTGTAAGAATGAGTCTGCATTTGCAAGTATGGCAGATTTTCAATTCAATTTCAGCTCATTGGACAATATAGCAGTGCCAGAGACGTGTGCTTCCTGGGATGTCATTAGCACATACTTAAGTACCGGTTCGAGCAGATGTCTGTTCTTCACTGGATACTTGATGGGGAGTTTTTGCTTGAAATTACTGGGCTATTGTACCTGCAATCTGTATTTAGCCTACTTAGGCCAATTCAAACACTATTATTTGGTCATATTGAGACTATGACTGTGAAATATAAACGGAACAAAACGTTGATGTTATGTACTCGAACAGCTCAAATCGATATGGTTATACAATCAAACTATTATACAATAAGATTTATTGATCACAAGACTGTGTCAAAGTGTGTTCCACCACAAAATCACTTTCACGTCACTTTCTTCAATTCACTGATTGCATCCGTCCATTGGAGACATATTCACAACGAGCACTTGGGATAACGTCAAACTGCTGTTTTATCCTAGTGTCATCCACAGCAGTTCACAGTGCTCCGTAGACTATGGAAAGCTCTGGAAAGGCACGCAGAGACCCTCTGATTGGACCACTTAGCAGACATCCGATACCGCTCGCCTCAAACGTGCAGGCATGACTCACAGTTCAGGTGTATGCCGGGCGTGTTAGGTATCCCAGACGATAACAATAAATCTTTTAGGGCCACGTTTACTGGGGAAGATGATCTTAAAAACAAAACAGCACAATGGGTGCTGTGGTAGGAGTGCTTATTTAGTTGACTGATTAGAAATCTTTACTTCACTGATGTCGATTCTAAATGATCCTGAATGATCGGTTTGATGTCGCTCCAGATATGAAACACTTCTAAAACGTCAATTAACCCCTTTTCTCAGACAAAAGGGCGGCCCCTGGAAGAACAGCCTTGGTTAACGTGGTGTGTTTGCTTTAACTGCGATTCCTCCATTTCAGTTCCGTTCTCTGTGGATCCCTCCCGGCGTACTGTATCTGTCTCAGACGGATCTGGCACCACCCCGAAGGACTGTGCGGATCTCAACGTGTTCGTGCAGAATCGACGGGAAGTATGTGGGTGACATGCCCTTGCATGAAGTTAGAAATAGCTCACGGGTTAAATAAAAAAAAACACCCAATCTGATCGGTCAGGATCAGAATACGCCAAAATGGCATCTCCAGACCCTCAGTAGAACGTTTAGTCATGATAAAAACTAATCTTTCCCAATTGTTTGTTGGTGTTTGTTTGGAAGATTCAATCGTGGTTCTTCTGCTTCAGTCCTGGAACGTAAGAGACCCGCTGATTTGGCTCTAACATGTTTGATGTAATCTCTGATAATCTCTGTGGGTACGGGGTGTGTGTGGGAGGCAACAACTGAAAATCAAACATCCTCCAATGAAAAGCGAGCTCTCCTTCTACATACTGTGCTAGACCTACGGCAGTGTCAGCACAGTTTTATTGATTGATTTACTCGTGGTTATAAACAAAGCCAATGCCTCAGTGTTTATACTTATTACACAACCATTGTTCAACATTAATTTTCAACATTGACTTAATCAGTCTTTTTTTTCTCTTCATCTTCTATTTGCTTTCTCTGGTAAAAAAATAGTTTTTTTCCTCATGTTTGGTTGTCGATGTGAGTGTGTCCTCAGTTTAACCCACAAACAGTCTTGGCAAGCAGGCTATAGAACAAACAAAATCTTCCTAAATATCATTCGACCCAGGTTCGCCCTTTGCGTGCATGTGTGTGTGTGTGTGTGTGTGTGTGTTGACCTCACATTTGTCCCTTTTCTCTTGGGAACCCTGTTAATTAATGGATCTTCTAAGCAAGCAGTCATTAGCGCTGAGAATTTGAAATGTGTGTGTGTGGGTGCGTGTGTGCGTGTGTTTGTATCTCCGTGTCAGTGGGTGTTTATTTATCATCCATTGTTCGTGTGTGTGTAAAAGAGCAATATGAATGTGAATTAGTCTACTTGTGGAGCATACCAAAGTTAATTTAGTGAGACAGCCAGTTTACTGTACACATTCTTCACAGATATTTTCCAGTGGCCACGTTATGGCACTCAAAAATCTCATTAAATAGTTGCACGGCAGAGCGGCCGTCTAATTGCGCGTTCTGCAAAGTGTTGCTAAGCCAGAGCTTGTGTAAGCCAGTGTCGTGCTCTGTTCAAAGAGGGAGCGATCAGGGCGAGGCAGATTTGAACCGTTTGAAGGAGCTCAGACGAGCTCACGTTCCTCTGCGAGCTCCTGTTTATACCATTTGTGTAATGACACCCCCTCTTCCATCTGTCCACCTGCCTCTGGTTATGTGCATGTGTGAGCATCTGCAACCAATGATAGTCAAATACCCCTCAGCTGTGTTCTTCTTGTCTGGTGCAAATTAACTAACTTTAGCACGCAATCACACTAAAAGCAACACATTATACCTCCTAAACGGCGTGCTGGCATTACCAATGTGAGCAAGTCAGCACGCAGATGTTAAGAAAACAATGAGCGCTTATAGCACCAATGAGCTGAAGTTCAGCCTCACCGAGTCACTAGCATGACTGTAGAAGTGTTGGCTTCTACCTTTGTCCCGTATATGGGATCCTAAAGCAAATACTTTGTACATGTTTTTACAAAGCAATGAGGTGTAAGGCTAGGACAAAATCAAAAAATGTATTGATGAAGAAATGCAACTGCAAAAAAATTAATATTGCACATTCATGTTGTTGTTGAAACCGCTAAAGAGGGATTGGGGATCCTCCGCTGTTTCCTCATTTTTAAAAGTGCACCCAGGCTGCAACCTCCAGCTCTGCAGAGTGAACCTACAATCTGCATTCTTCCTACTGACCAGCAGGGGGCGACTCGTCTGGTTCCAAAAATAATTCTAATCGTGTGAAAGTCTATGAGAAAACGACCCTACTTTCAGGGCGGGCAACTCAATGTTTAAAAAAAAAAACAGCCACAGACCAATGGGTGACGTGACAATGACTACATCAACATCTTATTTCAAGTCTTGAGTAAAACGATATATGTAAAACACTGGCATCGTGTGGAACATAGACATAAATACAAAAAGCACCATCAACGGTCAAAATGGCCCATTCAACCCACCGTTAACAGCGGACAAGTTGAACAGGTGTGTTTAGCTGTCCTATTGGATGATAAATGGATGTTTTCTAAATCCTAACAGGCCAGGTTAGTGTGGGTGTATTGGCACAGTGAGTCAGGTGCCTCAGGCTCAGGTAGACCGCACCAATGAGAGGGTACACCATCAAAACACACCCACACACGCACAATTAAATGCACTTGTGTGCACATTTGCTGCTGCCAAGCCCATGCAATCATTTTGAAAGACAGGAAGCTTAGATTGTGGAAACAGGCAGAAACAAATACCATACAATGAAAGATACTTCTTATTGATATATGGACCTTCTTTTCTTTGTACTGCACATGCCGAACAAAAAGGCCTCAGAAACCTCCCCCTCTCATTAATTTACTCCCACTGTCACTTTGTTCTCAAAATGCATCCATCCTCCACATCTGCAAAACACCCTGCCCTTCATTCAAGATGTCAGAACCCAACTTAGACTCTGCACCCTCTTAAACGCTCAAAACACACACTTCAATCATTTATTAGGGTTCCAGTGTCCACTTGAGGCATTGTGCAAATGTCCCCGGTATATGTTTTGATTGCATCCTATCCATTTCAGAGAAGGGTTTCAGATCCCCAGCTCGTTGCATAACACCCTGCCCCTCGTCCCGCTCCCAACGAGATGTGCACGGAGAGCCATCTGTGCACAGAGGAAGGAAGGAGGACAGGACATGGAGTTCTGCGTTTTGTCATTGGAGTGGGTAACATGATAAAC